GGTTTCTGAGGAAACAGGTAAGGTGGTAGGGTATTTCCGTCTCTGTAAGAACTTTCCAGTTTGTTGTGATCCACACAGTCAAAGGCTTTAGCATAGTCAATGAAGCAGAAGTAGATGGTTTTCTGAAATTCTCTTGCTTTTTCTATGATCCAACAAATGCTAGCAATTTGATCTCTGGTTCCTCTGCCTATTCTAAATCCAGCTTGAGCATCTGGAAGTTCTCGGTTCATGTACTGTTGAAGCCTAGCTTGGAGAATTTTGAGCATTACTTTGCTAGCATGTGAAATGAATGCAATTGTGCAGTAGTTTGTACAATCTTTGCATTGGAATGAAAACAGACCTTTCCCAGTCCTGTGGCCACTGGTGAGTTTCCCATCTTTGCTGGCATACTGAGTGCAACACTTTCACAGCATCTTTTAGGATCTGAAATAGCTAAACTGGAATTCCATCACCTCCACTAGCTTTGTTCGTAGTGATGCTTCCTAAGGCCCGCTTGACTTTGGACTCCACGATGTCTGGCTATAGGTGAGTGGTCACATCATCGTGGTTATCTGGGTCATAAAGATCCTTTTTGTATAGTTCTTCTTTGTATTCTTGCCACCTTTTCTTAATATCTTTTGCTTCTGTTAAGTCCATACTGTTTCTGTCCTTTGTTGTGCCCATCTTTGCATGAAATGTTTCCTTGGTATCTCTAATTTTCTCAGAGGTCTCTAGTCTTTCCCATTCTGTTGTTTTCCTCTGTTTCTTTGCATTGCTCACTTAGGAAGATTTCTTACTTCTCCTTGCTATTCTTTGCAACTCTGCATTCGACAGGTATCTTTCTTTTCCTCCTTTGCCTTTTGCGTCTCTTCTTTTCTCAGCTATTTTAAGGCCTCCACAGCCAGCCATTTTGCCTACTAGACATCTAAAATTATCATTCTGTGAAATATAGAAGTTTATGTTCTCTTATCCATATTCCTATTGGATTATCTTCCCCTTCCAATTTATAGGATTTCCAGCATTTTGGGTACTAGAATATCAAGTGTTGTAGACTTAATATCTAATCTTTGAATCATACCATCACTTTTGTCTTCTACTAAAACCATTGGTTGCTAACAGTCTCAATCTATTTGCTTTATCCTGACATGTATGTGTATACATAAAAATTTTAAATTATATTTAATAAACCTATGCAATACAGAAAGATACATTTATGTTCTATATTTTGTGTAAAATATAAAAATAGGCTATCTTCATGTCCAGAGACTTCAGTGTAGAAACAGACAACCTTTTTAGTGGCTTTAATGTCAACATTAAATAACAAAGGGAAAAGCAAACTCACAGTGGAAACAAGGACCGACTGCCCAGAAGGCGGTGGGCTTGCTGACCCTTCTCCTCCAAGGCAGGAAGGTGTGACGCAGCCCTACAGGCAAGGCTGATGGGAAATCTTCTAGCCTCAGCTCCACTGGGATCCCACCTACAAGGGGTCCTCCCCAGAAAGGCTCTCCAGGGGCTGCCCTGCTTTCTCCTCCTGGACACCAGACTGGAACACACCTCACAGCAGTCAAGGAGGAGCACCTGCTGGGAGGACCTCAAGCATTCCCACCCACAAGCTTCTCCAGAAGGGAAGTCCATCTAGAACTTTACTGAGACATATCATTTCAGAACCTTCTGAGAAAGACGATCAACAGGCAGCATTTGGCTACCCAGTACCTAACATTAGTAAGTGATACATTCCCTTATTCCAACTGGCATTGGCAGAAAAAGTGACGTTTAGATCTCTAAGTATCTTATTAAAACAATTTCTTTTTAAAAAATTTTTATTTACTTATTTTTGGCTGCACTGGGTCTTTGTTGCTGCACACGAGTGGGCTTTCTCCAGTTGCAGTAAGCGTGGGCTTCTCATTGTGGCGACTTCTCTTGCAGAGCATGGGCTCTAGACGTGGGGGCTCAGTGGATGTGGCACTTGGGCTTAATTGCTCCCACGACATATGGGATCCTCCCTGACCATGGATCGAACCCATGTCACCTGCATTAACAGGCAGATTCTCAACCCCTGGACCAACAGGGAAGTGATGTTAACAAAACTCTTTAAAACATTTTTTTTATTACAAAAATAGTTACTAGTTACACATGGTAAAAAGTTCAGACAGTCCCATGAAAGGCAGCTCCCCCTCCCCACCTCAGGACAGGGTCGTAAGGAGAGGAGGGGCCTCACAGGTGCCACTGCCCAATAGTAGCGCGCAGGTGGTCCAGGCATCACCCCCCACTCTCCTCCCTCGCCAGCCCTGTGGAAAGTGCCTGAGGCAGGTCCATCCTCCTCACTGGAGGCACCTGGAGGAAGGAAGGAAGGAAGGGAAGGAGTGGCTCCAGGATGTGCCTGCCTGGGTGTGCTCTGCTCCCTGAGTCAGAGCCAGGGTACCTATCATTCCCACCTAGTGGAGTGGGAAAAGTGTGTGCAGATACTGTTTTGGCAAAAATGTAAAGAAACAGGAGCTGTTCACAGAAGTCTGGCAGGACAGCAGTTGGGAACGTCCACCAGGTCACACTGACTGCCCTGCCGTCCCATTGACCATGCTGCCACACTCCACCCAAAACAACAGCTACACAGGGGTCTTAGGGTCACTGTCTGTAGTAGGAAAAGACTGCAATGGCCAATGTGTCTGTCAATAAGAAACTTCCAGTTTGTCCTGTCTTTTGACTTTGGTTATGCTTTCTCCAATGTGGGAGATGTAGGTTTGATCCCTGGGTCAGGAAGATCCCCTGGAATGGCAACCCACTCCAGGATTCTTGCCTGGGAAATGCCATGACCAGAGAAGCCTAGCAGGCTACATGTAAATATTACACACATTTCTTCATATGTTTATTCCTGGAGGATTCCTCATGGATCTTTTCTTCCACTACTATTTTCTTATATAGAAAGACTACTGATTTTATGGATCAGTTGTGTATCCAGTTACATTACCAAATTCGCTTTATAATTTTTAAAGGAAACTCTTGGAACCTCAGGTGGACAACTACATCACTGTCCTGTCTCACCTCCTCCCCCTCCACTTGCCAGGGTCGTGCCTCGCGCAGTCGGGGGCTGAGGGTCCCTGCTTGCTCCCGGCTCAGCCCTTCCAGCACTTCGCCATTTGCACGACCTGCTTCTGACTTGAGATGCAAGTAATTATTGTATACATTTACCATGGACTCTTGATACTTCTATGGAAAGATAAGATACACTCATCCATTTCTTCAGACCATGAACCCTCCTCTTCCCCGCTCCCCGCCTGCACTTCACACACTGAGACTTCAAAGAACCAGCCTTCAGTACAGGTGCCTGTCAGTCAGACGGGCCACCTCACCTGAGCACCTGGATGGCAGGAAGAGAAGGTTCCCTGTGGGAGGAGAGGGGATGGAAGCACTACCCCTGACCCCCAAGGACAGGCCTGTGGAAGAACAAGTGAGAGGGATCAGGCCTGGCCTCAATGCATGCGGGCCTCTGAGAGTTTAGGAAGCTGCTGCAGAATCAGCCTCTGGGACCCAAAGGACCAGGGTGACCCTTGACAGCGATGGCAGCCCCAGGGTTTGGCATGGCAGGTCTGTGGTGCTCCCTGTGAGTCAGCTTAGATGATGGGAGTCCCTGCCCGGATTCAAGGCCTCAGGGAGTAAGTCTCACATGCGGCCAAGTCCACTACATGACATGTCCCCAGGTCAACTCAAAATAATTTCGTTGGTCAACCCAAGGGCAGGGAGAATTTCCTGAGTGCTGACCTGTGGGGAGACCCAGAGGAGGCCTGGGCCAGCCCTGCTCAAAGTGGGCACACAAGCACCTCCATGTGCCCATGGACATCTTCTGGGGGCAGCAACAGACACACAATACAGGATGTCTATAAGACACAACCGGCTCCTCCTCCACCTGCTGTCAGAGCCCTGCTGCTCTGAGTCCACCACTGCTCTCAGGGCTCAGAGCGCAGATGAAAACTCACAGGCTCCCTTGGTCCCAGACCGCTTCCTGGGGATGAAATTAAAAACCTAAAGAAGAAACAAAACCAGGAAGTATCTGTGTTAAGACTGAAGGGGAGGTTTTAACCAAGAGGATGGGCAGCTGCTGGCCCGCCTCTGCTCTCACCTGTGGACAACAACCCACGTGGCTGGCAGGTAAGATGCCCTGAGCTTGCGCACAGGAATGCGTGCACTGTCGCGGGTGGAAACGATGGGGTCAGAGCCCTCCCGGGGGCAGCTCTGCACATGCTCCATGATCCTCCTGCTCTGTCAGAAACATCAGCCATGACACCCACGCTGCTGCACAACACATACCAACAAAGGCCACAACTACTGGAACCAGGGAAGTCACAGTACGGGGCAGATCCCTTCCCCTGGGTCCCAGTGGTACCTGATGGCTGTGCCCTTCTACACCAGGTTCTGAAGTCATCCTGTTCACCTTTAACTTCAATAAACGCTCTCCTAAAATACACCATCAACCTCTCCCATGTGTCTGCACAGATAATGACACTGCCCCACTCTGGAGAAAGGCAGCTTCTTTGGAAGGAGGCTTTCCTTTCTATTCTGGGCAACTAGCTAAAAGACAAAGGAACCAAGAAGGAATTGCTTAAGGCAAACAAAACTTTGTGATGGAGAAGATTCACAGCAAAGAAACCCAGGAGCTTGGAAATAATTAGCAGAATAAAGTGATATTCTAATTTCTATATGACATCATATAAAAAAGACAAGTTCACTGGAAATTAAGTTTATTTCTGGATATACCAACTAAAACATACGCCAAATTTATTCAGATTATCATCATCAATGCAAAAATAGAACTCTCTTCTCCCCTGTAAAAGTTAAATACAAGACTGTAGGCTAGATACATGATTATTTTAGTCAGGTCTTCAGTATTAGCTTCTCAAAGCAACAAATCTACAGTTATACACATCCAATTTATCATACAAAATATATACAAATGCGTAACTGTAGTGTAGAAAAAATGAAATTACCAAAATGTAACTTAGGTCAATTTACTTTACACACATTGGATTCTAGCTGATGTTTCCAAGAGCTTCCCCAATGAGTCGGACGGCGACACTCTTGCCTTCATCTGTTTGGACAACGAGCAAAGCTTCAAACTTGCCCACGGACCTGGGCTTGAACTGCACGGGCATGTTGATGTAGTGCTGGGCTCTGCAGAGAAAAAGGGGTGTCAACATGACATCAGGGCACACAGAGGCCCCTAGTCACACGATGCCTGGTAGAAAGCAAGTCTGGTCAAGGAAACGGGAGCTGCAAAGCTTGGAGCCTGGTGCCATGTCTGCGGGAGCAGGAGGCAGCCAAGCCCAGGTTGCATGTGCCAGTGGCCTCCCCATGGCTGCAACCAACGTCTACTGGGGCTGGCAGGTTTGCTCCAAAATTCTTAGGACACCTACTAAGAGTTTCCTTGAAAATTTATGATTGGATTCTACTTGAGGCATGTACAAGTATTATGTTGGCGGGTTTGTTTCTGCTCACAAAATGAGGTTCCAAAAGCTTCAAAAATACATCTTTATTCCTGAGGGGAATGAGATGCAGGCCCTTCCCACAGCCTGTTTCATGCCACCGATCTTTCGTCTTAATGGTTTTTAAGTGAAACCTCACAGCTTTCAGACTCTCCCCAGAGGGCAGGTCCCTCTGATCTCAGCCACATGTGTGCGGACTCAGTAGAGGGACCAGACTGCACTTCTGTTTCCAGCATGTTTCCTGACCTGGCACAGTGGGCTAGAAATTCAGAAAACAGGCCAAGTATTTCAAAGCCCTTTTCCTGGATGTAACAAAATATACATATTGAAAGTCTGGGTCATTTTTCACCAATGCATTACCTCATTCTTCCACATCAAACAAAGCTGCTTTTGAAGAACTGGTACCTATTGATGGCACTGACAAATGACAACTTTCTCTTTCATGTTAGCATCTTAATCCTCAGAATAATGTAGTACAATATGCCAACCTAAGAGGTTTCGTACCTTATGACTTACTAAAAAGCATTAAAATATCCAAAAATAAATCTTTAGATGATTCCATTACTAACAAAGTTCAACATGGAATGTAGAACTCTATATTTAACTGAGAAAGAATTTTTAAAAACATACTATGACAAATATGTATCACCTGCTTTAGATTCACACACTGAATAAACTGGGACGCAACCTAGGAAGAACCAGGGTCCACACAGCTCCAGCGCCAGCAGTGTGGTGACCAAGGGGGCTTTACACCCACACATACATACACACAAACACACACGGGAACATGTAACAGGAAAGCATGCTGACACAACGTGGAGATCCTCAGCTGAGGACAACTTTTGCAGCAGAGGCATGAGAGCCAGTGCCCGACGTGCAGAGGCAGGGCTGGCAGAGCTCCCACTCGAGGAGAGGGGCTTGTTAGTCCCAGGGCAGGCAGCCCCCTGGGAAAAACAAAGTGACCACCAGGGATTGGGAGGGTTTCCCCTGGAGCCACGCACAGACAGTCCACCTGCTGAGTCCAGCACTGTCTCTGCACCAGCCCCTACAGCTCATAAGCCCCTCCAGTGGCCTCACCCCTGGGAGGAGTCTACCCTTACACTGGCAGTAGCCCCACCCATTTTTGAGAGAATTCTCAGGGAGCTACGGGAACAAGGCTCTACTTCTCCAAAGTTGAAAGAAGCCATTCTTACGTATGAAGAGGCCAGCTTCCCGCCTTCCTCTATGTAAAATCTAAGCCTTTGAACATGTCACGAGGGAAGACTTTTCTACAACATAAAGAGTTTACTGGTTGAACAGATAAGAGTTACTGCTTTGCACTCATGGTTTTCTTATTCATATTTCACCAAGTTTATACCGAGTTGCTAATTATTAAAGCTGATGCTGGAATCTGTAACATTACGTATTTATCCTAAGTTCCATAATGAAATGTATCAGAATAACTTCAGTACCTGCCACCAATAAAGTATAAAATTACCTTATTTAAATCTTTTTTCAAAGTATAAAAAGTTAAAGACATTTTAAAGTAATAACATGTTCAAGAGTATAAAGCAAACATAATGTATCTTATGAGGCAATTTGAAACGCTACCTTATGTACACTGTCCAAGTTTTGCTTCATTAAAAAATAGTTTCTCATGTTTCTAAGTTCTCTTAGATGCTGTGACATGACCTAGGCTGCACAGAAAAGCAGCGAGTATTTCATTTAGGAAAGCTAAAAACGTTCTAGCACTGGAATGGCAAGTCATCATGTTCAACTGTATAAAAATGTCTACTTTGAGATGGCAAGAATGAATACATCTTAGATTTTAAAACTGTTTTTTTAGACAAATTGAAACTAAGCAAAATGCCATCTCACTGATAAAAAGTTACATGTTAAGAATGCTTTAAGTACCACCCCCATCACATCTACAGCACTGCAGGCAGCTGTGCATGAGGAGGAGGAGGAGCAAGAGCTCAGGGACAGGAGGACAGGCAGCCAGGCAACCAGGAAGCATACTACCAGCTGGCCACAGGGTCAGATGAGGAAGCTGACGGTGGCAATGTGAAAATACTTTGACTTGTTCCCTGCCAAAACTACATTTGCATTTAGGTCATGTGGTCTCCTGTAAGGTCTCCCGGCTCCCAGGCAACCACAAACTGCCCGTGGACCTCCCTCAGCTAGCCTTCTCACAGCCTGGCCAGGAACAGAGACTGCTGCGTGTGATGCTACTAGTATTGAACAGAAACAGGTCTTTTCTCTGCAAAGGATCAAGAAGGAGCTGATTTACAAATTTAAGCTATAATAGTTTAAATTTTTTAAAAGTCTGTGAAAGCAAATTAAGTGAAAAATGTGAAACTATAGTATATTCAGGAATGAAAGCTGGAAAAGGAATGTTCATCTCCAGGTAGGTTGACTGCACCATCCTTCCGTCATAAAATGGGCAACAGTAACATAAGGCCTCTTCCCTGGTAGCTCAGCTGGTAAAGAATCTGCCTGCAATGCAGGAGACCCAGGTTCAATCCCTGGGTCGGGAAGATACCCCGGAGAAGGAAACAGCAACCCCCTGCAGTATTCCTGCCTGGAGAATCCCATGGACAGAGTAGCCTGGCGAGCTACAGTCCACAGGGTTGCAAAGAGCCAGATACAACTGAGCGACTAACACACTGACATAAGGCCAAACAATTTAACAAGTTACTGTAAGTCCTGAGTCTTTATCAAAACTGTAGGTGAAGTGAATGCAAATTTTGTTTCTTAAAAAGCTGTTAGCTCTTCAAATAAATTTTTCTAAAATCTGAAGGTGTCTTAACTTTTTAAAAAAACAAGTATTTTTTTTAAAGATAAGTGCTCCTTGAAACAAAGATCTGAAGCCCCTCCAGTAAGCTCTGACAGGTGTATGCTGGTTTACACAAAAGTGTTCCATGACCCCTATGCTTCACACTTAAAGACACAATGCCTGTGAAACACTGATCAAGCTCAGGGATGTGAACCAAGCAGACAGCAAACAGGAAACAGAGTTATTCACTAAGGCCATTATGATAAGGTTCAAATTCAGATAACAGCAGTGTTCAGGACTAATCACTCAGGATCAATTTGTCCTCAGTTACTAAAAAGGGCCCCAACTGGGAATTCAAATGACTATCTGTTAACAGCAAACTGCTCCTGCAGCTCAGCCTCAGTTCTGCAGAGCCAGCCTGCTCTAAGCACCCTGGAATGTCACCAGTCTCAGGCCCCCAGGAAGGGACCCATAGACCAATAGGAGAGAAGAGCTCAGTGCAGAGAAGCGGGAAAGTTTGGACTGGGAGTGTTTAAGGCCTCCATTGTCCACATTCTCGTTGAAGAGACTGGCTGGGAAAGCGCTAACAGAACTGTGATGCTCTGTCAACACCTGTGGGTCCTGCTGGGGCTTCTCGGGAGCCCCAGGACTGCCCCTCACGTGTCCTGTAACAAGTCCAGGCTGCCGGCACCTTTACAAATTAGGACACTGAGGCTGAGAGAGGTCCAGGTGTATTCACTGCTGACTCCGCACAACTTGTGCCTTTGGGCTGGGCTCCTAAGAGGCAGGTTTCCTAGCACAGAGGATGGGGGAACAGGGTTGAGTAGGGGAAGAAAGGATGAGGGGTAGAAGGAATGACTCATCTTCCAACAACAAGAGGAAGCGTAAGCTTCTGAGTCAGTGCTGCTGGACTAGTAACTCAGTCAGTCCTCGATTGCCTGAAAGGGGCCTAGTTTTCACAGAATAGAATATGCTTCTAGGACCACTTCCTAATGCTAAAGTGAAAGAGTTTATAATAAATAAAGTTTAATTAAAGATTCAAACATGAAGATAAAATTATATTTTAGTTTTTAAGTGCAATGCAACCCTAATGTTAAAATTGTAAATATCAGTGACAACCCAGTTTGAAATTTCAGCCTTTACAGGTGTCATATGGAAAAATAAAATTAGCAAGACCCCAAAACAATTAGCAAAATTGATAGTACATACCTATCAATAATTACTTTACATGTAAATGGATTAAATGCTCCAATCAAAAGAGTGGCTGAATGGATACAAACACAAGACCAGCATATATGCTGGCTACAGGAGACTCACTTTAGATCTAAAGACATACACAGACTGAAAGTGAGAGGACTGGAAACAATGTTACACAGAAGTAATCCAAGTGCCATCAACAGGTGAACAGATGAAGATAGGATGCAGACACAGTGGGATACACCCAGCCATAAACGAGAATGAAATCTTACCATCTGCAACAACATGAATGGACTGAGAGAGTATTATGCTAAACTGAAATAAGTCAGAGAGACAAAACATTGAATGACCTCACTTACATGTGGAATCTAGAAAACGAAACAAATGAATAAACATAACAAAACAAACAGAGTCATGGATAAAAAGAACAAACAGGTGGCTGCCAGAGAGGATGGGGTACAGGAGGAAAGAAACAGGTGAGGGAGATGACAAGGCACCAACATCCAGTTCCAAAATAAATGACCACCAGGTATGAGATGTACAGCTAGGGAACACAGTCAGTAACTATGTAATAATGTCTTTGCGTGGTAATGTACCATCCTAGACTTAGTGTGGTGAAATCAGTTTGAAATGTACAGAAACAAAAACAGAAATACAGTAACTAAGAGTGTTATAGGTCAATTACACTTCCCCCTCAAAAAAAAAAACCAAAAACCAATGGTAAAAAAAGTATTAAAAGCAGCCAGAGAAAAAGACACATCAGGCAGAGGAATGAACACGAGGATGACAGCAGACTTCTTGTTAGAAACAAAGTAAGCCAGACAGTAGTGCAACAGGTTTATAAAATGGGAATGGGGGATAATACTGTCAAAATTATGTACTAAACAAGACTGCCTCTTGGAAATGAAGGCAAGGGACTTCCCTGGCCATCCAGTGATTAAGACTTCCCCTTTTCACACAGGTGGTGCAGGTTAGATCCCTGGTTGGGAAGTTAAGATCCCACATGCCTTGTGGCCAAAAAGCCAAAACAGCCAAAACATAAAATAGAAGAAATATTGTAACAAATTCAATATAGATTTTTTTTAAATGATGGTAAGATAAAAATATTTTCAGACATTAAAAAATGCATAGAAAAGAACAGATTTGTGGTTGGAAAAGTGGTGGGTGGGACTGATAAAAAGTACATCAAAAGTCAGAAAGTACAAACTTCCACTTGTAGGATAAATATGCACCAGGGATGTGATATACAACATGAAAAATACACTGAACATGTTGTGCTATTTATGAAAGTTGTTGAGAGAATATACCCTAATAGTTCATGTTGCAGGAAAAAAAGCATTTTATTCTGTTTAATTTTGTATCTGTATGAAATGAGAGTGTTCACAAAACTTACTGTGATAATCATTTCATTATGTATGTAAGTCAAATCATTATGCTACACACCTCAAATTTATACAGTGCTGTGTGTCAATTACATCAATAAAACTGGAAGAATATATATAAATACCTTAAAAATGAATAAAAACGAACACTAAAAAAATAAAATAAGCAAGGATGGCAAGAAAATGAGGCCCTGATTTAAGAACAATATAGGATTATTTCAAGAATTACACTGGAAAACAGGATAATAAAAGTTTTTCCAATTAATCTGGGAAGATTTTTGTCCAAATTAGTAAAAACTTAAATCCTTGATTCTCAGTGTGATGAAAGCAACACCTGATGCAGAAATTACTATAAAGTTAATCATAAGACAACGAAGGTTCTATTTAAGTATATGGCTGTCAAAATACTGGGTAACAGGAATCACACCCTAAGTCCAAACACTGCGAAAATCTGAGTTGTTTCTCGCCACATACACCCACAGTCAGACTGTTTCCCCTGCAGGCTCCTCATCCCCTTCACCATGTGCTTAGTGCTCTGGGTGATGGTGATGAAGATGAGGGGCTGTAACTGAGGAAGACCTCACAGTCCTAGACCCCAAGAGCAATCTCGGGGTCCTGAACACAAAGAGCTGCATCAGGATGAGAACACTTTATGATAAACTCACCTCAAAGAATATTTTGAATGTTTGACGTAGAAAGGCTCTCTGGGACTTAAAAACTTGAGCTGGAATTTAATATGAAACACTTTATGAAGTTATACAAATTAGATATCTGTGCATATTTAAATCAACACACCATGCATTTGCTTATGTATACCCACGAGATGGGAAGTTAAAACAATAAATGCTCCTGAAAACACTTAAGGGAATTTTAGTGAGTTTACTATAGTTCTGACTGGAGTAAATGTTATCCAGAAATATGCTTATAGGATCATACAGAAGAAAACAAGAGCAGAAACTAAAAAATGAAAATATGAAAACAAATACTAGATAATTTTCAGACAAAGGATCATAAACTTCCCATGAGTTTTTCTTCAAACATAGTATTAAGGTATTTTAAAAATTAACTATTATACCTTAAATACCAGCTATAAAACAATGTTCTAATTCTTAGGAAAATGTTTATCAAATAGTAGCATACATTTATTTTTCCACAACCCACAGTAGTATTTCCAACTTACCGAGTGTGTAATGAAAGAATTATTTCGCAAATTGACTTTCAATGTCCTTGACTCCCCAACTCTCGTTGGCAGAAATTGATACACGTCTTCTGGGGCATAAACTCCACGGTGGGTCAGGTCAAGTTGCCTGCTATGGAACAGGTTTGAAAGTTAACTATTTGCAATCTACAGAAACTTCCAAACTATTTGTATATAATACATTATACAAAGTGTGGCTTTAACTTGTGTTTTCTCCCACATTTCAGTTAGTTTTGTGAAGGTGACTGGCTGATCAGTATTAACACTGCTTGTGCCAGGAAGCATCCAGGCATGCCTGGCAGCAGCTGATACGGGCAGAAGAACCTCCTCTCCTGGAGAGGTACTTAACATGCTTTTCTTAAAAGCATCTTCCTCCAGAATTAAGTCAAACCTAAGTATGGGTTAACTAAGGACTATAAGAAACGTTTTCATGTAAGTTAGAAAGAGAAAGATGAATACTATATGATATCACTTATATGTGAAATCTAAAATATGACACAAATGAACATACCTACGAAACAGGAACAGACCCACAGACATAGAGAACAAACTTGTGGTTGCCAAGGGGGCGAGGTTTGTGGAAGGGATGGACTGGGAAGTTGGGATTAGCACATGTCAGCGTTTATATATAGAATGGATAGACAACAGGGTCCAACTGTATAGCACATAGAATTATATTCAATATTCTGTGTAAACCATATGGAAAAAAAATGTATGTAACATTGCTTTGCTGTACAGCAGAAATAAACACAATGCTATACATCAACTATACTTCAATAAAAAATTTTTAAAAAACACATCCCTGAAAAAAAAAATTTTCATTAGGTAAAACATTTACATATTATCATTAAAGCTCTGCAAGCCACTGATGTAACATACATTTTATAAAGTTTTTAAGAATCTACTTTCATACACTCTTTTTGGGAATGTAAAATGGAAAGGCTACTTTGGGAACATTTTTCCATTTAAGGTTAAGGTTAAAAAAATTCCTACCACATGACTCGGTAATTCTAAGACATTTTTACCCAAAAGAAATGAAAGAATATGTCCACAAAAACACACATATAACAATGTTCATTGCATCTTCATTCACAAGAGCTCCAAGTTGAAAGACACCAAATACCAAAGGATAAAGAAACAATGGTGACATGCCCCTGTGATGGGGCGTGTGAATCTACACGCAAAGGTATCCACCACAAGTGGACTCACCAACACCAATGATCCCGACATCACCACCTAAGTGAAAGAAGCCAGGCAAAACCTGAGTGCAGGTGTGCATGAAATCCACAAAACTAAGGCAACATACAGAACAGAACAAACCCCAGGTGAGGGTGGGGGTGGGTGTAGAAGCTACGTGAGAACTCCTAGATGAGAGGAATTGGGAGTCAAGTCTCTACCTTGACTGCAGTGCGGTGACGCATGTCAATCACAGGTAAGCCACTGGGCATTTTGTGGAATGTGATTATACCTCAATAAAGTACTGGGAAAAACTCATGAGAATAAGAGAAATAACATACCCAGGTATGAGGGCAGAAGCTTCGGATACAGCCTGTCTTCGGAGTTTAAGTAAATTATCTATTTTAATGAGGCTATTTGTGGAAATGCGTGAAATTCCAGGCTCACTTTCTGCTCTTACACTCTATATAAAAAAAAAATCACAGGATGGAGGAGGAGAAATAAATACATGGACATTAACCCAACTGAATTTTACTACTTCCTAATTCTTAAAAAGGACACTTCAGATTTTTTAATTCCTTTAATTACAAATGCTTTATCTTGTACTGTTTCTCTGTGTCTCATACACACACAAAACCTTACCTAATTAAGGCAAACAAAGATTTCACATAGCCAATAAATAGACACACAAGAAAACTAAGATGATAAGCAGCTATAGTAGAATTAATGGGATTATAATAAAACCAGGAACATACTTAGCTTTCTCAGGCCAGTTTTTCAGGCCAGTTTCACCTGGTGTCTTCAAAACACACCCAGTAATTTACTTAAATTCAGTATAACACTCACATGTCCAGAGAGCTGGAATCTTAAGGTGTGCTTCAGGTGAGGCTCTTTAAGAGGGTGACATTCAACATCCCAAAACTGGGCATAGTCCCCTCTATCTCTGGGCAAAAACATGATGGAGACCTACAAACAACGCATCCAGGAGAGAAATTTAGACTCTGAACCTTACACACATGCACTCAGGTTAACCAATTCGAAGTGTGATATGAAAAAATTGAAGGGAAAAACTGTCTTTGTATTGATTAATTTTGCACTAATGGAAAAAAGAATTTGAACATTTTTAGTGGGCTTGTTACTGTACCTATACCAGATCCAAGTATATTTTTCAAGTCAGGGAGCCCGATTCCTCCAGCTCTTTCTTTCTTTCTCAAGACTGCTTTGGCTATCTGGAGTGTTTAGTGTCTCCAAACAAATTAAAAAATTTTTTTCTAGTTTTATGAAAAATGCCATTGAATTTTGATAGGGATTGCACATAATCTACAGATTGCCTTGGGTAGTACAGTCATTTTAACAATACTGATTCTTTCAATCCAAGAACACAGTATGTCTTTCTGTTTGCATCAGCTTCAATTTCTTTCATCAGCATCTCATTCTTTTCAGAGGACAGGTCTTTTGCCTCTTAAGCAGGTTTATTCCTAAGTATTTTATTGTTTTTGACTCACTGGTGAATGGGATTATTTCCTCAGTTTTCCTTTCTGATAGTTTGTTCTCAGTGTACAGAAATGCAACAGATTTCTGTATGTTAATTTGGTATTCTACAACTTTACCAAATTCATTAATAAGCTCTGGTTTTCTGGTGGTGTTTTAGCAAGTGTATAGCAAGATGTTCTAGTAAAACCCAACTGAACTTTTTGGCCAACCCAATATCCTGTCAAACAGAAACAGTGAGTTTTACTTATTTTCCAATTTGGATCTCTTTTCTTTCTTTTTCTTCTCTGATTCCCATCATTAGGACTTCCAAAACTATGCTGAATAAAAGTAGAGAGTGGTCATCTTTGTCTTGTTCCCAACCTAAGAAAGAATGCTTTCAGCTTTTCAGTGTTGAGTATGATGTTACCTGTGAGTTTGTCATATGTGACCTTTATTATGTTGAGGTATGTTTCCTCTATGCCCACTTTCTGAAGAGTTTTTAATTATAAATGGATGTTGAATTTTGTTAAAACCTTTTTCTGCATCTATTGAGACAATCATACAGTTTTTATTCTTCAATTTGCTGATGTGGTATATCACATCAACAAATTATGATTTGCAGTCAGTGAAAAATCCTTGCATCCCGGGGATAAATCCCACTTGATGGTGGTGTTTGATCCTTCCAATGTATTGTTGGATTCAGTTTGCTAGTGTTTTTTTTTTTTTTTTTTGACAATTTTTACACCTACATTCAGAGATACTGGTCTGTAATTTTTGCTTTTTGGGTGTGATTATCTTTGCCTGGTTTTGGTAACAGAGTGATGGTGGCCTCATAGCATGAGTTAGAAAGTAAGACCTCTGTATATTTTGGAACAGTTTTATAAGGATAAGTGCTAACTCTTCTCTAAATGTTTGGTAAAATTCACTACACTACAAGTCTACAGTAAAAATAGCATGGTACTGGTTCCAAAACAGACACATAAATAATGGAACAGGACAAACAGACCAAAAATAAACCCCCATTTATGGACAATTAATCTGCAACAAGAGAGATAAGAACATAAAATGGAGTGAAAAAGTCTCTTCAATAAGTGGTTCTGGGAAAACTGGACAGCTATTAGTACATGCAAAAGAATAAAATTGGAACATTCTTTAACACCATATAAAAAATAAACTCAAAATGGATTAAAGACCAGAAACCATAAAACTCCTAGACACAGGCAGAAGACTCTCTGACATTGGTTAGTAGCAGTTTTTTTTTTTTTAATCTGTCTCCTAAAGTAAAGGAAATAAAAGCAAAGATAAACAAATGGGACCTAACTAAACTCATAAGCTTTTGCACAGCAAAGGAAACAATCAACAAAATGAAAAGACAACCTACTGAATGGAAGAAAATATTTTCAAATGATATGACCAGTAAGGAGTTAATATCCAACATATATAAATAGCTCACAGAACTCAAAAAATCAGGCCAATTAAAAAATGAGGAGAAGAACTAAATATACATTCATCCAAAGAGGAAATGCAAATGGCCAACAGGTAAGTGAAAACATGCACAACATTGCAAACCAGCAGGGAAATGAAAATCAAAACCACAAAGAGCTATCACCTCACAACTGTCAGGATGGCCATCACCAAGAAGAATACAAATAACAAATGTTGGTGAGAATGTGGAGAAAAGAGAACCCTTGTACACTGTTGGTGGGAATGTGAGTTGGGGCAGCCACTGTGAAAAACAATATAGAAATTTCTCAAAAAACAAAACTGAACTACCATATGACCCAGCAGGTCTTCCCAAGTGGTTCAGTGGCAAAGAATCTGCCTACCAATGCAAGAGACATGGGTTCAATGTCTGGGTTGGGAAGATCCCCTGGAGAAGGAAATGGCAACCCACTCTGGTCTTCTTGCCTGGGAAATCCCATGGACAGAGGAGTCTGGAAGGCTACAGTCCATGGAGTTGCAAAAGAGTCAGACAACTTAGTGACTAAACAACAATAATAACCCAGCAATTCCAGTCTTGAGTATTTATTCAAAAATAAATACATAAATAAAACACTACTTTGAAAAGACAGATGCACCCTAATGTTCACAGAAGCACTATTTACAATTGCCTAGATATGGAAGTAACCTAAGTGGCCATCAACAAATGAATGGATAAAGAAGGTATGGTATGTGTGTACACATACACACACATACACACACACACACACACACACACAATGGAATATTAGTGAGGAAAAAGAACAAAATCATGCCATTTGCAGCAACATGGCTGGATTTGGGGGGCACTGTGCTAAGTGAAAAAAGTCAGAGAGAGAAAGACAAATACTGTTTGATATCACTTACATATATGTACTCTAAGAAATTCAAGTAAAAAATAAGCAGACTCACAGATGTATGGAACAAACTACCAGTCACTGGTAGGAAGAGGTGAGGGGCAATATAGGAGTAGAGGATTAAGAGGTACTAACTATTCAGGCATAAAATAAAGTATTGATAGAAGGATGTATTTATACAACATGAGGAATATAGCCAATATTGTATAAAAACAACAAATGGATTATTATCTTTAAAAATTGTGAATCATTATATTACATACCTATAACTTACATAACACTATCATAATCCAAATAAAAGAAATAGAAATACATATGTTAAAATAGTCAAATCCTTTAAAAAAGTTATTTTAGAGTGCAAGATCAGTGCTGATAGAGCTTTTTGACTGGCTGGTTGACAAAACCACTGTCTGGATCAGTCCCCTGGAAGCATGTTCCCAGCACAGGCAACCAATAGCCAGGTGACAAGCTCACACCAGAATGAACGAGCACCAATCACACACCAAGCATGGTGTTGTTACCTAGCAAGCGTCCTGCCGCAGGAGCACAGTGCAGATTTGTGCTGCTGCCACTTTCGCAGGAGCCTGGCTATGAGCAGCATCATCCAGGTAGAGTGAACTCTTCTGAGTGGAAATGAGGCACTCCTGGCCAGCTGACACTGTGTTCCCACCAGACGGCTGTGAAAAGATGTCAGAACTCACCTTTTGGACACCATGGCCTTCCAGTACACCAGAAATAGGAGAACATCTGAATGCTGCATAAGTAGCTCTAAAAACATCTCCAGTCTCATCAACTCCCTACAAAGACACCATTTAAACAATCAAATTAAAAAAAAAAAAAAAAGTCAACAGATCAGTTCCACAGTGACACCATTGCTTTCACGGTCATCGAGGACAAACCTGTTTCCTGGAGACCAGGAGCACCCAGGCTCCACTCACACCAGGCCTCACTGGACACAAACCCTCCTCCCACCCAAGTCGCAGTGCTCTATAAGAGGCTGCGCCCTTGTCGGAGGACTGCTACTTCCTCAAGAACCCTGCTGAGTGTGCGTTCCAATACCCTCACGCAATATCAGCACTTCATTTCCTGTCAGAGGGTCCAGCACTATCTTTTGCACACATACTGTTAACATTATGGCTCAGAACCATGATGGTCACACCAAGAAGAGAGCAGAAAGGCCATACCACATGTGACAACATGTGACCATGCATGCAGCTTATGTGGTGCCCACTGGCAGACACCACATGTGGGCACACAGGCTAAGACTCCCTGGCAAGCAAAGTTCAACCCTGCCTCCAAAACACAGCAGCACTCAGAACCAGAAGAAGGAAATGCACACACGTCGGGACAAAATCTGTATTTACTTTCAGGATAAAATTATATCAGATAAAAAACTGGGCTGAAAGAGACAGCACTAAACAGAGCAAGCACATATTTTCACATACATTCTCTAGCCTGACTCAAAACCACCGTGAGAACAAGACTGGGCACGTTAGTTCCACCCACAGAAATAATAAAGTAAATGAAGCAGATTAACAAAAACCCAGTAATCTCAACCTATGGTCCTAATCCAGATTTTTAAACATCCTACATAAACATTAAAATGAGTATATTCAAGGCAATTATCACTGACCTTGACGTAAGGTGGGGCTAAAGATGACAGGTGCCACCTCACTTCCGTGTCACCATGATTCTCAAGTTCCAGGTAATTTCCTATAAGGAACACATTTCACAACTCAAACTCTTTGAGGGGTAAGTAAGTAAACAAGCAAATCCCTATGAAAATATGTGATAAATACTGTGACTACCTTACGATAGAGAAGAAATACAATCAGATCCTTTTGAGTCCAACAAAAAGGACACTATTTTCTAACTGTTCTATTAGGTTCTAACAGAACCCAACTTTCTAGGTCTGTCTTGTATTTCGACATTATTTTTTAAGTCCTGTTTGACAGATGCCCTATCTTGTATTTAACCAAAGGGAAAAGTTACTAAGGGACTTAATCATGTTCTTCATCACGTACTGAGGAAGCTCAGAGAAGCTTCATACAGCACTTCACTATTCTCAGGCCCTAGATGGAGGGCCGGGTTGGGGGTGGGGGGTGTTGGGGGCGGGGAGGCGGAGCAGGCAGGGAGGCCCAGAACCTGCAGTCACAGCCTAAGGGATGAGGCTTGGCTCCACCACCTTCCTCTCCTCTCTGGCCACTAACTTAGCAGCAGCTCTGGTCAAAGATCTAGTGAGAGTTGGGAAAGGATGGTTCTGACAAATAGTCTAAGCCTCCTAGAATAAAGAGAGTTACTAAAGGCCTAGTTTCAGATTCCCTGAATAGAGCTGGTCACTGAAATAATTTCCGAGAACTGCTGATTTTCTCGTGAAGTTAACACTGTCTCGAACTACAGTTAACGAGGAGCCGTTAGATCCCACGTATCAACATTTGAAGACATAACCTTGTGATACAATACCTGAGGTCTCACCAGGTTCTGTTGGAGGAAAAGTAACTGTCTTGTTTCTTAGCTCAACTTTCGTGGAAGATGGCTTTGTTGCTGGTTTTACCAGATTAACTGCAGGCTCGGTTTCTTGGGAAAGGATTCCAAGTGGGCTGGAGGTCAAATGAGTGAAAAGTTCTTCTTGGGTCAAGTCTTCTCGAATTTGAACCCTCACAATTTTCTGAAATGAGACAAAGTGAAGTTATTGTTGTTGTTTTTTAATTCCTATTTATTAATCATGGTAGACAAAAGTAATGCCAAACAACTGAAACACTGATGAATTTAGAAAGTAAAGTCTATTCAGATCCCAAAATATTTGACTTGATCTTTTTTCCCAACTCCCCTCTTTTTCAAAGCAGAATTTTCAAGTTAATGGTGGCTTCCAGGCCCTACTCCCCACTGCTGCACCAGGAAACTTTCTCAGCTCACCAGTGGAAAAATCTGCACTAAGTGCTCTAATTATATAAGCTGTTTGCGCTGAAAGGACCTCAATTTGATTTCTGAAATGTAAGTGCCATCAACAGAATTACAACACTTAAACTGCAAAAAAATACTGATTAAAAAAAAATTTTTTTTTAAGTACCTTATGTCCATTGTCACAGTGTATATAGATCAAGCCACTCCACGGGAACATTGAATGTTTTGTGGATAAGGAGGAGTTGGGACTCACAAGAATTTGCATCTTACTCCTTAAAAGAAGAATTGAATACTGAGAACCAAGAATAGTGTAGACCGTAACAGCACACAAGAGTTAAAACACTGCACCATCAATGACCACCAAGAGTTTCCCCACTGTTCAGAAAGAGCAGAGAACAGATGTGAGCTCCCATGTGCATCTGATTTTACCTCAATCCCAGCTTGGTGACTGACAAAAAGCTGAGCGGTGTAAAGCCAAGAACCTGAGGGTAAAGCTCATGTGAAAATGGACCACACCACAGAAATGCATCTATACAGTAATTTGGACTAAATATTTCTGGAGAAAGACCACTACCGTGAATACTCTGAGCTGTCACTGTCACACAGAGTAACTGGAATGGGGGTGGGGAGAAGAGTGCTTCTCTGCTCCCACAGTGGGTCAGGTTTCTGTGCTCACTGTGCTCAAGAGCTATGGGATGACAAAGACTGAAATGTGGAGTGTGACTAGATCTGTCACTTAAGAGACACTACCAGTTACAGGAGAGATCTATACCCACATCCAATATAGCCGAGCTAATAGCTCAACATGAAGGGCCATGAACAAGTTGCTGTGGACAACCTGCCCTGTCACCTCCAGTTTTTCACCCATTAAGAAGCAAATACTTAACTCACTGCTTTGGTCTCAGAAGCCTTTCTCTGGAGTGTCCCTAACCTTACCTCAACCCAGTCTTGGCCAAATAAACTCTTTTGAAGTGCATACGCCATCATTTTGCAAAAGCAAAGAAAATAGATTCCAAGTTGCTCTCATGCAAAGCTGCTATTGCAAAATGTGAAGCAACTTTCAGGTGTGCATGTTCTGTGCCAGTCAGGACTGTTCCCATGAACTGGAAAGCTGAGGCTTACCCCACCAATAACCGTGCTGCACAGAGAGGGCAGCTGCTCATCACCACTCGGCCCCCAAAGACTTCTTTTTAATCCTTTGTGGAAAACGGTAAGCTAGACTCTAGCTCAGACACAGCAGTAGTCAGGAAGCCATGTCTGTAAAATGTCCTTAGACAAAACCAGCAGAGTAAGCTGCCAGGAGCAAGGTAACACGCCAGGACCACTGGGCTTTGGGGACCACCACCCTCACCCGGCGCACAGATGTATCCCATGCTGTAACTCTGTAGGCATAGCTGTGTCAGCAGATTCCACTCTAGGAATTCTCTCCCGCCTCTCTCAGCTTTTGACCCTCTTAGGCTGATACTGTAACTGGCTGTGGATGGGCCCCACCGCTAAGCAGTATGAGTCTTGAACTCAGTGTGTTCCCACAGAACCACGCACGGTGCTCTGTAGAGTCAGCACACTGCAAAATCCTACTGAGTAAGTTTAAATGGCCTATGAAGCATGTGAATAACACCCAGTGGACAAGGAGGTCATACTTACTCTGGTGCAATAAACCCATGTTGTGGAGTCACTGTAAGGCAGTGTGCTGGCCAGTACAGCTCAAATTTCAGCAACCTAATAGAATTATTTAAGATCTGGAAACGTCCAGTTTTTGCCGTATCACCTATGACAGCAGATAAAATGTTACTTACATTTAGCATTAATAATGAAGACCAAGATTAATAAATAGCAAAAACAAATCCTACATAAATATACTATAATATCAACTTATTTTGCTTTCTCAACTGCCCCTAACAGAAATTTCAAATTCCTGGTAAAGCAAGATCTTCATTCAGTCTTGGGAACTACAAAGATACTGAATAAGATCAATACTGAGCAAAGACAAAAAAGGAAACCTGGAAATTGTTACCCTTGTGTTATCTTGGGCACAGACATAGGTACTAGGACTTCTTCCTACTGTGGACCAACGATACCAATGCTAAGGGTAAGAGGCCAAGTGTCAACTGAGTTCTCAGGGTAGGAGGGAGGGGTGGCAGGAGGAAGGGTCTGTTCATGGGAGCTTGGCCTGGGGTCCGCGGCCTCATGTCAGGACAACACTCTGGTCTTCCCTACAAGAGCTGTGTGCACAGAGCAGGACAGCCAGGATCCCAGACAGAGTTTCGTCCTGCCACTGGGGACACACTCACATGAAGGAGCAACCAAGACCAGGTGCTCAGGGTGGACAGACCACACTTCCTCCGAGGCCGAGTTATCCTGAGGTGGGTGAACAGCTTGTGAAAGAAGGGGAGAACCCTGAGGACCCTTCACTGGCAAAACATCCAAAGAAATGTTACCACCATGTGTCTCACAACTGCCAGATTCACTAGAGAGAGAGAAAAGAGATTAAAAATGATAAAAAGCAGATTGTGTCATATTTCTGTATTAATTACCCATAAATCTGAAAACAGATAAAACTACAAGTGGCATTATAAACTGTATATTTTTCAGCAGATAAAAATCCTTAACATTGGGTATTCTTAAAGTAATGTATAAAAAATAAAGTACAGTATAGGTTAAATATTGTGTGTGTGTGTGTGTGTGTGTGTGTGTGTGTGTGTAAGTGCTTAGTCACTCAGTCATGTCCAACTTTTTGCAACCCCATGGACTGCAACTGTAGCCCACCAGGCTCCTCTGTCAATTGGACTTTCCAGGCAAGAATCCTGGAGTAGGCTGCTCTTTCCTTCTCCAGATAATCTTCCAGACCTAGGGAATCAAACCCCCATCTCTGGTGTCTCCTGAATTGGCAGGCAAATTCTTTACCAGTAAGTCACCAGGGAAGCCAGATTAAATATTACTAATCTTCAATTAAAATACACAATTTCTTCCCTGCTGTAACTTATGCATGCAATCTGAAGTATCTTAAAAGATTTACTACAAAAATGCCCAATATTGAGAATTTAAGAAAAACAACAAAACTCTTTGTGTATCTTTAAGTGAATAATAATAACCAGCTTCACAATGCTAATAATACTAACGACTATAAGCACATTGCTGCCTGTGTCCAGGTTTCCAGGTTGTAGAAGAAGTGAAGGATGAGTCTGTGGATAAGTAGGTGCCCACAGGTGCTATGGGTACAGGCACAGGACCGGGGAGCAGCTTAGGGAACCAAATAGTGACAAGGGGACTGGTCCTGAATCCGAGTCCACCCTGAAACACGTGAATAAGAGGGAAAAGGACACTCCTTCCTCAGAGTGGAAAGATAACTACAGAATGGAGAAAGAAAGGTGAAATCAGAAAATCACCAGTCAGCAGCCAAGACAGGAATAACATGGGTCAGGAAGCCATTCATCCTCACTGGGCAAACAAAGTCTGGCAAGGTACAAGATCATCTACCATCTCTAAGTCACTTGCTGCAACACTCCTTCAAGATATTTATTAACTAACCTTACAATAAAGAAACTTGGCAAACGCCATTTCAACAAAGTGATAAGAATCTTCCCAGTAGTGGGACAGCCAGCACAGCTCAACACCATTGACACTGTGCTGAGAAACAAATAGCATCACTCTGTGTGTCCTTAAGTTGACACTGAAATTAAGACTATTTCATTAAGTAATTGGCCTGCACCCTGTAAGAAAACCAAGGTCCCTGGCCTATGGCCTACTTTACCCCTTTTACCAGGAAAGCACAGGAGAAATAAAGAAAGATGGCTTGGTCAAATCACCTGTCATCTTGAAAATGCCAGATCCCACAGCAAACGCACTCAGGGCCTTACCTACAAAAGGCCTGACACAGGCAGCACCTGGTCTGTCTCCCAACGTCCGTGGTAAAGAAATATGAAACTTACTAATTTATGTGGCACAGTTTGAAAAGATTCACACAGGTTACATAATTATCAAGGTATGAAATACTTTTCATGACCAAACTAGTTTCCTTCTGTGTCACATATCAATCCAGAACTTATGGATGTGGTGTTAAACCTGAGCTAGAGGGGAGAGCTGATGCTGCAAAGGGGACCACGGGCAGTCCCAGGTTCTCCTTGTTTCACCCCAAGTCAGCACCAAAGCTTCACTCTGGATAATGCCTTTGACTCTGTAGATCTTACTTGCTAAACAACCTTATGTTTTCTCAGTCGTGAAAAGAAGACCAAGGAACTCTCTTTACTGAAAGGGAGCAAAGGGACAAGATAACCAAACATGTATAATCTCAGATTCTGGACCAAAGAGGAAGTGGAAAGAGGCAGTGTCCTTTCTGTTGTTTGCCTTAGCTACACAAGGCACCACTGGGGAACTGGCAGGTACATGGGGAATCCACGGACCAGACGGTGCTCCTGGATCACGTCAGCGTCCTAACCTCGACAGGTCTGCTATGGCTATGAGGAGGTTAATTTGCAGCAAATTCAGGGCTGACTGGTCACCATGCCTGTGACTCAATCCTAAATACAGTGCCACATATACATAAAGGAAAATAGTAAAATGTCATCAACCGGGGAATTTCTGTACAGACAGTGTATGGAAGTTCTCTATACTATTTTTAAACTTTTCTGTAAGTTTGGAATTATTTCAATTTAAAAATAAAGCTGAAATAAACATTTCAAGACAAAAACCACAAAGTACAAGGGAAAGGATCAGCTCTACTATGAATTAAATAATCTTGAAATCTGGTGAAAGATGTTTTGTTAGTTTCACCTTTTGAATTCCAAGCTAGGTTTGGCAGAAGGTGGAAGAAATTCTCTGCTGGAAATGGAATCTCTAAATTCTCCAATTACTGAAAGTATGATTTTACGCATGTTTCCATAAAAGAGCTGGATGTCACTGGGCCGCTGGGGAAGATCATACACTGAAACAGAAAATAACGTGTGAAATACATGAATCTTCACACAATCACACTATTTACATATATTCTTGTACTTTTTTAGTTGGGGTCAGGTGACATTCAGATTTTGACCCTACAGATCAGCATCGATGACTTGCAGCCCAGGTTCTGTCCTGGACTTGGGTGACAATGGCACCAGCGCTCCATGGTGAGCTGTGGCCACCTCCTTCCCCGCCCTGAACTGCAGCCTTCCCCTCCTGTAACATGAACAAGCGTCCTGCCCCCTGACATAAATTACCCTGCTCGGTTTCTGCAGCGCTCAGAGGCAGCACCGCCTCACTCCAGGAAGCAGCATCTGCAGCGTGGATCTGAGAGACAGCCTCAGAGACACTTAACCTCAGCAAATCCAGAAACCAGGCAGTGTCAGCGTAACTGCATGTATTGAGACTGATCAGACAGTTTATCTAGAGATAAACCCGCCTGAATGAATGCATACATACAAGAAATTTCAGAGAACATGCCTGTATTCTACATATAAATTAAATATTAAGAATTATATATTTTTAAAATGAAACTTCAAAAAGAACACAGGAAGTACAAATTAAAATTTATATTAAGATATCTTGACTATAAAAGCCTAATTGTGAAATTATTTGCCACAATCATTACACATTTTGCAAAAGATCACTATGAATGCTTATCACAGTAATATGCTCAAACAAATGTTTTTCAAAATAATCATGTAAAAAGTTCAACTGCAACATTCTCATGGGGATCCACTATACCAATTAACACAAAACCAATGGGCTGAGTTCCCCCTCCACCTGGGCAGCGCGCACAGCACCTCCAGGAGGCCAGCACACCCTGGGGTACAGTCTGGTGACCGAGGACCCACCTGAAGCCCCCACTCATCCCCACTGCAGGGGGGCTCAGCAGGTTACCTGAGCGCTCGGCTGGGTTTGTCAGCATGACCCTTAACACATCCCCTTCCAAATGCTTGCACACCAACTCCCTCTTCCATAACACACCTCCCCAGGCACCGTGGTGCACATCTCTTCCTCACAAACGCTCCCCGCTGTCTCAGCAAGGCACACTTCTTGAGGCCCCTGAGCCCTACAAAGGGTCTCTGTCAGAACTTTCCTGCTGCACTTCCCCACCTGTCCTTGGTCTTTTAGCCCCCAGAGGCCAGGCTGCCCACACGTTCCACCCCTGTGACCATGCCCTGTACTCCCCACCCACCAAATCCATCCAATCAGTCCTGTGGCTGATCTGAGAGCTGCAGACACACATGGCCCCGTCTCATCGGGGCTCACTGCTGCTGCACCATGGCGTCCAGGGCACAGTCAGGTTAACCCTGCCACATGGCTTCTTCCATCGCGGAGGAGGGACACGCAAGGTGAAGCTTGGAGGAGCTGAGTTGAGAGAGGTGGGCTATGAAGTGAGGTTCAGCTCCCAATTTGAGACTCTTTCCAGCCATTTTCAATCTTTCCACTCTTTGTAACTAACCCACCCTTGAAGCGGATGATCTAAACTCCCAATCTGCCTGAAAGGTCATAAACTACTCTCTGTCACCTCTACACAGGAATAAATACCCTTTCCTTTATCATTTCCCACTTCAGAAGGAGTATGCACTTCATCATTAAAAAACTAGAAAATAAAAGTTTGGGGAAAAGACAATACTGCCTGAAATTCTACCAGCAGAATATAATCATTCTCAGTATTTTGGTGTGTATACTCCTGCAATTTTACCCACTTAACTATAAATATTATTTTTACCATATGTAGATCTTACATCCAAAATAAATGAGGAGCTTTTCATGTCATTTAATACAGAATCATACTGTTTGAATGGCTTCAAAACATTCTTTTGCAAGATTAAACAATCCTCTACTCTTGGACATTTAGGTTACTTCTAACTTCTTCCTATAATGAACACTGTGATGAAAATCTGTACATGTATTTTTACACAATTTGCATGTCTCCATTCTTATATTTTGTATGAGTAATAAATACCACTAAACACTTGAACTGTTCAGCTCAAACAGGTTTAAATATCTAGATTAGAATCACTCAACCACAATCACATCCTCCAAAAACTGCACACCCAGCACAAGAGCAGAGAAATCTCAAAATGAGCATAAGTGTGAAATCATGAAACCTTAAGCAGTAATAAGTTGAGTTTAATCATGACCATTCTCTGCCCACAAGTCCACCCAAACACTAAGTGCAATAACATATTAATATCTAACATTTACAAGACAAAGCTCTTCTCATCTGAACTCACAAAAGTTCACAAGAACTCTGTGCAGACAATACAAATATTATTCCTCTCATTTTATAGCTAAGGAAACTGAATTTTCAGTGATGTAAAAAGTCATACAGCAGAGCTATGACTAATTCAGCCTGACACCACATCTAAACCAACACTCTTCTTCCTTATATCACATCACTGGACCCAGAAGATCTAAAAATATATTGAGGGACTCCCCCGATAGTCTGATGGTTAAGAATCCACCTTGCAACGCAGGGGATACAGGTTCAATCCCTGGTTAGGGAACGAAGATTCCACGTGCTGTAGAGCAACTAAGCCCACATGCTCTGGAGCCATAACTAGAGAACACATATGCTGCAAGAAAATATCATACACACTGCAACTAAGACCCAATGTAGCCAAATAACAAAATAAATTTAAAATAAAATACACTGAAATTCCCACCTTCAGTTACAAGCAGCTCGTCCTGAAATGATTCTGCAAAGTCGATGCTGTGCAGCACGCTCTGACTGGGCAGGACACGCTCTCTCACCTCCGGCATGTGCAGCACGGCTCTGTCAGGAGAGATTTTATTCAAAGGCGTTTTACAGACAAAAAACCTTCATTAGATTTTATTCATGCATCTGGCAATGACTGGCAAATCCCACTGACATCATGGTGCATTAGTACATAGATATTATGCCTTAATTCACAATATACGTAATTTAAGAAAACTTGTTTTGGAAGTTCCCTTAAAAGCTATACATGGGGAGGTGGGAGGGGGGACCGGGATGGGGAATACATGTAAATCCATGGCTAATTCATTTCAATGTATGACAAAAACCACTGCAATGCTGTAAAGTAATTAGCCTCCAACTAATAAAAATAAATGGGAAAAAAAAAAAAGCTATACATGGTGGTATATATACATCATTTTCAGTTAAACATGTTAAAACAACAACTCTCTAACAGAAGAGCAGAAAGAAGATAAAATTAGATTATTTTCAAGTCATGCATTTACAGTATTTGTGATAATTTGGTCAGTTAGCAATTTGTCTCAGGAAAAAATACACCAAGAATATGATACAAATAATGCATCAAAAGAAAACATTTAAATTGCCATGTAATTCTGTCAGTCTGACCTGTTCTAGAGACTTTTGAGGTGACAGAACTGAAAAGTGAATTTCTCTAAAAAACTGAGAAGTTCACAAACAAAAGAAATCTCATTACTATAAATTAATGGCAAAAAGGATTTATAGAGCAGTACACTGATTTCTATATTCCAATAGAGAGAGGGAAAAAACCAAAAAACTGTGATCTAATTTCTCCAAATGTCAGTTACTATTTCTAAAATACTCAACTGGGAGACAAAACCACATTCCAAGTCGAACCCTTCACATCTGGTCTGTGCTATTATTATGTACGAACTCATCACTAAACTCTTTTTAAACATTCTAACAGTCCTCCACAGACTGACAGTACAGTTTCCTGAACTGTGTATCAGGAGAAAACACAGCACAACATAAAGCACTGGAAGAAGGCGAGACTGGCCTGCACACACACCACCCTCCCGGGAGGCAGTGACTTCCCATGAACCATAAATTGGCATGACCTCCACTCACCTCATACTCAGCTTTAGGTGAGGAAAAAGATTTTGTAACATAAGAACTCTGATTTCAATTCATAAATAAGTCTAAATCATACTTAGACCTAAATAAAAATTTGACAACACGCCAGCATATAAAACTACATTTAAATTGGTGTATTAAATTTTTTTAGAAGCACAAGTTTTAAGTAATTAAACACCCTACAGTGTCTAAAACACAGCTTGATCCATTCAAATAATTCTCAACACTTCCAGGAATGTTCCATGTCAGGTGTGTTTACATAATATACTTTCTTCCAGTAGTTTTTAAATCTTTTCTGAAACTGATCTGCCATCATTATCAAGATGGTCCAAGGATGAAGTCCTATCTGAACAAAGGAGCAGAGGCCACTCTCTAGAAAAGGACGCTGCAAGGAAACCTAGAGATGAGCTATTTCTACCTGTATCTCTCCTACAGGTAGCTTATTGGTCACACAAATTTTACCAAAACTGTTAACCTGCCAGTTCACTAATAAGTAGTAAAACATCTGCCATAAATTACAAATCCCAACCAGTGTTAAGCCTCCATTACTTCCATGAATGCTTCCCATCATGGTCTAAGGTAAGTAACCCACCTTCGATACTGCTGACGTGAAATTTCATCTCCACCAAAAAAGTATATAGTTGACAGTTCTGTGGTGGTTTTACAACTGCTTTCTCTGTCTGATGGATTATATATTATAGTAACATCCTGATGCCAAGAAAAAAATCAGGAGTGAATATTAAATATTTCACTCTGAACAAATGTCACAGGAACACAAACAGTGGCTGCAGACACTGATGCACATAAACAGCACCTCCAACATCAGATAAGATCCTGTATTCCTTTCAAATAAGATGTTAGCTTTAGCCATAAAATATATAATTTTTACTCTAACCTAAAAATGAGCTCATATTTTTAGTGCAGATACTTTCATACTTACTTCCTGTGTTCTTTCCTTGAGCACAAATTTGTCTGGAAAAATCCTTAATACTTTCGGATCCAGCAAAACTTTTTTCTGAGAATCCTTAAAACCTACAGCTTTAACAAAAGCTGCTCGAGAGCCAGTGTTACGGACAGAAATAACAACTCTACTTTCCCGGCCAGGTACTAAGTCATTCACTGTTACCATGTAACTGTCAGATAATTTCTTAGCATCTTCCAAAATGAGGTTACTTGTGCCTCCATATCCAGACAAAGGTATCTAAAAACAGAATACAAACATCTGGAATTATTTTTATGTAAGAAGAAAACAGAAGATCAAATTACAGTCAGAGAAGACAATGAAAACAGATTTACTGAAATTAAAATTATAAGTCTTTGTGTACTTTGCCTAATAGTTACCCCACTGCCAATCAAACCTTATCTATAGTAAAGACTCTGCTTTAAGAGAAAAACAAACCAAGGAGCTGCAAAATTATTTACCTTCCCATGTCCCAAGAATAATTATTTTTCACTGTTATAGAAACCAAGCTTAGATAAAGGAACAATAAGATTAGTATTGATATGCTTGCTTAAGAAGTGTTCAGCATGAAAGACACTGATATTTAAATTTATCTTTAAATGCATAGAAAAGATAAATTAATAGATGGTTAAATATGTGATAGAAGAAATACAGCACATTGTTAGGGTGTAGAATCTAAGTGGCAGGGTATGTGAATGTTTGCCAAGTAATTCTTTCAAATTTCCAACATGAAAAGTTTTGGGGGGAGAAAAATCTATGAGCATATAATTTTGTTAACTTTTGGTCCAGCAGAGTCAGGAGTGTGCCAAAGAGAAGCCAGAACTCAAATGGGCCTCAGGGGACAGCCAGCCTGGCCATGGGAGTGCAGCGTGGAGGCTCCAGGGTAGACCGGGCACCCTGAGCCATGGAGCCCCCAGGGGCGCAGCACCACCAGGGAATAGGAGTCACTCCTATAAATAGGAGTGCAGGAAACAGGTACCCTGCAAGGATACAAACTTTTCAAACTCTTTAAATGCACTCCATTAAATATGCTCTTCCATTCCTAATTATTAAAATAAATTCCAAAGAATCCTTTGCAAACTTGAAAACATCAGTAGCTTATTTCAAGTTGTTATGTATTACATACAATAATAACATTTTGAAAAATTAAACTCAGGCTGATGAAAACTCAGTATTGCCTGCCTTGTAGTAAAAATTAACAGCATTTAAAGGGCTTCAGATCTGAACTCCTGCAAAGTCCACCTCATCCACAGTGAGCTCTGTTGGTTCCAAGAGTCAAAAATATTTCTAATTTTTCTTCTCCCATAGAAACTTATCAGTAAATCTTATACAGGAAGCTAGAAAACAACAAGGAGAATCAGCTTTTGAAAACACTCAATATCAGTATTCTTCCTATATTTTCGAAGTCTAAGAAGTCACAAATGACTACTGACTAAAAGGTTAAAAGATGAAGAAAGATTAAATAAAATGAAATCTGAGTAATGCTCACAGACCCAAAGATTCAACCAGAAATCTGCTCTAGAGCAGGCTTCTCAGGGACTTCACTGGTGGTCCCGTGGTTAGGACTCTGTGCTGCCACTGCTGGGGGACCGGGTTTGATCACTGGTCAGGGAACTAAGATCCCTCAAGCCTACATAGCCAAAATTAAAATAAAATAAAAACCCAACTAGAGCAGGCTCCTCAGCCTAGGCACAGTGGACCCTGGGCTGGGGCCATCTGATGTGGGGCGCCCTGTACACTGGGGGATGTCTGGCCACACCCCTGGCCTCCACCCATCAGGTACCAAAAGTCTAACTGCGAAAACCACAAATGTCTCCAGAAACCACCAAGTGTGCCCTGGTGGCTGAGAACCACCACTCTGCAGGCTGTTCGGCACATCATAGCTCGTGGGGCCACATGAAGAGCTCCACAGAGCATGTGTCCACCTCCAGCATTAAATACAGTTAGATTTGCCAAAAGTATCTATTCTTTTTAAAAAAAACCTTTAGGTGGTATTAATCTTGTGACTTTTCTATATTTCCTCTGTGACACCAGGGCAAAGACCAGCTTTGCAGTCCCAGCTCTACTGCCAAGTAGCTGCTCAGTTCTGAGCTGCTTTCACAGAGCTTGGGTTTCATCCAACTACCTTGTCCCTCTTTCCTCCCCTCCAGGGTTTATCACTTTTCTCTCTTAACGCCCTGAATCTAGCTAAAGAAATAACTTGAAACCTTCTGAAATTTTGCTGGGAAGAAACAACACAGAAAAGTCCTATCTGTGTATCCCTCGGGTACAGAACAGAGTGTAACAAGTAATGTCAGGAGACACCCTGCTGAACTGAAAGAAGAAAATTTACTTGGAAAATCAACAACTTCAATCTGGACTTAACCAAACAATGGGTTCCTGAGAAGTTCAAATCAAAATGAAATAGATGAGACATATTTTACAGTGGCTGCTTTTACATTTATACTACAGTGGCTGCTTTTAAAATGGACAATTCTACAAGGTATATAATTACTCTCTAATCTGTCTGTAAATCTAGGTAACCAACCACATATTTTGACTTAAAAAAGAGTACATGTTATTTACCAATATTTAACCAATAGTTACAATACGTTATAAACTCCATGGTAGAAAAAAAAGCAGAATTATTTTACCGTGAACTTAACACCTGGTTGTGATCGAACTCCAAGTTGTTTAATTTCGAGTTTGGCCAACATACAAGACAGGCGAGTAGGTGCAAATAACACGGAGATATAAATGTCTTCTTTTGGACGAATCCTGACCTCACAGTTACTGGTCAATCGCTCTTCTGAGCCAAAAGTGTGCTGCAGCTACAATTCAAAAACAACCTCTGTGTAAGACAGAGCAGCAGCACAAACAAAACATGCCAGTAACACAGACTCTTCAAGGACGAACAACACAAGACAGCCTGAACGTAAAAGAATCTGACACAGAACAGAGCCGTGTACTCCACAAACCTGAAAGCAGTCCTGGTCTTGTCCTCTGACAAGCAGGCGTAAATGCTGGGTTGTAGACGCAGAATTGTTTCTTAAAGCTAGTTTCTGAAGCCTAGAAACAATGGCACATATTAAATGTGGTTTTCTTCCATGGATGCTGCTACAACCATAAAAGCAAAGCCAGTTAAAACAGCCTAAAATGCATTGAGGCAGATGGACTGCCTGAGCCACGTGGCGCTCCACAGTCCTCAAACTCCGAATTTCTGAGAACATGCACTCAAGACTCACCACATTGGAGAGGACTTTCAGTTTAATCTCTCTCCTGTTACAGCTCCTTAGCTGCCCTAATTATCCACACTCTATGTGTAGGAATTACCTGTTTTACAAAATCATCAGAAAATACAGATGAACTATTTCATTTAGTCAAGACCATGCTTAGCTCCAAAACCTACCTTTCATGGAAACAAAGGTCCTAAGCACGTTGTCCAGATTTTTTACTTTAAGAGGCTCATCTGTACAAAGTAGTCTTTTAAAAAGCATACTGCAATTAACCTAACTTTTAAAAAACTTACAATGCAAGTAGCACTGCAGCTGGCTGGCAATATGAAAATCCTCCAGCCTCTGCAAATACATGCATTCTCTCTTCACTGGAGAAGAGAAAATACATGAATAAATATCTATTTTACACAAATTTTGAAAATTAACAGTTAAATTATCTAAGCTGTGGTCTGTGCCTTGTGTACCTTGTATTAAAAAGGAAATGCTGCTGCGTTTAATTAACCTCAGAGTAAAATCAAAGACCTTTGGTTATTAGCACACCCAAGAAAAGCCTTCCACAGGTACTCTGCCTGGGAAAGACTTGCAGAAAAAAATTTTCTCATAAAAACAAAGCCAATTAAAACCAAGTGCAGTGTTCAGAGATGGACTGGCTGCATGGGCACAGGAGCCGCTGGGGAGGGCAGTCCTAAATCCCAGGACCATGCAGGACAGTGCAGGAGTCTAGCTGAGAGTGCTTTCACTACAGCTACCCACAGAAAACCACCCTTCACCAGTTGGATTGTAAAGGCCTCTAAGAGGCGAAGTCTCTGCTCCTTCTTCCCACTGGCCTCCAGTGCTTTCCAGAGAAGGAACCAAGATACTTGTAGCTGCCTAAGTTTGGTCATCAGCAAAGAATTCACCAAAGAGCTTAAGAAAACTGAAACCTAATTTTTTTGGCTTGTATTTTAAAAACATGAAAAATTTAACTAAAAGATATGAATTCATGGTAGGATGAATATTGAATATAAGATATCTTGTTTTATTTCAGTTCTAAGAACGTGAATATGGTCATCATGGAGACAGCAAAGAATAACAGTCGGTGATGATAGCTGCTGTGCATACTCACTGTGTTCTACCGAGGGGGACACCTCCCCAGGCCAGAAACTGCTTGTTGGATAAAATCGAAGGAATATCTGAGCTGAGAGATTCAGGCACCAGAGGCCTATTTCCCGAAGAAACTATTTCACCTTTTAACATCACTTCATACTGAGGGCCAAATGGCTGCACGAATATTTTCAAGATCCTAGCAAAGAAAACCATCCAAGTTCAGTGTTCAGAACTCAATTCTTTTGGCAACTACTGTCCTACCCGCTTCCTTTGTCCAAGAGCCTGAGCCGAGTGCTGAGGACACAATGTGCGCCGTTCCTCAGACCTGATGTCCCAGAGGAGGAAGCCAGTGGGAAAGAAGACAGGCACGTGCCTGAGTGCAGATGAGAGGAGTTCACAGGCAAGGAATCCAGGTAGGGCTGAGGAAAGCCTCTGGGTGGAGACTCTACCCGGCGGGAGGGGGCTGGGCTAAGCTACGTGTGCCAGGCAAGTTCATAAGCCGGTGACAAGGATACTATGACCACTGTATGGTGATATTCACTCAGGATTTGGGGAAGGAGTGGGGAAATATCTTTAACAACTAACAAGGTCAACGGATGGTGTCCTTGGAGAGGAGAGGTTAGTGAGAAACAGTAATACTTTCAAATAAATTTGAAAATAGTGATTTCTTACTTTCTAGTCAGTTGGTTTACAAGGAGATTTTCAGTGAAGAGAAAGAAGGTCTGAGGCAAAAGGAAAGAGCTGTGCTGTCTGCCACACGAAGTGAAGCATGTTCCCTGTCCTCCTACCCATAGACTAGAGAACAAACTCGCCATGGTGAACAGCTTTACATTACCTTTCCTCATAGCCCGTGGGATCCTTTGGAGAAAATGAAACTATAACTTCATGCTCTTCTCCAGGTTTAAGGAATAGTTTCTCTGGATCCACTGAAAAGTGACTTCCTTGATCTGGGATCTAAATGTTGATGTAATAAGTCACAGGTTTCACACATTCATGCCCTTATCTCCCACTGACGACCATACATCTTCCCTCCTCCTTTACCACCAGAGCCCCGCCCATCCTTACCTCCTGACTGCAAACACCCCCTCACACACCCAAACATATCATAAGTGACATCTACACACGTGGGTCCTGTCCTCCACCCCATCAGCTCCAGGGTATCATGTCCTCAGGAACTAATCTGGGGCTTGGTTCTTATATGTACAATGTGAGGCATCCCAGCTGAAGTTCTTTGTCATCTGCCTTATGCTCGGGCAACACTAGCTCTGATTCTTCCTCCTGACCCCCATGCCCCCACCTCCCCAGCCCTAGACAAGGTGGGCGGACAGCAACCTTCAGAACCTGAGGGGTCCCTGATCATCTCAGTCCAAGAGAATAAGCTACCATCTCCGATACAAATTCTTACCTTGATATCCAGGTGTACATCAATATTCCCAGCATTTTTCAGAGGTAAGTACTGCCTTGCCGAGGAAGCCACACTGGCAAACAAATGTAGAGTCTAGGGGACGGAATAAAGCAGGCATTTTTTAAATATTATACTTAGCATGGAATCAACGTGGACATATGGTAACAGCAAAGGGAGGAGCCCAGGGTACCTGGAGATCTTTAGGGGCATGGATGCGGGCAATTCCTGTCCTTGCTCGAAGACTGATGCTTTTAATGACTGGTGTGGGGTTTGGACTATCAACTTCTATATCGACTCTTGCCAAAAATTCTTCTGCTGAGTCTAGAAGCTCTATAAAAGGTCATTCTTTTAGTTCAGACAACAGTTATTTAATCCTAAATGCCACACATGGACCAACACTATGCCCTTGGGGGTACAAAAAAATCTTAAGCAAAATGACTTTTTAAAGAACTCAGAAAGAAACAGAAATGAGTGGAGGAGAAAAAGGAAGAAAATACCTGATAGATGAGATATTATCAGTTAAGAGAAAAGATCCCAAAAGGTTTTCAGTGTTACTTGCTTGAGTTACCCACATTTGGAGGGGTCTGACCCAAAATAGCAAGCTGTCTGCCCAATTTTAAAACATCATAAAATATCTAACAAATTACAGGGAACATCTGACACATTCATTGATGGAAGAAATAAGCCTCAATTTGCTAGTTTATTTCACTACAGAGTAAAGCAAATACCATAAAAGGTAAACATGATACCTGAAGAAGTGATCTGTTTCTTTGGACTATGGAAAAGAACCCAAATCACCAGAAATTCTGGATCCTGTAAAATAAAAAAATGTTTGCATATATAGCGAAAGAAAAGTAGTTTGGAGCCTGACTTCCTCCTTAACTCTAAACCAGTCCCTCCAACTCCCAGTTACCTGTCCGTCGAGACTAGCAGGCATCATGTGGTTGATCACCGATGGGGCGGCCAGCTGCGCGATCGCGTGGGCGTAAGGCAATGCTCTTAGAGCTGCGTGGATGGGCTCCTTGGAAAAGGTGAAGCAGCGCCAGGCCACAGCATTCTGTCAGAAACAGGAGGGGCTACTTTAGCAGAGCCAATGGTGTCATGCTGGTGGGAGGCTACATCTGTTCACAAAGCCTTAACAAAAACAGTGACATTCTAGACAGAAGTCAGCCAAGGATGCTACCAGCTGTACCTACACCTGTCCACGAAGCTCTGTGAAAGGTCACTCATGAGCAGCGTACTTACAGCACTGATAATCAGTCTGATGGGGATGTTGGCATGTGTCTTGTTCACCAGTTTTAGAGGCAGAGCTTTCCAGCTTCCATAAGTCAAGTCGCCAAAATCAAGAACACCTTTCTTTTCTGTTTCTACCTAATTATGGGGGAAAAAGAGATTTATAGAAATATATTACTAAATATGACAGTTCATATCACTGCCCTTCTAGCCACAAATAGTCAGTATTAAAGGTAAGCTTACCTGAAATTCCGAGGGCTACTTTACAATTGCTACTTTCTACCAAAAAAATTCTTTTTTTTTTTAAATGTAGTCCATGTACCCAAATATACTACAGAAAAAAGTTACAACTGAACTGCGGCTGCTTTTAGAAGACTGCTAGTCAAGCTCTCAGGCTCTTTACTACCATGGATGCAGTCCTGCCTTCATGTGCCCACAAAGCCAAGTCTCCATGTACATCCACACTGAACCCGCAGCACTCCTCAAATTTCTAAGTGATGCTGTCACTGGACATGGTTCCAAGAGAAGCCCTCCTTCAAAGAACACAGGAGGCTGTCCTGGTTGATTCTGTGATACTCCAGACCTCTCACCTAACCACTTACCACACTGCTTCTTAGAGTGCAATCTAAAAGGCAAATGTATAACATCCAACATTTACAAAGCACCAGGAATAATCCCTGGATCTGCTTAAATTTCTCGGTCTCCCCCACTTTTTAAAAAAACTAGTTCTATCAAGTGACTTTATTGAGCATTCCACACAGTCACCCATTCACATGGTCACAGGAAAGCTAACCCTGACCCTCAAGAAGTAAATCTGAAGCAATTTTCCAAGGGTTACTTTTCTGGGGGGATCAAAATCAAGCCTTGTTTCATGTGTGGGAGATAGGTTCTTGGCTAACTAGGTTATACTGAAAATTTCAGCACAACCAAGGGGAAAAAAAAAAACCATAGTGTTGAAGAACCAAGAAATGGGAGAAAATAATCACAAAGCATAACTACTGCCAGGGATTTATATTCCAGAATACAAAGAACATCTACAAAAATTGATAAAGACGTTCAAAACAAAAATGGGCAAGAAATATGAACAGGCAGTTCAGAGAAGAGGAAGCCAGGACAGATAACAGACACAAGAAACGATGCTCAACACCACAGTCACACAAGCATGAGAGTCACAACTGGAACTTCACATCCACGTAGAAAGCAAACAGTTCACAATCTAACAACACATCAGCAACAACAGGCACTCACATCTGTTTCCTCAGGGAACACACATCAGCAAGAGGCCACAGAGAGCCAAAATAAAAGCATACATACATAAAATGTCATGTTCATTACAGCCACCTGGGACAGCCTCTAACAAGTCAGTAGGTTACTGAGCGGTCTCACAGATGCAGCCTCTGTGTGAAGTCCCTGAACCACCTCTCGTGGGGATACTGCTCCCCCATCATACCCTGCTGCACCTTCAAGTCCAACTACTCCTCCTGGAAGGCTCTGCCCCATTGGGCTAAGGCTGAATCATCCCTTATACTGAGGTCCCCAGGCTCGTCTGTGCGCTGGACTCAGAGCTCAAATGACACCCCGGACCAGTGAAATCGCAGTCTCCAGGGCTGGGACACAGCCATCACTGTTTCTTCCAAGTGAGTCATGTGACTCCAAAGAGCAGACCAATCCACTAAGCGTGACTTACATGAGCCTGTCAAAACATGACAGCCTCAAATACTACTTAGTATCTGTTTCTGCTACAGAAATGTAGTCTGAATGTAAAACCAGAATTTAAAACTCTTGGAGAAAAACAGGCAGAACACTCAGTGACATAAATCAAAGCAAGATCCTCTGTGACCCACATCCTAGAGCAGTGGAAATAAAAACAAAAGGAAACAAGTGGGACCTAATGAAACTTAAAAGCTTTTGCACAGCAAAGGAAACTTTAAGTAAGGTAAAAAGACAACCCTCAGAATGGGAGAAAATAATAGTAAATGAAACAACTGACAAAGGATTAATTTCCAAAATACACAAGCAACTCATGCAACTCAATACCAGAAAAACAAACAACCCAATCAAAAAGTGGGAAAAAGACCTAAATGGGTATTTCTCCAAAGACATAGATGGCTAACAAACACATGAAAAGATGCTCAACATCACTCATTAATAGAAAAATGCAAATCAAAACTACAATAAGGTATCACCTCATACTGATCAGAAAGGCCATCATCAAAACGTCTACCAACAATAAATGCTGGAGAGGGTGTGGAGAAAAGCTCTTGAACTGTTGGTGGGAATGTAAATTGATACAGCCACTATGGAAGACAGTATGAAGTTTCCTTAAAAAACTAGGAATAAAACCACCATATGACTCAGCAATCCCACTCCCAGGCATATACCCTGAGGAACCAAAATTGAAAAAGACACATGTATCCCATTGTTCATTGCAGCACTATTTATAATAGCTAGAACATGGAAGCAATCTCAATGTCCATCAACAGATGAATGGAGAAAGAAGTTGTGGTACATATACACAATGGAATAATACTCAGCCATAAAAAGGAATGCATTTGAGTCAGTTCTGAACCTAGAACCTATTATACAGTGTGAAGTAAGTCAGAAAGAGAAAGATAAATATTGTATTCTAACACACATATATGGAATCTAGAAAAATAGTACTGAAGAATTTATTTACAGGGCAGCAATGGAGAAACAGATGGAAAATAGACTTATGGACATGGGGAGAGGGGAGGAGAGGATGAGACATATGCAAAGAGTAACATGGAAACTTACATCACCATATATAAAATAGATAGCCAACAGGAATTTGCTGTATGGCTCAGGAAACTCAAACAGGGGCTCTGTATCAACCTAGAGGGGTGGGATGGGGAGGGAGATGGGAGGCAGGTTCAAAAGGGAGGGGATATATGTATACCTATGACTGATTCATATTGGGGTTTGACAGAAAACAACAAAATTCTGTAAAGCAATTATCCTTCAATAAAAAATAAATTAACTTTTTAAAATGTAGTCTGTTTAAGGACAGGTTCAAAAGCCTGGTCAGTGGCATGCATTGAAACACAGAAAGTCAATGACACTGTCTCAAATAGGGGTAATTTGGTAAAGTCATCACAACTGGGGGAAAGTAGGTGCTACTGACACCCAGTGAGCAGAAACCAGGGCTCTGCTAAGCTCCCCACATTGTACATGACAGCCTCCACCATGTAACAACCACCCAGTCAGACATGGCAATGGTGCCAAAGCTGAGAGTCCCTACCCTGAAACAAGCATGGCACAGCTGATTGAAAATTCATAAAATGCCACTTAAGCATAATGTAAAGCACTACGAGTTATAATAACAGAACTTCCACAAACTCTATTTCCTCCTCCATACCATGGACAAGTAAACTGCTAAGCCCAGGCAGTAAGCACAGCCCCAGGGAGGACAAAGAAAAGCATGTGCACGCAGGAAAGGAGGCCCACAAGGTCCTCATCAGCCTCCTCGGGGAACCCCACCCGTACCTCACCTCGAAACAGAAGCACAGTTAGAGCTTCTCTGAGTCAAAGAACAAAATGGGTGTGATGGGAGCAGTTCAGAGCCCCAGTGAGGGTGGCTAAACTCATATTAGGTTCCACCGCAGGCCCTTCAGTCTCCAATCACCGGGAAGAGTGTTCTGCTTGTCCTGCTCTGTACCCAGCCCACCCTCTCGCTGGTTCCCGAATCGTGTTCAGTGTGCTAGTTCTGATTCTACTCACAACCAATAAGAATAAGACACTGCATGTGCAGTCACACATGTTAACTAATGCTACAATCTGTAATCATCCAGTGAGGTTTAGAAATCACTGCTACTTGGCCACGTCCTCCCCCTCCCATGATTCTGATTTAGCTGGTATGGGTGGGACCAGGCACTGGGGTACACCTAAAACCCCCAGTTATTTCAATGTCCAGGGTAAAGAGCCACTGTCCTAAGGAGCCTCCTATCCAGAAGGCACTTCATTGTCCCAACTGGGCTAGACCTAATTTCTTTCACTTCCAGAAAAGAGGAGACTGTAGAATAGGAATGTTTTCAGGTATGGAAAAAAACGGAGGACAGAATCTGAACGTGGTGCTTTACCCCCACACATCAAACTACAGAGTGGAAACCAGGTGGAAAACTGGGTTTAATGTTATACTTTGTTTACACGCTTCTCAGCAAGTATACCTGTGCTTCTGTAAAACAACAGAAATAGTTTTAAGTGTCTTGTTTTTGGCAGTGCTCTGCAGCTTGTTGGACCTGAGTTCCCTGACCAGGGACTAAACCCATGCCCTTGACAGTGGTGGTACAGAGTCCTAACCACTGGAACACCAGGGAATTCCCAGAAATAATTTTAAATTTTGGAATAAGAAGATATTAACAGCCAATGTTTGTCTTGACTATAACTTTCTGGCACAGCCATCCACAAATTCATTTTACCCAGATATTACTTCTAAAGTTTACATAGCCTCATTAAAATATCAGGTGTGACAAAGACCCACTCACAGACAGTCACCTCGATCATAGGGGTCTCAGCAATGGCCGTGAGGACAACCCTGCTCGCCAGGGCTTCTGCCTGTGCCACGGTCTCTGCGTCAGCTGAGAATGGCCAGGAAGCAACACTGAATATACATCGGAAGATCCCGGGGTCAGACGGTATGAAGAGCACTTTAATCTCTTCTGTGGCATGAGGTCTTATAATGACTCTATTCTTGAAAACTAAACAAGGATAAGCTGAAAAATCCACCTTAAAAAGAAGAGACATGTGGTCTGTTAAGAAATAACTTCACATTGAAAATCAGGAGGAAAAAACAATGAGCTTAAGATCTGTTTTCACAGTCAAATTACCAAATCTAGACATGTTAGCTCTTCAAAAGCACCCATGTCTCATAATTCGATATCTGGAAAAATAAAATCAGTCATATTTATCAGGACTTTTTTTTTCTTTTTTTGGCCACATCGCATGGCTTGTGGGACCTTTTCCAACCAAGGACTAAACCCGGGATGAGGCAATGAAAATGCCAAATACTAACCACAGGACTGCCAGGGAACTCCCATAAGGACTTCTGAAGAGAAGTTATTTTTACCTCCACTTTCTTTGAAAGGGTGCTGGAAATGGCAGCACTTTCAGCCCTGGACATCACCCTAGGATCCGCCTCCCACCTTGGACATCACCTGGGACCTGGTCTCTGCAGCTGTGTGCAGACTAATCTCCAAGGCTCCTCGTCAGGCCTCCAGGTTTACGATTCTGACTCATTCAAACCCCTCCCTCCTCACCCTAAATGAGAATCTTCTTTACTCCCACTTCCAGAGACAACATTACCTCCTATGTACCCCTCCAATCTCACCACCTCTCACCCTCAACCCTTTCCTCAGCCACTTGTTTTCCTCTGCCCTAAGGATCAGAGGGGAAGAGTCAGGAAAAAGGAGAGAGAGGGTAAAGTCTTATTAATCAGGTAAATCAAGGTCATCACTAGGAGCTAAGAGGAAAGAGTAAACCCGCCCACCAACATCTGTATGTGAGGAGCTGCTGACAGTGCTTCCCATCCTCCCCACTTGCTGAAGCCCACAGGGTCTAGAGTCTAGAAGTCAGTGGCTGTGACTGATCATGTGAGAGACTCCTACTCTCATGTTGAAACGGTGTTTCCAGATATTTCAAACGGTCATGTAAAGGACTTCCCTGGTGGTCCACTGGTTCAGTGCCTGCCTTGCAATATGGGGTATGTGGGTTTGATCCCTGGTCAGGGAACTAGGCTCCCATATACCTCGAAGTAACTAAACCCATGTGCTGAAACTGAGGCCACATGATGCAATGAAGATTCCAAGTTAGGAGACCTGACACAGTCAAGTAAATAAATAGACAGATATTAAAAAAAGAAAATCATGTGAGAACACAATCAGATAAATTCACTTACCAAAAGCAGGTATACTTTCCAACAGTAACTTGTTTCTTTTGGGGGTTTTGTTTTGGTTTTTTGGATAAATGCAGCAATTTATATTCAATCACACTGAACAAAACCAGCAGAGACCAGAAACTCAGAGCTCCAGTCAGGGTTTTAAACAATAGCACAAAAAAGCATATTTACATGATAAAAACATGTAAAAACAAGTGACAATAAAGTATTATGGTTAATAAATAAACAGTATTACTTTGCCAACAAAGGTCCATCTAGTCAAGGCTATGGTTTTTCCAGTGGTCATGTATGGATGTGAGAGTTGGACTATAAAGAAAGCTGAGCGCCGAAGAATTGATGCTTTTGAACTGTGGTGTTGGAGAAGACTCTTGAGAATCCCTTGGACTGCAAGGAGATCCAACCAGTCCATCCTAAAGGAGATCAGTCCTGGGTGTTCATTGGAAGGACTGATGTTGAAGCTGAAACTCCAATACTTTGACCACCTGATGCAGGGAGCTGACTCATTGGAAGAGACCCTAATACTGGGAAAGACTGAGGGCAGGAGGAGAAGGGGATGATAGAGGATGAGATGGTTGGAAGGCATCATTGACTTGATGGACATGGATTTCGACGGACTCCAGGAGTTGGTGATGCACAGGGAGGCCTAGCGTGCTATGGTTCATGGGGTCGCAAAGAGCCGGACAAGACTGAGCGACTGAACTGAACTGAACACCTGGTAATACCAGAAACAAACTCAGGTTTCACTTTCACTAGAAGTACTACAACAAAAGGAGAACCAAGATAAAGACACTTTCCAACACTTCTGTGTCAAGCGCAGGGTGGGGACAAGCTCCCAGCATCAAGGGAGAGGTAGGGAAAGAAGAAGTCCAGCATTAACAAGGTGACCACTCAATCAGGAGAAAGACACAGGGAACTCACCTTCTCACCGTCAACACTGACACTGAGAACCCCGATGCTGACCTGCAGCCAGCGGTCAGCAGGGTTCAGGACACTGAGGTAGGTTTGTGAAGCAATGCCAACACAGCAAGCATGAGGAAACTTCAATTCCTCGGGTACACTTACTCTCCCTGGAAAGAGAAAAGCAGAGTCAAAACCACACCCAACCTAATTAAAATAACAAAAGAACTCCAAGTTCAAAGCCTGAGACAGAACCAGAGAGACAAAGACAGGAGTTTGACCTACGTTTTTACATTTTTCTAGGGCTACTCTGGGACCCCTGCACAGAAATATGGTCATGTTCCAAATTCAGGATAAAGAAAAAAGCTCACATGAAATTCACTCTAATCATTACTTCCTTGAAACAAACCAGTTTTAAGGTCCCAATTGAGACAATAATTCAACCTTTAAACAACAGCAACCAACAACAAGCAGCATCAGAGTAAAAGGGTCTTACCAAGTCCTGACACCACTGCTGAATCCCATGGCTCAATTCCACAGTCTGGATGGAGAGATTGCACAGGAAGCACTTTGGCCGCATTCAGAAGGTTCTGACTGAAGGCGTCAGAGTACAGGTTACAAAGGGAAGAGGAGGCTATCAGCCCTGAGCCAATATCCTGTCCCAGGCAGAGGCCTGCAGTCACCAAGCGCTGGACATGCTCTCCCACAACAGCAGGGTGACAGCTTCCCGGGAGCCCACAGGAGAGCCCACAGGTGGTGGCGCCACAGGCCCGGCAGCGAGGCAGGGTGGCACTGCTGGCTGCAGGCAGTGCCCCAGCGTGCGGCTGGGCACACGGAGCCACGGGGAGGGGATAGCGTACTGAGGCTGCAGGGTCTGTGGGGGGCATGTGCTGCCTCATGGGTGCAGGGCCGCGGCCCTCAGTGCTGGAGACGGACGTCGGGTAAGGACCCTGGCCACTGAATTTGCTGTTAGTCGCTGATGTGTCTCTAGGAGTCACGTGCCCACCGTTGAGCACAGGTGCCTGGCGGGACATGGGGAGGCACGGTATGGCCAATGTGGCCGGGTGGAGGCGGGATTCACTCGGCAGAGCCAGGCTGACCTGTTCCAGGTCACCACGGTCTGAGGTCAAACCTGTCGCACTGGTCTGTGACCGATCTTCACTCTTGGAGGAAGGCAGTCTACTGGAGCTAAAGTCTAGTTTTACATCTTCAGGTCTGCTGCTCAGAGAAGTCGTTTCAGTCACTTTTCCTGTGTCCAAGTTCTTCTGGATAATATACGATAATGCTCCTTTTCCTCTACTTTGAAAAGGACTTTTTTCTCTCAACTTATCCGCAGACAGCTCCTGAGCTGGAACTGGACTGGCCTGGATAATTGTGGTGCTCAGCTCACTGGTGATATCACTCTGTGTGACAGAAAATGTTTAGAAATTATCCACAGATAAAATGAATATTACAAAAAAAATTTTTTTTAATGAGTATTACAAATGCAAACCATGCTGATATACTCTGAAAGAGCAGAGATCTACATAACATCACAACTCTAAAAAAAAAAATAGGGCTATAAGAGTAGTAGCTTCTGTAGCTGTGAAAAGCAGGATTAAGAGTTAGAAAATCTGCATTCATTGTTTTTTGGCATCCCACTCCAGTATTCTTGCCTGGAGAATCCCATGGACAGAGGAGCCTGGCAGTCTACAGTCCATGGGGACAGAAGAGTCAAACACAACTTAGCGACTAAACCACACCACCACATTCCCTGTTTTTACCAATTACAGAACCAGAAACAAGTAGTTTTGTTTAATAATTAAGTGTCTTCAAACTCCCAAATTTTACATCTACGACATCATGGTCTGGCCTCCCTTCTTCTCTCCACATATACAATATAGTGTGGCCATGAATCAAATGCAGGGTGTGTTCTGTGATTCCCTCTTCCCCCACACCTGACTTCAGGTAGGCCCCATCGAGCTCTGCTGGACATGCCATCAGCTGAGGCCGTCCGTTGCCTCCTGAAGCTCCCACAGTGCACTTCACTGCACAACATGTCTTTGCGTGCTCCACCAGACTGAGAGCTTTTTGAGGGCAGACACTAAATATGTACACCTGCAGTGCCAACCCAGCACAAGTAGCTGTTTGAGCACAACATGTGTGCATGCACGCACACACACTTACTTTATTTTATTTTTTTTTAGTAAATCATACATTTTATTTATTTATTTATTTTTTCACAACCATAGTGTATCTTTTTTTTTTTTTTTTTTTTACATGTATTCCCCATCCCGGTCCCCCCTCCCACCTCCCTCTCCACCCAATCCCTCTGGGTCTTCCCAGTGCACCAGGCCCGAGCACTTGTCTCATGCACCCAACCTGGGCTGGTGAACTGTTTCACCCTAGATAATATACGTGTTTCGATGCTGTTCTCTTGAAACATCCCACCCTCGCCTTCTCCCACAGAGTCCACAAGTCTGTTCTGTACATCTGTGTCTCTTTTTCTGTTTTGCACATAGGGTTATCGTTACCATCTTTCTAAATTCCATATATATGTGTTAGTATACTGTAATGGTCTTTATCTTTCTGGCTTACTTCGCTCTGTATAATGGGCTCCAGTTTCATCCATCTCATTAGAACTGATTCAAATGAATTCTTTTTAATGGCTGAGTAATATTCCATGGTGTATATGTACCACAGCTTCCTCATCCATTCGTCTGCTGATGGGCATCTAGGTTGCTTCCATGCTCTGGTTATTATAAACAGTGCTGCGATGAACATTGGGGTGCACGTGTCTCTTTCAGATCTGGTTTCCTTGGTGTGTATGCCCAGAAGTGGGATTGCTGGGTCATATGGCAGTTCTATTTCCAGCTTTTTAAGAAATCTCCACACTGTTTTCCATAGTGGCTGTACTAATTTGCATTCCCACCAACAGTGTAAGAGGGTTCCCTTTTCTCCACATCCTCTCCAGCATTTATTGCTTATAGACTTTTGGATAGCAGCCATCCTGACTGGTGTGTAATGGTACCTCATTGTGGTTTTGATTTGCATTTCTCTGATAATGAGTGATGTTGAGCATCTTTTCATGTGTTTTTTTGCCATCTGTATGTCTTCCTTGGAGAAATGTCTGTTCAGTTCTTTGGCCCATTTTTTGATTGGGTCATTTATTTTTCTGGAGTTGAGCTGGAGGAGTTGCTTGTATATTTTTGAGATTAATCCTTTGTCTGTTGCTTCATTTGCTATTATTTTCTCCCAATCTGAGGGCTGTCTTTTCACCTTGCTTATAGTTTCCTTTGTTGTGCAAAAGCTTTTAAGTTTCATTAGGTCCCATTTGTTTATTTTTGCTTTTATTTCTAAAATTCTGGGATGTGGGTCATAGAGGATCCTGCTGTGATTTATGTCGGAGAGTGTTTTGCCTATGTTCTCCTCTAGGAGTTTTATAGTTTCTGGTCTTACATTTAGATCTTTAATCCATCTTGAGTTTATTTTTGTGTATGGTGTTAGAAAGTGTTCTAGTTTCATTCTTTTACAGGTGGTTGACCAGTTTTCCCAGCAACACTTGTTAAAGAGGTTGTCTTTTTTCCATTGTATATCCTTGCCTCCTTTGTCAAAGATAAGGTGACCATAGGTTCGTGGATTTATCTCTGGGCTTTCTATTCTGTTCCATTGATCTATATTTCTGTCTTTGTGCCAGTACCATACTGTCTTGATGACTGTGGCTTTGTAGTATAGTCTGAAGTCAGGCAGATTGATTCCTCCAGTTCCATTCTTCTTTCTCAGGATTACTTTGGCTATTCGAGGTTTTTTGTATTTCCATACAAATTGTGAAATTATTCGTTCTAGTTCTGTGAAAAATACCGTTGGTAGTTTGATAGGGATTGCATTGAATCTGTAGATTGCTTTGGGTAGTATAGCCATTTTGACAATATTGATTCTTCCAATCCATGAACACGGTATATTTCTCCATCTGTTTGTGTCCTCTTTGATTTCTTTCATCAGTGTTTTATAGTTTTCTATGTATAGGTCTTTTGTTTCTTTAGGTAGATATACTCCTAAGTATTTTATTCTTTTTGTTGCAATGGTGAATGGTATTGTTTCTTTAATTTCTCTTTCTGTTTTCTCATTGTTAGTGTATAGGAATGCAAGAGATTTCTGACACACACTTACTTTAAAGGAAAAAGAGGAACTAAAATTAGTCAGGCCTGAATTCAAGTCTGAGTCCTACATCTGGAAGACTTCAGAGGTAAGTGTGAGTAAAGAAGTGACAGAAGCTGCTTACCTCGTGGTCGTCAAGGCCATGACGTGAGGCCATGGAGGGACTGATGCTCTCCTGCTCAGACACGTACGTCAGCCTGCTGACACTGGCCTCCGGACACGTCACCTGGGACGACTCCCTCTCACAGGGGCGCTTCTGTGGATGAGCTGCTGAACCAAAAGACTCCAGGGCACACCTGGAAGAGAGAACACTTGTGTCTGGACTTGTCCACCCCTTCACTTAACATCATCTACATGGCAGAAAAACCCTTCCTGCTTGCCTACAACCCCATCAACCTTCGCTACTGTCTGTCCCAGTTACCATATGCAACTCAACCCTGGATTCACTCTTTTTACCCTTGATTACACCTTCTTACCATTATCTAAATCTGTGAATTATAGTCCTATTGAATGAAGTATCTGGTAAGCTACTGAAAAAAAAATGTTGTGGCAGTTTTATTAATAAATTCCATATACAATACCTTAACAGTGTTAGCTTTTCATTCAACAGTTAATGAAGACGTGATAAAGACCAACGAACAGAGTACTCGGCAACTCCTGCCCCAAAGAGCAAAGCAAAAACAAGAATCTCGTGGACGAGTACATAGAAATGGGCAGAGCTGCACCATGGTGGGGAGACCAAGGGCACAGCTCCTGGGTGACCATCAAGCAGGCACAGCCAAACCCCTGTACTCAGGGGCTATACATCAAGAGATGAGTCCTGCGGAAAATATCAGGGCTAACTATAGAGATTCACTAAAACGATATGTCACACACCACTATCAGTACTAAAGCAGGGCATCTTAGATGTCATACAGGAGAAGGAGGTTATGGCAATTAGGGTACAGACATACAATAAATCAATGGGCAACTGTTTTAAATCATGCAGCTGAATACTACCAACTGGCTCAGAAAGATGTTCAGGATATATTAAGTTTTAAAAAGTTAGTAAGCAATAAATAGTAAGATCCCACATACACGTTCCACATTCCATCAATCCCCAGCACAGAGCCAGGCCAGCCTGACAGAGGAGGGACCAGGTTTCCTCTCAAGGAGGAGTAGGAGACACACTGGGTGGGAAACACCATCAAAGCCACCTTTGCAAACAGCTGCTGCACTCCTGCAAACTCCGCCACTTAGTTTCAAGTCTGTAATTAATTGGACTGAATTTTACTCCCACCCCCCTTTTTCTCCCCCTCCACCCCCACCCCACCCCCGCCACCGGCAAAGTTTGGAATACTCAGGTGGGCAACGGATACAGAGAGAAAATCCTATTTTGAATTCTGGATTTTTACAAAGACCAAATCAAGATAGCACTGACCCAACACTAGTGAATCTCTAATCTGTGGAAACAAAATACTAACCAACTTGCTTCAGGCCCACTTTAGCCCTGAAAGACATGCACCTGCGTGGGTTCTGTATGCACATGCACACACATGCACACACACGCACACACACTCATACTCACACAGACAACATGGGGCGGCATGAAGAAGAGTTCTGGGTACTGTGGAGCATGCTGAGTCTAGCACCTCTGGTCAAAAGGAACAGAAGCACTGAGGCTGTTATTACCTCAAGCAATGAGAACTGAACTGTAAGAACACACAGAAACAAAAGGAGAGAAATTCAGGATGCCAGACTGGTGCCAGCCACACAGAGACTCAAGGCAGCACTGGTCCTGCCAGAAGGTGACTGGACATTAAAGACCAGCAGCAGGAGTACTGGCAAGTGGCACAGTCAGGAGACAACACGCTCTCACCAGAAAGATGTGGCCACTCAACAGATCAATCTTCTGACCGACATTTCACCGTGAATGTTAAGAAACTTAGAGAAAATGAGTTGGAAGAAACAAGAAAAAAAAAGACTAAAAACATGAAAGCCATTTTACAATAAAAAAGTACAAGTAGGATTTCAATAAAAAGAAATGAATACAAAATGAATGATCATACTGGCAGCCATGAAAAGCATAGTTGGTACAGCAGAAAATAAGCAATGGTGAGGAAACACTTGAACAGCTAGGCTACTCCATGATACAGGGAGAATGCAGAGATATGAAGATGAGGAGAAAGAAACAGGAACGGATGCCCCAAGAGGCAGTCCCAGCTTGGGCATCAACTCTCCTTAGGGAAGAAGAGTAAATGCAGCCATAAAATTAAAAGATGTCTGTTCCTTGGAAGGCAAGCCAAGACCAATCTAGACAGCATTTAAAACGCAGACATTACTTTGCCAACAAAGTTTTGCCTAATCACTATGGTTTTTCCAGCAGTCATGTATGAATGTGAGAGTTGGACCATAAAGAAAACTGGGTGCCGAAGAATTGATGCTTTTGAACTGTGGTGTTGAAGAAGATTCTTGAGAGTCCCTTGGACTGCAAGGAGATCCAACCACCCCATCCTAAAGGAAATCAATCCTGAATATTCATGGGAAAGACTGATGCTGAAGCTCCAATACTTTGGCCACCAGATGTGAAGAACTGACTCATTGGAAAAGACCCTGATGCTAGGAAAGATTGAAGGCAGGAGGAGAAAGGGATGACAGAGGATGAGATGGTTGGATGGTATCACCGACTCGATGGACATGAGTTTGAGCAAGCTGCAGGAGTTGGTGATGGACAGGGAAGCCTGGCATGTGGCAGTCCATGGGGTTGCAAAGAGTCACACATGACTGAGCGACTGAACTGAACAAAGGGAGAGACCACTGTGCACAGAGAGCACAACCCAAGAAAAGCAACTACAAGACGCAGACATGTACACTTACACTGATGACAGGAAAAGCACAGGGCCAACAGCAGGAAGATAAACCGGAGCCAGAAGTTCAGCCTTGGCAGGCATGGCTGTCCTGCAGCAGAAAGGACAGGAGGACATGGCATGCCCACCCACAGAGCGTGAGGCAGCAGCAAGGAGGACAAGTGACAGCAGAATGAACCTCAGAACCTGCTGTGACCACCTTCTTTCCCACCAAGCCCGCCATCTGGCCCTGGCTGAGCGGTGGGGATGCAGGTGGCTGACCCTCAGAGAGGAGGAAGCTCACCAATCCCATGGTCACTTTAGAAAGGGTCAACAATGCCGTCGTCAAAATATCTGACCACATGCCAAGTTCATGAGAAAGTTTAGCATCTCCCTAAAGTATGTTTCCTACACTTAAAGAATGAGTTTATTTACTTAGGCACACAAAAACAGGTGGGTCCAAGTGTAAGAGCATCCAGTCCAGCATTTTGTCTCTGACCATGCAGTAAAGGGCAGGGTGAAGGGAAAAAATCATAATAATATGTCTTTATATGGCACTTAGTTTTTACTAAATGCCAGTATATACAATTTATTGTTTTTGGCATAAACAATTTAAAAATATAAAAACCACAGAAAACAAGATAATATTGGAAGGTACACAGGAGTTAAGAAACAATAAAGGGAATACTGAAAGGAATCTAGAAAGCAGAAATGTAAAATGCAAACAAAATGAAAAAGAAATTAAGAAAGAAGCATTACTATTGTGATGGAAAAGCTCTGTGTCTCGAACTGTGGAGTTGGTCACACACATTCACACCTGTGATAAAATGGCACAATTCTAGCCGCACACCATGCCCAGGACAAGTTCCTGGTGGTGATTCCGTGCAAGAGCCAGGGGAGCTGGGGAGGGACACAGGGTCTCTCTATACTAGCTTTGCAACTCCCTGTGGCTCTAACAAGTTCCTCAAGAAAGGGGGGGAGAAAAAGAAAAAAAAAGAAAGGATTAAAGAGAAAATAAATGCAGAAGTCAAGCAAAATTTGGTCAGAACCAATATTTTAACAACTAAAAAAATAATAATAATAAACCTTTCTGATAAAAGGAAGCTTGACTCCAAATACTAAAAGGGCACTGCATGACAAGGCACTGCAAGGTGACCATGAAGTCAACACAGAGACACAGCCTAACGAAGTTACTAGACTCAAAAGATCTTATTAGAGTCGAAAGCATCTTTAGCATAAAGCTTACAAAAAAAATCATGTCAATTGTGAGGCAAAAACTGCTGTCATATAGAAAGTTTACTTTACTAAATGTATGGATTCTTTCTTTGATGGCTTTACAAAAGATCTTTTATATGTTTAAGGAAAGATTTTAGTAAGCTGAAAATTTTACCTAAGCAGAGAAATTATCGTGAATATTCCATATTTTCAAACAAACTGAAATTACATTTAATATCCAAGTTACCTACTAAGTGCTGCCCAAGCTGTTCCTGGATTTTGCATATCTTGGGAAACAGTGTGGGTAAGCTGGACCTAAGAATTTACAAGAGCAAAAAGTATGAGAGGAAAAGCTTTCTAAAGACTAGGAACTGTACAATTCATGTCACAAAGGGCCATTCACTCGCTTTAATACATCCAGGGATCCAAGAAATGGAGACAAGAAAGACTAATAGTCCATGAGGGCAACAAACACAAACAGGTATTTGACATAAAGGAAAACACAAAAGATGCTCATCACTGCTCATGATTTAAAGTTACACTGAAATAGTATTTTTTTCACCTATCAGATTGTTGACAATAAAAAGTTTAATAACACTCTGTTGGTGAGGCTGTGGAAAAGCAGGCTCTTCCCTAAACTGCTGGTGGAAAACTAGACCAACACAACCTCTAGGGAGGGGCTGCACTAATTTAAATAGGAACATGAACACATATACTCTTTGTCCCAACAATCTCATTTCTAAGAATTTATCCTGTAACACATCCACCTACACATCTATACATAAATACACATAGACACATCTGATAAAGCACTATATTTAGACTGTTCAAAGTTCCATGGACACACACACATACCTATATATGTGTAAACTTTTGAAGCAATGTTGACTTACATCATTTTTGAAAAATTAAAAAGTTCCTATAACTTGAAGATTAAGTTAATCTACAGACTGTGTTCAAACATGCAAAATATTAGAATTTTTATCCTAACCTTTGAAAAAGTACCTACCAATCTCATTAGTATTAAGAGCACAAACTAACACTGTTAAGATAAAAAAATAAATACAAAATTAAGTTATTTAAAATGCTGATAAGAAAACAGTGAAATGCACACCTTCATCACACACAGATATAAGAGCAAGTCAGTAACACCCTTTCTGGAAAACAGGTTGCCAATCTGGAAAGCCTGAAAATACTCTTATTCCTGACTTGGTAATTTTACTTCTGAGGAAATCAGTTACAACACAGAGAAAAATTTTATGAGCAAAGTTGTTCACCTCAGTATCATTAAAATGGAAAAAAAAAAATCCAGTATCCCCAATACCTACCAAAAGCACCAAGTAAACCATGACAGATCCATTATGCAGTTTATAACATTAATTTTTTTTTAAATACGGGGAATTACTGTAAGTGAAAACAGCAGAGAATGAAAATTTACAAAGAAAAATGGCTTGAAAGAAACTCACAAAAATATAACTGTTAGCTTTGAGAAATGAACCTATAGTGACTAGTTTCCCTTCCATTTTATTCCAATTTTCCTATACTGAGCATGTATTACTGGGGAAAAAAAAAAAAAGCACCTACCCTGATAAACTAGTTCCTGAAATTTCACTAGGAGAAGAATGACTCAGCGGAGAAGTGGAAGGTCGGAAGCTGTCCTCGCCGTTCTCTGAGCCGTGTCCACCGCGCTCAGGAGAGGGACTTTTCAAATCTATCAGAAGGATGTATTTTCCAATGAGGACAGAAAAAGACAAAACAAAACACTCCATGCAATTTCTTGAGTGTGACCAATTACTCTGACACTTACCAACACTTTTAGGTGAGATTATGGAATGGTTTTCAAAAGCCACGTGCTTTTCACTGTTACTTGTCTCACTAATGCACTCATTTTGCCTCTGGTAGTCTCTACTCTCCTGTAGGCCTTTACACTCTTCTGACAGCCACAGAGATGCTACTCTGGGGTTCCCAACGACAGAGCAACTATCAGAGGCTGGAATGGGTGTGGAGGCAGCTTTTTCGCCATCACCGGAATCTGGGGATTTGTGGTCAATGGAATGTGTCTTCACATCAACCGCTGTACCCTCTCTCTCGCCCACATTTGTAAGAACTGAATTTGAAGAGCTAATTGTTCTCAACGATGCCTGATCCACGCTGTCTCCACTTTCACCATAAAAACTGGCTGCAGTGTCCACCTCTGGCTCCCTCACGCTTATGCTAGTAGCACTCCGGTCCACCACATGGATGTCGTGTGTAGTCCGTTCTTTGGACAAAGATAAATCCCAAATACCAGACACACCAGCTCTTGAAAAGTTGTCCAGCCCACCTTCATATTGACTAATTTCTGTTTTTTTAAGGTATCTCTCCATATCAAATGTGCTGGATCCATTACTTTTTTCCAGATCATTAGGTAAGAAATGAGACACGGCAGAATAGTGTCTTTGTTTACCATCCTCCTGACAAGTCTTCTCTCGGGTTTTATTTGAAAGTGCCTTGATCATGGTGGCAAGCTGGAGGGGGTCAGCGCTCACTGATGCTTCTGCGATGGCAGAAGCAATGGTGCTTATCCTCAGCACAGAGTCACTCTCACTGGGCAGCTCATCTGTATGTCTCTGAGGTTTGCTGCTGACAAGGAAAGTGTCCTAGAGATCAAAAAGTTCACATCAGTTCCATATACATGCACATATTAATCTTTATTTGTAAGTGCTACATAAGATCTAACAGCAGCAAGAAATTAATGGTATACCAGTTGAATCTCCTAATGAAAAGAAAAAAAAAATAGCTATCAACTTTAACTGCAGAGTACTAGTTCACTTACAAGGTCTGATCATCAGCTGTTTAAAAAACATCTTCAGGAATTAAACACTAAACTGAATCAGAGAGTAACTGTAAACCAAAAAATTAAACTACTGAAACTGAGAAGCCACTGAATCACAGTGATTCCAAGTATATCCTTGGTAATTTCAGTCAACTGTTAGAATTATTTATAAGCAAAACAGAAACAGAAGCCATGGGTAAAACAATGAAATGGAACCAACAACAAAGCAACAAAAACATATTTAATATTTTTTAAATACAAATTAAGACTTCAGCCTCCAAGAATAGTAGAGTAAGTAATGCAAACCAACTCTGGCTGAGAGCAATCAGAACAATACAGCGTGTCCAAAAACAACTCTGAGAAGGTACTAGACAGCTAAAAAAATGAAATGAAAAACTATGGGGCCAAAATCCAAGAGGAGAGAGAATCCCAGAGAGGTGAGCCCAGTCCTGGGGATGCTATTCCTCAGGGTCTCTGCTACAAGAGGGGGCTACTGCTAAGACGTCAGGAAGCTTAAGAAGCTAAGAAAATAATAATTTTTTAAAAAGAAGCTAAGAAAAGCTGCTGTTAAGGGAGTAAGAGTACAAAAATCAGGTTCAGAGTCTGCCAATGATAAGGGAGAGGTGGTGATCACAGTGAATATCCATGCTTTAGGACAAGACCACAGAGGGCTACACCCAAGGAGTAAAGGTGGCTTAGCTCCGAACACCTCGATCCCAGGAACTGAATTAAAGCAACGTAAGACTGCTGGTGTTCCTCACTCAGAAGCAAGTAAAAATCCTGTCTGGAAAGTATCTCCCATGGACTCAAATATTTCAGCAACTTTTCCTGTAAAAATGTACTCCTCACAATGCTCCAAAGTATTGCGTCCCACATTCCAGAAAAAGAGAACTGCAGAACATGCATACATACAATGGACTCTCAGAGTCTAAAACATATCTAAAACATCAAATCTAACAAAACCTAAAACATACTTAAGGGAATAAAAAGTAACATTAAGGGACTTCCCTGTGGTCCAGTGGCTACACTCCCAGTGCAGGGGGCCCATGCTTGATCCCTGGTTGGGGAACTAGATCCTGTGTGCTGCAACTAAAAAGATCCCATCTGCCATAACCAAATACATACATACATATTTAAGAAAAACAACAATGACACTGAGAACGCAACAGAAGACGAGAAATTATCAAGAAAGAACTAAATGTAAATTCTATAATTAAAAAACACAATAACAAATTAAGAACCCAAAGGACAGGTTTCACAACTTGGACACAACTGAAAAAAGAATCAGACTTGGAAGAGAAGTCTAAAAAAAATAATCCAGAATGCAAGAGAAAGTAACAGAGAACACAACAGAACAGAAAGAATATCAAAGAAAAAGATACTGAAAAGTCTAACATACTGTTAACAAACATACACCATACAAAAATACGTTTCAAGAATAAAGGTAAAATAAAGATATTTTCAGACTGACAAAACTGGATTCATTACCAGCAGTCCCTCACAAAACAAAATTGTAAGGGTATTCTTCAGGCAAAAGAAAATTAATCTTAAATGGAAGATCAGAGATACACATTGGTTGTATGTAATAATAGTAATCACTATCAACATCATCATAATCTCTTATGGGGTTTACAAAGAGAAATAAATATAAACAATAGGCACTTATAAGACTGGAATAAAGTAAACTGAATGTTTTATGATACTTTTAATGTTAAGGAAGAGACAGGGAAAACCAAAAAACCCCATCATGGACATGAATTTGAGCAAACTCTAGGAGATTGTGGACAGGGAAGCCTCACGTGCTGCAGTCCATGGGGTCACAAACAGTTGGACATGACTTAGTGACTTGAACAAAACAACAACAAAATAGCCAACATACTTTTACTATAAAACTACACTATTTAACAGTGTCATACTGATATAAGATTTCAAATATCCATCAACAGTAGACAGGATATATCAACAGCAGAATATTCAGAGTAGAATACTATACAGCAATGAAAATCACCTACTTATCATAGTTGAATCTTACAAACATTCAGTGGAAAAAAAAAAGAAAAAATATATGCTACTACATGATTTCTTACATATAAAGTTCAAAATGAGATGAACAGGTGACAGTGTTAGAGGTTAGACAGGAGGAAGTAGTCTTCAGAAGGGACAAAAACATGGCTCCTGGGCTGCTGACAATGTTCTTTCTTGACCTTGGGTGTACATGGGTGTATAAGTTTTGATAACTCACTAAGTTTATGTTTTATAAACTCTTTTGTATATTTATTACACACTGGTAATATTTAAATGATACTTGTAGTAAAACTGAGTAAAAAAAAAAGTTATACATTTTTACATGTGACCTTATCTTGATCTTGTAAAAAATTATGACAACATGGGTTTTAGCTCTCTCTCATGAAAGGCTTAAAATACCTCTGCTTTTCCTTTATTGGCAGTTAATGTCACATCATTTTCATCTACTTGTGAAATACTCTCCAGTTCTTCAGCCTGAAGTGTAACTGATTCTTCACTTAGCTGTGCCTTTAAATCTCCTGTAGAAAATATATAATACTCAATTTACATCCATAAACTATGTCACAGAGACAATCCGTGCAAAGTGTGAGGTGAAAGTCACCCAGTCGTGTCCAACTCTTTGCGACCCCATGGACTAGACAGTCCATGGAATTCTCCAGACCAGAATACTGGAGTGGGTAGCCTTTCCCTTCTCCAGGGGATCTTCCCAACCAAGAGATCAAACCCAAGTTTCCCACATTGCAAGCAGATTCTTTACCAGCTGAGCCATAAGGGAAGCCCAATCCATGGATAATGACCACTAAATATAATTAACAAGGAAGAAATCTTTATATACCAAATATCAGTCAGCCTCATAAAAGCTGTTTAAATGTACAGTCACTAGGACAAAGGACCATATCTTTGTTCATTTAGCTGGATTCTTCAAAGTCTAAATTTTGAAGAAGATTGTGGATTTTAATCTCTTTCTTGCAAAATATTGACAACTTCATTTAATACTTTTCACTTTCAAACATTTCATGAATATGCAAGTTGAATTTTAAAATGAATAATTCTTTATAATAACAGAAAGTCAATTAATACTATGTACAGCCTCTTTATCCTACCACCCCACCCCACTCCCCAGCTTCTAGAATATAAGCTCTTTAAGGACTAAAGCACATTTTATACCATATCATAATATAATACACTAGGCATTATATTAGCAAAAAGCAGCTGTTTGATAACTGTATATTAATCATGGAAGTACGGCTTTTAATATTCAGAGCTATTTATCATATTTATACTACCACGGCCCCAATCTGAAAACTTCTTTAAAGTCTACCTAAATGATACATATAGTAAGTTATAATTCATTAACTCAGTAGTTTAACATGCCAAAGTTAAGCCGATCGATCACCTGAACAAATTATATTCCATTCACTTTGGTTTTTAACAGAAGGATTTAGGTGAATTTTGGCTGACTTGTTTCAGCTTTAAACTGAAAAGGCAATGTGAAGTTGTATAAAAATCAAATCAGTAACTAATACTCAAAAAATTCAAATACTTTCTTCCTCATAAGAACATGATCACACAACCACTAATTTACAGGTTAAATAAAAAGTTTACTAAAAATTTCATTTAATCCATTACCTGAAAAAAGACCATGGTTAAGGTCAGCCACTTCTTTTCCCAAATTACTTCTTGATAGGTCTGATTTTCTTATTAGGGCAATAGGTTCTCTTTTCTCTGGTGATCTAATAAAATAACCAAACGATGGCTACAAAATAAACATGTGAATTATTTTCTTTATATTCAACTCCTTTGAGAAATTCTAGACTATTTTATCCTAATACTCATAAACTAGTTAAACAGATTTCAACAAAGTAATTCTGATTTTTCATTTAAATGTTAAGTTGCTAGAAATGAACATTACAAGTCCAGACAGGACCTTTTATTTCCTTACTGCTAGCTATCTGTAATCATCAGAATGAATACTGTCAAATAATTTGCCCTTACTAAGAAATCCAAATGAAAACAACCCAGAAATGACACATTGTTCCTTCAGCAATTATTACTGAGCACCTACTATCTGTAAGGTACTGTTAGTAACATATCAGTAAGAAGAAAGATAAAATTTTCTGCCTTACTGGAACTTACAGTACTTAGAAGGGTATTTTATTTTACACAATAAATAGGTCCCTGAAAACCTGTATTAAGATTAGACATGTTCCTACTGCCTTGGATGAGCATTCAGAAGGTCTGCATTCAAGGACCTTTCTCAGGGGCAGGGAATTCCCCATGCAGCTTCTTTCCAGAGCTCTCACAGAACAGATCTGAAATGCAAATTCACTAAAGGCACTCAATTTTCAACTGATCTTCACTTGGGGATTTCTTCCTTTGATCCAGCAACCTGAACCAAGCAACATTTCACAACCAACACAAAGTGACAGATGCATCTTTCCAGTACCTGGTGTTTTGTCCAGCTGTTCAGAAAGGAATTCAGTTACTCTTCAAATTCCCTCATAATGTCAAAACCAATCGGTCCAGGAAGAAATATCTGCCTAGGTATTTACTCTCATTTTTTAATTCACTGCACAGATAGGACCCACAGTTCAAATTTTTCTGTAAATCGGCAGTGTTCTAACTCACCAGCTGTTTCAAATTACACTCTCAATGAAGTTCAGGTTTAGCATACACTCACTATGACAGCACCAATTCCCAACACAGAATTCTCCGGAGGCACTCCCATGCCCTAGACTCTTGTGTTTCCTACTGCCATCCTATTCCCTGGCCTTCGTGACACCTACTACGTGGCTCAGTCTCTGCCCACTGATCCTCCAGCTCCTCTCACATCTGGGCCTGAAAACTACTCCCTGCCTCCCTGTCCCCGTGAGATGCCTCCCTCCCCAAGCCCTGCGAGGGCCCCTCACGACCTGGCCCTTGTCTACTTCCACCAGCCATCCGCCTGCTGCCCCACTCACAGGAGCTGTCTGCCTGCTCTCTGCGTCTGCTCCTTGAATGTGCCACTCAAGCTCCACTTGGCATCTCCAGGCCTTCACTGCGAACACGCCGCCTCCTCCCCACCTGTCAGGCACCAGCACAGTGCCCCTCCTCAGACACCGCCCTGACCCTAGAAATGACATAGCTTCCCCTCCTGCCTCATACAACTTACCGATAACACTGGCATTTAAAACTTTTTACACGTACATCCTATTAAACCAAAACACTACTATATTTCGAAACATGTTTTTAGACCAGAGGTTTAAAAATTAATGAATCTCTGAATTCTTCCCACAACCAAGGACATAACAACAGCAACAAACATTAAGTACTTCATGCATGTGAAGCTGTGCTGAACACCGCAGTGCACCAGCACAGTAACCCACAAACCCTGTAAAACAGTATTGCATCCTAGAAATCGGAAAATTAAGGAGTTACATACACTATTCCATGACACTAGTTAAAAGACAGAGCTAGGACTGGAGCAAGGGTACAACCACTAAAAATCAAAATGTTTTCCCATCATCCCACCACGCCCCTATTCTGTCTCTGCTTTAAAGACACTATGATCTGGCTACACTGTCACTGCATTCAGTACATAAGGGCTGGTGCATTTAACCACTCCCAATATACATGGTACTCACTCTTTTCACATTATAACCACCACCAAGGCAACCGAGAGCTTCAGACCTTTGAGCAAAGAACTCCCCTAAAGACAGACGTAAGTAACTGGCATCATCTCTGTCCACATCTGAGGCACTCAGTGATCTCCTCAGCAGACTATAGTTGACCGAAGTTCCCCATGATGTATCTCCAAGGGCAACTGACATGTTCTGGGCATCTATATTTTCTTCCTAGGAAGAAAGTTATCATTTCATTTCTACAGCAAGCCTTCTGTTTTTCTAACACATAAAATACTAATATAACTAAGGAAATTTAAGTACTTAAATTTTTAAAAAGTTTGGACAAATTCAAGCTTAAGCAGCTAAGAAATGTAATGAAGTCCAGAAGAAATTTTTAATACTTAAGTTACAATACACATTGCTTTAATATACTGCTTAATCAAATACTGATTGTCATTGATACAAATCTTTAGAGAGGAATGTCTCTTCAAATAAAAACAAATAGCACTACTCAGTTTAAAACATGATTAAAAACTATGGAAATATCTTTGAAGCCTATTCAGGCAGTTTTAAGTGAATTAATAACCATTATTTCAGTAGGCCATTTATTTTTCAATTAATAATTAAGTATGTGAAGGAAAAGGCAGAAACTATCTAAACATAAGGAATATCAAGATATAATTCTATACTATGTATCTATGTATTCTCACTACATATTCTCAGAAAGAAATGAACATTTTACCTACATTTAAATACAGGAAAAATTCTGAACTATTAATGTCAATAAAATACAAACCTGCATAAACTGATGCTCTTTATTAAATTCTTCTTCATCTTGTGCAATCAAATCCAATGCATCAGCTTAAAAAAAAAGTTTACATAATTATATTGTACTAATGCTCAATTAAATACTAGCATATAAATACAGCTTAGCTAATTAGAAAAATGAAACAGTAAAGAAATAAAATTGAAAGAAATACGTGAAAGCTTCCATCACAGAACTGATGACACATCTGCATTAAGCACGTAAGAGTATATGGTTCTGGAACTTTTCGTAATGAACCCCCTACTGCAACTGATTTCATGAGGTACTAACTTGCCCTAACTTACTAACAGGGCTTTACAATGTAAGCTTTTTGTAAGATTCACATTAATTTCAGCCGTGCAAATCTGGCACACGAGAGTTACAGCAGTTGTCCATGATATGCATGGAATTTCATCTGGAACCATCAGACTGACAAGCCCCTCTATAAATTCATCATGGTGTGAACTACCTATTCGTCCCAACACCCAGGACTGCCCCAGTTTTTGAAAGGAAAAATCCCACATCCCAATAAACCCCACAGCCTGGGCAAACAGGGACAAGTGATCACCCAGTGTCTGTTCCTCAATGTTTCAACTAAGCAACTCAGTTCACCTTAGGAAATCAACGGGCACACAGCCCTCCATCTCTAGGCCAAGGCCACAAGGCCAGGTGAGTGAGCAGAGGGCCATGTGTAACACCACGGGGAAAGGGACAGACAGACAGGACAAACAGACAGGACATCAAATGACCCTGCTTAAGGCATTAGAATTAACAAACCTGACTGGGGTTCCTAATGCTCTCAGGTGCTAAAGTGACTCACTATCCTAGATTAGGGAAGGCTCAGCTCAGTCCCAGTGATGAGCAATGATGGACATGAGCCTCTGTTCCTAAAGAAACAAGTGAGGAGCTAAGCACATCCTCCAAAAGGGATTTGATGTGGCCAACCAGGATGACAGACTAACCTCAGAAGACCATCAGAAACAATGAAAATGGTTAAAAGCAGAGGCTATCAGAACACTTACAGCCAGATCTGAAGTCTTCGTTCAGTTCATTATTGAGAGACACATTGATATCTTGTTCTTTGTCAAAAGGTGTGTAATAGGCGAGATCAGTGACCCATCTGCCCTCCTCATCCTGATAGACCACACTCTGTGGTGGGTCCGCTTCTAGAAAGGAGAATTCCAGACACATCCAATGACACACAACAAACAAAATGATATGATATTCTTAAATGATTTCATTTAGCTGACTTATCTTAGTTATCAATGGTACTGAAATCTGCCCGAAATTAGGAAACCCATTTCCCCAAAAGAAAAGCCTCTCTGATGGTGAAATCGCCAGCCTTAGTCCCAGTAAAGTCCATCACAGAGGATGAGGGAGGAAGGAGAAGATGTCAAACACTGACAAAGGCACTTTTCCACCAGATAAGTACACCATTTTTAAATCCACAGATTTAAAACACAGAACATGTATATATTTTAATACAAAAGATTACACAAGTTCCACTTAGAAGTACAGTATATTCAAAATGTGTATTTTATATATTTCTTACTTTTATTTAAAAAGAAAAAAGAAACAAAGGCCCACTCACGGTCCTTGGTCTTTCCAACCAACTCGTAACATTCACAGGTTTGCCTTTCACTGGTGGATGACCACAGAGCATCAGTGGAATTAAATGCATTGTCACTAACAGGCTTCAAAGATGCTACATCCACATTTGTTTGAATGGACACTTGAGGTGTCTCAGTGTCTAAAAATCTATCCACAGGCAAAACGGTTTCTGAGTCTGACGCCAAATGCTTATTTTGATGAGGAGACCCTTCCTCCAGCTTTAGAGAATCCATCAAATCAAAATCATCTTTACTGGCATTTGTGTCATGAAAGTAAATGGGGTTAAGTTTCTCATTAGGAGTCCTAAGAGTCTTCACCAGAACTTCTGCTCTTCCACTTTCCTTTAAAAAGTAAATAATAGACCAGAAATAAGTTTTGTTTTTCATAACTTCTTTCAAAAAAAAAAAGTTATGCAGATGACATAAAATATTTATTCTAGAAAGGAATGGACAACACAGTATTCTTCTAGACTGTATGTGAACCAATCGTAAAGAATTTACCAAAACCAATGGCAAATATACACCAACAGACTCAGATACCAAAAGTACGGCCAAGGTGCTCACTATAGTTCAGGATTTTAGAAGTATAACTCTTGTAACTACCTTCCTACCCTATCTAAAAGGATAGGAAGCCCATCAATGTGGCTAGACTCAAAGAATTAATATGATTAACAGACTCTGAAAACATAAATGAATGACATTTAATAGGAGTAAAACAGCAAAGACTACAAATGACCATCAGGAGTCCAAGAACAACTGCATCAGACACGGCAGATTAAACCAAGGCCTCGAAAACACACTCTCCAAAAATCCTTCCCAAATGGCACTCCTCACTCTTTCCTAGAATAACAGCTGCTGAAAGGGACTTGTGTGCCCACAACACACTTCTCAGATATTCAGCCACTGCTAACTATCAAGTGCCACCAAAGCCTTTAACAGGCTTCACAGATAAGGCTTTTCAAAGTCAGGATACTACACAGAGATAGCTATATATAAAAGATAAGCTACTAACTTTGAAATAAGGCCATACATTTAAAATCTAGTGACATCATTTATTAACTTGGTGATTTTCCAACAATTTTTTATACAAAAAATAAACAATCTCCACTTTATCTCAAAATAAACTCCAAATGACTTAAAGATTAGATGCAAAAGCACTATGAGAAAATACAAATGGACAGTTTTATATTCTTCAGTGAATAATAACTTCTTAGTGGAACACTTTTGTGGGTTAAACTCTATCTCTTGGAAAAGATGTGTCCAAGTCTTATCCCCAGGTGGTACCTGCAAACTGTGGCCTTATTCAGAAACAGGGTCTTTGCAAATGCAACTAAGCTGAAGATCTTGAGACGAGAACATCCTGGATTTGGGGTGGGCCTTAAACCCCACAAGCAATGTCCTTACAAGAGAAAGGAGAAGGGAGACCTCAGAGGGATCAGAAAGACAGGGACAGGCCAAGTGAAGATGGAACAGACAATGGAGCGATGCGGCCATGAACTAAGGACACCAGGGCCACAGAGGCTGCAAGAGGCAGGAAGGAGACTCTGGGGGGCACTTGGCCCTGTCAACATTTTAGAACCATGAGAAAGTAAATTTCTGTTGTTTCAAGTTACAAAACTTTGGTAATCTGTTCTGGCAGCCCTAGAAAACCATCATAAACACCTAAAAAACTACCAAAAGCCTGAAAATACACGAGGACCAGCAAAGGGAGACCCAGTGGGGTCACAGAAGTTGCCATCTCCAAGGAGAGAAGCCGCGGGAGCCCACCCTGCTCACACCTGGATCCAGACTCACCACCTCCAGAACTGTGAGGAGATATGCATCTGTTGTTCAAGTCAAAAAAAAAAAAGTACACAATGATCAGTTATCTCAACATAGAAAGTTTATTTAAAAAAGTTAAAATATGAATATTCCAATGGGGAAAAAAAGGAGACAAAGAACTGACATTTAAAACTATTAAAAAAAAAAAAACTTTTTCACATAGGATACTAGCAAAGACGAAAAAGAACCAGAACGCAGGAAACCAGCTCTCTCCTCCACAAAGCACCTGAAAACAATGCTGAAGAAAGAATGTTCTTGAGGCTAACAGGGCAAAGCTACCACCTATGGGACTGTGACCGACTGTGGCAGGCAGAAGAGGACAGGACGGCACAGGGAGGAAACCTGGAGCAAAGCCACTGGTTGGCAACCCATTCCAGGTCAGGGCTTCTAACGGAGCAGAGCAGCCCCTCGTTACAACTGAAAGTCACAAGGCTTTGTGCTTTTTCTTTAAAAAAAAAAAAAAAACAAAGGCAGGGGGTCATTACAGCTGCTCTGACAGCTTGTACACCTAAACACAAAAACAGAGGTCTCTGTCTATACTTGGACACTGTAACCCAGCAAAACTTCAGAGTAAGGAAATGTGAGACAGGAAAAAAATAAAAGCAATCCAAAGATCTCAGGAGGTAGAGTTTCAGGAAGAGGCAAAGAAAGCACATGAAATCCCATAGATCACCTCCTGATAACAAAGGAGGAGGAGGAGGAATCTAACCCCACACTCATCAAGATAGCAAAGAGCACCACCAAGAGGAGACAAATGGAATGACAGGCCTTCCCAGAGGATGTAATCGGGAGTGCACACCGCTGCCCTATGTTTCAACTGTTCACACATCGGGAATGTTTAATCAGGAGGGGAAAGCAGTCACATATATCTAGCATACAGATCATTTTACAAAACAACAGGCCTAAACTTTACAAGAAGTTTAATGACATGAAAGACCTCCATGTCACTGCAACCAAATACAAGTGTGATCCCCGATCAAAGCTTGGATCCAAAACCAAAGAAATAAGGGACATCTGTAGACAGTGGATAAATGTGAACCTGGATTGTGTATTCATTTAAATCACAACATCAAAGTTACACTAGATACACAAACAGAAATTGTGATTATGTAGGAAAATGTCCTCATTCACAGGAAGTAAACACTGAAGTGTTAGGGTAAAATATCTGCAACTTACTTTCAAATGACTCAGTAAAAAAGCTATTTTTTCGAAGGACAAAGAAAACACAAAGATGGCAAAAATGTTTACAACTAGTTGACCTGGACAGGAGCATACAGATGTTCAGTGCATCACTCTTATAATTTTTCTGCAGGTGAAAGAAAGGTAAGAAGGAGCAGGAAAGAACAGGAAGGGTATTTCTCATCAGTTTGTATCTGGGAAAATAGAGCCCAAGGAAAACCAAAAGTTTTATGTTAATAATTTTCTAATGAGTCCAGTAATAATTTTCTAATGTCAAATTTCTGAAAAATCATAAAGACTGGAACATACCTGACTAGGATCACTCGTAGGTAACTTAAAATAATTTTCTGGAGGTTCCTGTCCTTCTACGTCTTCATACATCATTCCTGGAATTGCCAGTTGCTCAAAATAAGCCTCCAAATGATCATCATAAAACTCTTCATCATCAATATCATCATCTGTCAGTAAAATGGAGGAAAAGTAATCAATAAGGTTGATAAATCATTTGCATCAACAGTCCATGTGATTCTGTCTAAACATTTGACATGAAAAAAACCCATTATTTTCATCTATAAATCACTAAAAGCGTTCTAATATTTAACCAAACTAAATACTTAACCTTCACTGAGAAGACAACACAGAAGCAGCCACCACCAAACACCGGAAGTTAGGATAGGGCAAGTGTGGCCATGGGAAAAGCACCGTTTATTCAGAAAGCAGTGTGGCAAATGAGCAACTATCAACAAAGGACAAATGAGCCTGCCACAGGAGAAATAAAACTAAATTCCAGTGAATTAATGGTTAATGCTAGTATGAAACCTCAAACAGTATATGATCTTAAGAATAAAGAAAAAAAAAAAAGATGTAACAAAGCTGAGTACTGATAGATATGATAAAAAACTCAACTTCACTAAACCCAGAAAGCTATAAACAGACAAATAAAAACAACGGTGGCAGTGCTTCTCAATGTTCTACACACAGCCTGGCAAGGGCAGGATGAAACTAGAACTGTCAACCACCTGTAACAGTATTGTGAGTCTTTTCAAGAGGGCAATTTTCCTACTGCCTCTGAGAATCTAGCATACTAAAATAAGAAACTATATAAATTCAGGTCAACAATTCCTCATCCACAATTTCATAATCTAAAAATATTTTTAAAATTTTAGCAGCAAAACCTGTTTTGATTTTACAGTTTCAATTTATTCCACTTGGCTCACCAGTCTGGCCTCCAAAGCCATGGATAATTTGGTCTCTGCCTACTTTCTGGGTTTATTCCCAAGTTCATCTTTCCACAGGTGCTATAAACCTGCCACACAAAAGCACTGGCTACTCTCTCCAAATGTTGTCTCTATGCCCCCACCTTAGGGTCTCTGCTAAAGCCATTCTCTCTTCTTAAATGTACATTTATCCCAGTGTCTATGTTAAGGCCTATCAGAGGCCTCCTTTCTCAAAGAGGAAAAATGACCTCTTTCATTAAAGCCTCACAGACACCTTCCTCTGTCAGAATTCACTTGTCACCCTCCTGTGACCCCCACAGTTTGTACCATTGAGACACACTTCACACAGAGGGGAGTCATGCATCTCTGCCCACTTGGCAGGACTTTCAGAGCACAGGGGCAAAATATCTCATTGAACCCCAGTGTCTTAGCATGGTGCTTTATCCATTTATACGGTAATGATACTCAGCAGAGAGATGAGACTAAGCCTATCAGGAGTGCTATAAAGAAAAACAATTTAAACTCCCATCACTTAACGGAAGTGGCCATTTGAGTGCTGGTGGATAAGTGATAAAGAAGGCAAAGAAACAGAAAGCTGCATAATCACTACGGCAACGAGGCAATAGAAACACATGGAACAACAAGCTCAGGATGAGGAAAAGATGAGCCAAGTTTCATGACGCTACCAGAAGAATCTTCCAAGCTGGCAAGTGATATCAGTTTCTCGTTTTCTAGGAAACTAGTAAGGCTTAAGTTACTGTTTGGATTCCTCTCTTCAAAATGTTTTCCCACATCAGGAACACCAATCTGTAAGAAACAAAACAAAGTGAGAAATAAAATTCAATCATTTTACAGAAATAATGTTAAAAAAATTCTTATGAAAGTAAAATAAAAATTGCATTTCCTTTTTGTAAGATTTTAAAGTGCTGTGTTTACATTTATAAACATGAGACTGTTGGACACAAACTGTTTATCTGCTCAGCATCTGTCCTCCAAGGAGTCGGTCTCTTTTCAGTTCGGGGGGCATGCGGTATGATTCAGTCACACCTCTGTATTTGTATATATACACGCACTGATGCCCAGAGGCACGCACACAAAGAAGTGAATGTAAGGTCCAGAGGCTCACAGAATGAAGTTTTACCCCAACCCACCACCTGGTACAGTGATTTACAGAGCGGAGGATGGACCCAAGTGAGCTCATTAAAACTGTGATTTTTTTTGTTAAGTTTTTTAACTCTACACTGAAAGAAAGATGACGCTCTTCTTTTTGGTCATGAATGTTAAAAGTATACACTCAGGTTGCCTACAAACAAATTCATCCTCCCTACCATTCAACAATAGAGTGCCTGTGCTGGGGACTCAGAATGCAATAAACCAAACAAAAAGGAACCCTCACCCCATAGAGCCAGTACTCCAGAGGATCTGGTGTGAAGTCAGGCAGAGTAGCAGTGCAGACAGCCCTGGAGACTCAGGGAGTCCCAGGCCTGCCCTATTCCCTACTTCCTGGTTACGGTACAAGACTTCTACCTAAAATTAACGGTACTCAGCATTCACACTTGTGAAACAAGAACTTTCACTCTCCTAACAATAGAAATTGGTAACATAAAAAAATTACCTCGTTCTCTTTATTCATCCAGGATTGTGAACAAAAATCAATAGGTGAGTCTATTAAGAAAACAAAAAACAAAAACTGACAGACCAAGGTATTTTTATCAACTAAATACCTAACAACTCTCAAAAATATTAATAGCAAATTAACAAACTAAACAATTTTTCCCATTAAATAGAATAGAGCACTTTTAAATGATAGTATAGAAGCCCATCACTGGCAGTTAAATTAAAAATCTGTTAGGATAGAAAAGCTTAAAAAATTATACACATACCAAAATAGGAATAGGAATAGGAATCTGACCAAATCTTTAAAGCTAACTTCTGCTTTACAGAGGATGTGAGAAAGACAGAATCAAGGAGAATGACACCATGAGTGAGCAAACAGCAGGACAGCTCCAGGATGACAGGCCTAAAGACACCACAGCAAATGAAGCAAAACAAAATGGACCCTTCCTCGGACCCCAATTCAAGCAAGTCAACCGAGATAATCAGTAAAATATGGGCCAGGGTACCATATGCATCAATAATAGCACTGTGGTTATCCAGGAAAATGTTCATACTTTTATTAGAGATGCAAACTAGTATACATAGGAATAAAATGATGTCTGGAATTCTTAAATATCAGAGGAAAAGGTAATAAAAAACAGAAAAGATGAAGCAAGTATGACAAAACTTTATTCTATCAAACTGTGAGAGAGTTACATGGGGAGGTGTTTCTTTTTTTTAACTGATAAACTTTAAATCATCCTTTTAAAGTATACAATTCAATGGTTTTTAATACAAAGCTGTGCAACCATTATCACTCTAACTCCACAATGTTTTCATCACATCAGAAAGAAATGCTATGCCCACTAAAAGGCACTCCTCCTTCTCCCTGCCCCCCCAGGCTCTAGCAACCACTAATCTTCTCTGTCTAGTGAATCTGCCTATCTGTACCAACAGATAAATTGATTCGCAGTATGTGGCCTTCTGAGTCTGTCCTCTTTCACCCAGATGCTTTCAAGGGTCTTCCGATTATAGCACATACCAGTACTTCACTCAGTTTTAAGGCTGAATGATACTTTACTGAATGGACACATTACATCTTATTTATCCATACATTAGCTGATCCATACATTAGCTGATGGTTATTTGCATCAGTAGCTTTTTAGCTACTGTGACTAGTCAAGTTATGGACACTCACGTATATGAATTTTTGTGTGGATACACACTGGCACTTCTCTTGGGTGCATGTCTAGGACTAGACTTGCTGGGTTGTGTGGTGATGCTACGTTTCATGTTTTGGGGAACCGTCAAACTATCTTCCACAGACACAACATCTGACTTCCCAACGAGTAAGGTGGTTTTCACAAGAAAGGAGACTTCAGCTTAATCAAAAAGGACAATGAAGAGACTGATTAAGAATCTTCTCTTACAAAAGTATTATGACATTAATAAGTAAATGCCAAATCAAAGCACTTTTATAGTATCATAGTTTAAGATAAATACTGGTCCAAACTCAGAGAAACAAGAAAGGAAATTAAAACTGTGTGATATCACCTGTATGTGGAATCTAAAAAAATACAATAAACCAGTGAATATAACAAAAAAGCAGCAGATTCACAGAAATAGAGAACAAACTAGTGGTTACCAGTAGGGAGAGAGAAGTGAGAGGCACATTATGTGAGCAGGGGATTAAGAGGAACAAATTAGTAGGTCTAAAATAAGCTACAAAAGCATGCTGTACAACATGGGGAATATAGCCAACATTTTATAATAATGATAAATGAAGTATAAGCTTTAAAAATCGTGGATCACTATACTGTACACCTGTAACTTATGTAACTATACATCAACTACATTTCAATTAAAAAATATATTTTTAAAAAGGAAATTAAAACACACACATTAAGAAATAATTTCTCCCAGTGGCATACCTTGCTCTTGCCCCAGGGGTGAGGCTCTGTCGGAAGGACCCTGGCTCTGGAAGGGCTCTGCAGTTCTGGTCTGCTCCCCTTCTGCTCCTGCTCCATTGCTGGGAAAAGTGGACTCTCTGAGGACAGCATCCGACAAACACTGACTTTCTGTCTGGTTCTTTTTCTTAGCAACAGAACTTTTAAATTAGGGAATAGGATAATAACGAAAATATTAGTTACCTTGCATATATCTGTAAAATAACCATTAATCATTTATTTCACAAAAAGAAAAAGTAAACACAGTGGAAAGAAAAATTTCTGGGCCCAGCCATGTCTGGGGGACTTTACCATCATTTTGGTCCAGCAATGTACATCTACCAAAACCAAATACACTGTTACTCTGCCTCTCAAGTGATAAAGTGAGGTTGTTGTTTTTTTCTTCTTTCCCAGATTTGTGAATCTATCATATCTAGAGGAAAGCTCAGGTTTTAAAAAACAAGACAGACTTAAAGGATATTGGGATATTTGCCAAATAGTTACTTCTCTGAATTACAAATGCTTTTAAGTCATACTTCAGTCCCTGCCACTGTTCTTATCCCTGTCTTCCTTCTGCCTCTCTTGTTTCATATACGGATGAAAAGGTTCTTCCTTAAAGGCAATTTTCCACCCAACCTACTACAAAAGCTCCTGTTCTGTCACCGTTCCCCAGGCCATTTCACCAGCAAAAGGAGGGGGAGGAATGGAAGTTCAGGAAAAAGTTGCTAATGTAACAAATTCATCATGTGACAAATGGATACCCAGGGCCAGGCTTTTATCAGGCCATGATGAATAAAAATAAAATAGTTTTTTCATCAATTCCAAGTTCTAACCCTCTGTCCTAGTTTCTCCACCTTTTTATTACAGCTGCAGTAGATAGCTGAATCAAAAAACAACCTGATTAAAAAATGGGCAGAAGACCTGAACAGACATTTTCCCAAAGACATACAGATGGCCAACAGGTACATGAAAGATGCTCAACACTGATCATCACCAGGGAAATGCAACTCAAAACCACAAAGTGGTATGGCCCTTATACCTGTCAGAATGGCTAGCCTCAAAAAAGACAACAAACAGCAAGTGAAGAGAATGTGGAGAAAAGGGAACCCTCCTACACTGCTGTGGGACTGTAAACTGGTACAGCCACTGTGGAGAACAGCATGACGGCTCCTCAAACAGATGACCAGTACAAGTTCAATGCAGGAAGCCAGGCACCCAAAGCCAGTGCTCCTGGACAACCCAGCGAGGGGAGGTAGGTGGGAAGGTGTTTAGGATGGGTGGGGAACACATGTTATACCTGTGGCCGATTCATGTTGATGTATGGCAAAAAACCATCACAATATTGTAAAGTAATTATCCTTCAATTTAAATTAATCGATTTAAAAAAATCGAAAATAGAATTACTGTATGATCCAGAAATTCCACTCTTCAGTATTTATGCAAAGAAAATAAAAACACTAACTGGAAAAGATACATGCACCCCTATGTTCACTACAGCACTATTTACAATAGCCAAGATATGGAAGCAAACTAAGTGCCCATCGACAGATAAATGGATAAAGAAAATGTAGTTGTGTATAGTACTCGGCCATAAAAATGAAATCTTTTGATTCAAAGCAAATCTAGAATGAATATACAGAGTTCACAATTTTTATAAAGTATTTGTGCATGCGTGCCAAGTCATTTCAGTTGTGTCCAACTCTCCGTGACACTATGGACTATAACCCACCAGGCTCCTTACTCTGTCCAGGGGGATTCTCCAGGGAAGAATACTGGAGTGGGTTGCCATGCCCTCCTCCAAGGGATCTTCCCGACCCAGGTATTGAACCCGTCTACTGTGGCTCCTGCACTGCAGGCGGATTCTTTGTCGCTGAGCCACCAGGGAAGCCCCATGTACATGTATATGTGCATAGAAAATTGTCCAGATTAAATAAAAAGATAATCAACATCTATTTTCTAATTAGTAGGTTGACAGATCTTTGCTGTCTTCCTTATACCTGCCTATACTTTATGATTTTTTTCCCCAATGAGCATGTATTACTCTTAGAAAAAAATTTTGAAACACTAAAAATGTTATTAATATCATATAAAGAAAATGGCTAAAGGTTCTTAGAATTGATTAGAGACACAATCAATGTTCATCTTCCATCAGACTGAGTGAGACTCGCTCTTAAACACAGTGAAAGCAAGATGAAGTAAGAACTCACTCATCATTGGAGAAGACAAGCCGTAACCTCTCTCTCGGCTCATCTTCACTTTGGCTACTGGGCGATGTCTCCAATGGAACTGAAAACTTCCCTTCCACTAAGTAAGAGGTCTGGACATCAGAATACCTACACATGAAAATTTTGTTGCAATTATTAATAATTAAATTATACATATTTAAAACTCACATGACATAGGACTGTAAGACTATAAAATCAACGGCCAGGGGTAAAAACAGATATGGCCCACAGTGTTGAAAACCATCACTGTACCTGCAAAGCACTGAAAAACTGTGTAGCAGCCGCAGCAGAACGTATATTTTCAACAAGAAAGTCGTGGAAATCATAAAGCTAAAAGTTTTTAGAGAGTTAATCCAACCCCTCCATTCCAAATATAAAGGTGATGCTCCATACAGAATGTTTAGGTTGGGCAGAGGATGGGAAAGAGGTTAGAGTTTTTTTTTTTTTAATTAAAGATTTATCTGTAGCATGCAAAGCCTTTTTAAAAAAGAAAAATTTATTTATTTTAGTTGTACTGGGTTTGCTGCTACAGGGGCTTTTCTCTAGTTGCAGTGAGCAGGGACTACTCTAGTTGTGGTGCACCGGCTTCTCACTGAGGTGGCTTCTCTTGTGGAGCACAGGCTCTAGGGCGTGCAGGCTTCGGCAACTGCAGTGTGTGGGCTCAGCAGTTGCAGCTCTCAGGCTCTCTAGAGCACAGGCTCAACAGTTGTGGTACACAGGCCTAGCTGCTCCGTGGCATGTCAGATCTTCCTAGATCAGGGATTGAACCTGTATCTACTGCATTGGCAGGCAGATTCTTTATCACTGAGCCACCAGGAAAACCCAGAAGTTAGATTTTTAAGCACAGGCAAACTTCACACATTACACAAAATGGGTGAACTATACACATCACATTTGGGGATGCAGCTCAAATCACCAGCTGCCAGAGGGCTTAACTAATACAAAGCCAAAACACCATGAACAGAAAAACCACTGGTAGGTCAAATCCTACCAGTGCTCAATCCCAAACCTACCCACCCACCACTGATAAGGTGAAGGAATAGGAAAGAGGGCTTCATCTTCTGTGTTGACTTTACATAAATGGTCATCTCCCTTAGATAATGCAAAAGCTCAAGTTTGGCTGAGAAATTTCACAGAAGTAATCAATAATATCACAGGCTTTAAGGCTCTATAAAAAAATCATCTGTTAAAACAATTCATACCTGTTTTCAGAGTTGGATCTATTTCTAGCAAGTGTGGAAACAGCAACAGGCAGGCCAAGATTTGAAGAAAGAGTGACGTTTTCCAAAATCCCACTATTACCGAGTAATGAACTGGTTAAAAAGCTTGGAAATGACTCCTCAGCTATACCTCGAAAATCTTCCATCTCACTGCAACAATAAAAGTATTCTTATATATCAAATATTACTATAAAATTTTTTCAAAAGACTAAAATAGAAGTCTCATAAATCTTATAAAACTGCTAAAATTCTATTTGGAACAGCACTAAGGGGATACTATAGCTGAGAATATAAACCTCAAACTATCTTCTAACAATTAACAAAACAATGAGATACAACAGCTTAATTACTCTTGAATTTTGAATTTACTAATAAAGAATCAAAGAAGACATGACATCAATGGCACATACAGATGATTTCAGGACATTACTTAAAAGTATACCAGTTGAATACACATCCTAACATGGAATAGAAAAAATAGAACTAGTAAAATCTAGCCTCTGATTTCAGAGATTAAGGATGAGTAAACGGTTTAAAAAGTGAGTCCATTCAAAGAAAAATGTTCAAGTTAAATAAAGTATATCTGGCACATGGAAAAGACAGAAATGGTAAAAGTGGCACACAAAGGCTAGGTCTGGGGAACCCTGGCACACTCTGTACTGATGGAGAACCTTCACTGCACGCTGGCCACGGGCTCCATGGACCTCGAGCTCAGTACTCGGGAGATGTCACTTAATTTCAAAAATATTTCAGAGTGCGTCTCATGTAAGGGTTGTGTGAAATTCAGTGAAGAAAATAATTAAATCAGGAAAGACAAAATGAGAGGATACTGGCCTTATACTTTGAGGAATGAGGACTTTTATAGGCAAAGTATGAAATAAAGGAGCTTGTAAAGAAGACAAACATAAGCAGTGGTGGGAGAGATTTAAGATTTATTGCCTACCCACTACCTTAACTCACTTATCCTCAATTTACTAAAAAAAACAAACTCAGAGGCTAAACTAGCTAAATTTATCCAAGGTTGTGCAATTAGTAAGATTCATGCCCAGGACTAATTCCAAACTGTCCTAAACACTAAGTGTAGGGTACTCTTTTGCCCCCTTCTGATGCCTATGTCAGAAGCTTTCTCTATCTCCTTTATACTTTAATAAAACTTTATCACACACACACACACACACAAAATAAAGTCATGGAAAAAAAAAAAACACTAAGTGTATGGTGACCATAGGAGGTGCTCCACTGTATTCAGGCAACAGGTAAGCAAAACCATGGAGCAGGTCCCACAAGCATTAAATGGTGTATTATGAAGTCTAGCCTAATCCCATCAGCTGAAAGGAGAGGAAGAAAGAGGGCTTAGAGCCTGGAGGGATATTCTAAGCAGTGACACTACTGGTAAGATGGACAACAATGCAGGACTGTGGTAGGTTCAGTGACAAATCATTCATCTGTGAGTTCAGGTATTACAGACTAATCTAGTAACTCAACAAAGTAAGAAAAGTCTTAAGATCAGTAGAAACCTACTAAACTTACCTAAGCATAGATGAAGTTATCCACACTCCAGGCAGAAGCCTACCCCTCCTACTCCAACACCAGTCCCTCCTCCTCAACACTGTCCCATCTCTTGGTGCAGTGCCCCCACCCAAAGAAGTCTTCCTCAACTTCAGCCCAGCTATCCCCTGGAGCTACCGCCACCTCTGTCCACGCTCCCTCTGCCTCTCAGACCTCCAGCAGGAGTCACTGCTGTCCACCCGGCTCTAGTCCTCACTGGAGCCCACTCCCAGTTGGCTTTCATCCCAGGGCCTCACCAAACACTTGTCAATATCACCACTGACCTCTGTATTGTCTACTCCATAATCCCACGGTCAAGTTTCAGTCCTAGTCTTGGACCTGACAGGATGCAATTCATGTTCCTTCCTCACAGAAATACTTTTCTCACCTGGCTTCCAAAGCACCTCTGTCTGACCCCCAGATTCACCAGAGGCTGCTTCTCCTCCTTGCCGGGGCCCTCCTCCTCTCCTGGACCTGCACACAGCAAGGCTCCAGGGCTGGGTCCAGGTACCCCCATCTATCCAGCCTCACTAGATGACTGCCCTCACTTTGGAAGTTTTATATCCCAGCCTGGGCCCCTCCCCTGAGCCTCAGATGTTCAACTACCTACCTGACATTTTCACATGGATATCCAACAGACACCTGAAACCTCAACCTTGACTCCACTTCATGGCAACCCCTCAAGACATCTTCAATCTTCAACCCCGCTCTTCAATCTTCCCCAAAGAGAAAACGACAACTCCATTCTCCCATTGCTAAGACCAAACCTTCAGGGTTCCCACTACCACACACACACCCTATGTGCAATCCCTCAAGCAAACCCCAGTGGCTAACCAGAACCTGCCACTGCCCAAGACTCCCACTGCCACTGTCATGGTCAACTCACACACTCTCCAAGATCCTCTCTGCAACAGTCTTCTGTCTCCACGCCTCTATCATCCTTCCCAGACTAAAGCTCCACACACACAAGTCATCCAAAAAAGCCAAACACTGTCACAGCTTAGTCAGACCCTCCTCAGCTTCCCATCTAAGTCAGTCAGTCATGCTGGCAACAGGGGACTGAGTGATCTGTGACCTCCATCCCAGTCATCCTTGCTTCACCGCCGCCACGAAGGCTCCTGCTCTTCTCTTCTTTCAGGTCTTTATGTAAAGGTCCATGTCCCCACCAGCCAGTACAGTCAGGCACGGCATGTCTGTTTCCTGGCATTGCTTACTTTTCTCTTTACAGTTCACCCGCTTAACTACCCTCTCCCACATCAGAATGTGAGCTCCATGAGGGCAGAGACTGGGCCTGTGTCACAGTGAATTCCTATCTAAAACAGTGCCCTACAAAGTAGACCCTCAATAAATTTGCTGAAGAAAGGAAGACTTTCAAACTGAGTTAATACAAGCACATTCACCACTACCTATCTCATAAGCACTCACCACCTCTCAGATCATGCCTCAGTGTTTTCCTCTTTTTGACAGGTCTAATTCCTCTTCTTGATTCCTACAAAGACGTTCAAACTCTCCCACATTAGGATGCAGGAAGTGGAAAACCTGTCCCATCCTTCCTCTGCACTTTAGCCCCCTGCCCACAGCCAAGCATCTCATCTGACAGCCTCCCCTTCTGTGTTAGGGACACCCAGGACCCTGACCTCAGTTACATAACGCAGTGCACACCTTACACACATGAATGTCAAACTCAAATGCCTTCAACAACACACACTGTCAAACAAGAGGCCTCTAAGAACTGAGATCAACTAGAAACTAGACTCCACTTGAACCAATTTAAATGCAGTGAAAACACCACAGCCAATCAAAACACATTTGTGAACCTTATTTCTGAGGAAAACACAGGGCTTGTCTAAAACAAACCCAGAATCACTCTCCATCTTTCTGACTCTGCTACGACCACTCTACCCCAACAGAAAGGCCTCCTGACCAGTCTCAACGCTTCAGTTCTCACCACCCTACAATTAATCCTCTGCACGGCAATCAAAGGGACCATCAAACATAAGCCAGGTACAATATCCTTCCTGAAAACATCAATGAGCCACCTCATCTTCCACATGTCCCAGGCTCCTGCACCTGTTCCGTAACACTCAAGCCCATCCCTGCCCTGGGGCCCAGAATATTCCTCAAGATGTCTGCACAGCTAGCTCCTTCCCAACATTCACCTCAATTCAAATGTCACTTTCTAAAAGAGGCGATCCCTTATCATTAAGTGAAACCTAGCCCCATGGTCCATCACAGTCATTTTACTTTCTGCTAGACTGATGACTGCCTTTTTGTATTTGTCTGTCTTCCACTAAAAAGATTTCTCCTAAGAGCAGAAGCCTTGCCTATCCATCCATCACACTTTAAAATCCTGACCAAGTTGTCCAGGTAGGCTCCTCACATCTAGTCTTGTAGCTACTAAGTTACACATTTACAAACATATATAACACATCAATATATACATTAACTCTTTAAAAGTGATCTCAGCTTAGAAGGAAACAAATCCAAGAAAATTGAGATATTAAGCAAAGGTCATTCATGCAACAATCATTAGCAAACAGAAACTGTGAAAGACAACTCTGGCTGCATGAAGCAAAGCAACAGTAAATAAGGTGAATGCCCTCAGGAAGCTGAGGATCCACTCCAATATGATACAGTGTTAGGTGTAGAAGAAGAGCTTTGCTGCCAGTGCAACAGAAACACCATCCAGGGGAAGATTCCTCCAGATATAATCTAATGCCCAATCTCTTTTCCAGAACAGGATTCCACTTATTCTAAGCCATCCTAAAGCTTTCCTAGAAGAGAAGATCTCCTAATTTCCATCTGTACTACATTACCAAACCCCCTGCCTCACCTTAAACCAAAACAGTAGGATGTTGTCTTTCCTTTCACTACATTTGAACTAATCAGCCACCTCTGAGATTTCTCTGGGTACTTCCCTAAAGCAGTAACTTCAAAACTTCTTGCTCGAGTTTACTAATACTTAATTGCTTTCAGACTTAGATACATAAAATATCATGGGCTGCAGCTGTGGACCAGAAATCTAGGAGCAAAAAAATATTAGCTGTGGGGAAAAAGCAGTCAAACTTCCCCAAAGTTCTAAGATACTCTTTATCATTAGGTAGGCATTCTAGCATAGTAGTTTTCAAAGCTTACCGTAAAGTTTGCCCTAAAAACTGAAGTCCGGAGAAAAAATTGATCTTGGAGCAGGAAAAGCTCCAGTCGAGTGACTTCAAAATGGTAACAGCAAGTGAAAACACAGTCATGAAAACAGCTGTCCTCCAGGCGACTGCCTCGAAAGGGACCTCATGCTTCAGGGAACAAAGTCTGCCGTCGGGAGAAAACAAAAGTGGAGCGACCTCAAACACTTGTCTCCTTTCCCGTTTTTCCGTGAAACGACTCGCACGAAGCCGGGAGCCACGGGGACACGGCCGCACCGGCCGGACCGCAGCGCGTTACTCGCGCCTGGCCCGGCCAGTGAGCCGGGGCCGTCGTGTAGGGAGAGGGGGGCGGAACCAGGCCCCGAACAAGATAACCTCGTTTCGGAGGCCCCGCTCTTACGGCAGCCCGAGTCTCCCTCCCCGACCCAACTACCCCTCACCAAGCGCGCGACGCCAGCCGCTGCAGCCCAGCCGGCTGAAGGTCCGCTGAGGAAGGGGTCAGGAGTCGGTGGGGGTGGTGGGGGGTGGTTCCAACAGCGCGCTTGCGCGAGTCCCCTCACGGCTGCCGGCCGTACCGCGCGCCCCTCGGATTTACGTCGGTTCGCGGCACGGGCCGAGGGGCGGGGACTCTGAGCCGGCTTTGGATTGGGTGTAGCGAAGGGGCGAGCCCGCTGATTCGGTGAGGGCAAGCGTCCGGATTTGAAGCGGGAAGCCGCGCCCGGCCGAGAGGCGCGGCGCCTGCCTTACCTGCAGCCAGAGCACCGGCATTGTGTGCAGAGACCTACTTCGGGTGGACAGGACAACTGATACACCCAGAATTCGGGTCGGAAGTGTTGGCATTGTCCGTACGGGAGCAGACACTGACGTGTGTGATCACCTACCGCACGGTTTACACCTAGAGCGCTCCTGTTCTAAGTCTTAAATTGAGCGCGCCCCACACCGAGTCGTCTGTGTGGCGCAGTCAAGGTTGGTCCCGGGTGGAGAGGGACGAGATGAGACGGTCGGTCCCTAATTACCTTCCTCCGTCTCCGTTCTGCTTAGGTCACTAATCCCATCACCAAAGCCTGCTCAGCATAAGGCCCTGCTATTTTACAGAAACCACTCCTTTCACTTTCCTTTATCCCAGAATTTATTGCATACAGTTCCTCTTAACAAATTTAACTCAACTTCATCCATTTAACGGTTGTTGAATGCTTACAGGCACGGCACACTTGGGACTTTAACAGCCTCTACTCCTAATTTTAGCCTGGTGGGGAAAAGACCCGCTTACAACTTGATCTTCTACCTCCTCTAAAGTACTGCCCAGTGACCCTCTATGGATGCCCTTTTCACTTTTTTTGTCTCTTATCTTTGGAAACGCTGTATCTCTCTATGCAGAGAATAAAACACCCACCCTTCCTTGATTCTGTTTATCACACAAAGACCACTGTCTCTCCTACACTTAATTGCCTCCTTGTACACCTTATTGTCACTCATTCCATGTTTTCTGGCTTGGCCCTGAACACTACTTGCACACTTGTTTATCAGGACTGGCCTGTCAAATTCAGTGATGTCTCCACAGTTCTCTTGCCATCTCTCCTTGAAACCTTCTATACTTGGCATTCAACTACTCCTAATTCTACCTCGGTCCACACTCAATGAATAAAGTTTAAATGGAGAAAAATCTCAAGAGTTTCTCAATCTTGGAAAAATAAACCAAAGACTTAGCTCTAAGAGCTGAAAAGATGCTACCTGAGAGTAAAAAGCAACCCTTTGTCTACACCACACACTAGCTTGAGCTACTGGACTGTGTCCATGTGACAGACTGTCACCTACCCTGAATCCCTTGGACCCAACTCGCTATCCTTCCATCATAAAGATCAAGTGACCAGAGCTCTCCCCCATGCCACCGAGCAACCTGACCATAACAAAGAGCTATACTCAAAGTATGTACAGGAAAAGAGCCTAGACTCTGATGCCAAACTGACTAAATCTCAGTGCTCTCACTTCCTAGCTGTGCAGCCTGCCCGTGGCCTCATCTGTAAAATGGGGATCATCAGAGCACTTGCCTCAGAGGACTGCTGTGAGGATGAAGTCACTTAACTTGCATCCAGAAGAGCACTGGCACATGGAAAGCACTCAAGCAACATTAGCTGTTATCTGAACAACTGAAAAGGAAGAGTAGACCCCCCAGTGAATTTCAAAGCTGTTAATTCCAGGTAGAGCTTGAAGCGGCCCCATGGCAGGGATTCAGTTAGGAAAGGTGGATGTCTCACACACCCTTTACCAACTGCTCTGAGTGCTAACACCTCAACACCAAGATCCAGCACCTTCTACAGTGTGAACACAAGGTATGTGTGCAGATTCATCTCCCACTAGCTCCCCAAACGCACCTTATTCTTTCAGTGGATTAACAATACTCTTGCCTCTTCTATTTGGGCCATCACCCTGGACTCCGCCCTCCTCCACTTTAAGTATTCCAACCTGTCGAAATTTCACATCCCTTCCAAATCCTGCTGACTCATAAATCCCTTTCTTTAATGTCTCCTGTACCATTCAACCTTTACTGTGAAGCTAAATCTTTATTATTCTTTGTAAATTCTGTAAATGCTTTCTCCCACTAGAATGAATGTGTACAGACTACCTCTTTTTTTTTTACATATCCCAAAGTGTTAGCACACAGTGTCTTGCACACAGAAGATGCCCAATATTCACTAAGTTACCCCAGACTGCTTCCCTGGTGGCTCAGATGGTAAAGAAACCACCTTCAATGCAGGAAACCTGGGTTCAATCCCAGCGTCAGGAAGATCCCCTGGAGAAGGGAATGGCAACCCACTCCAGCATCCATGCCTGGAGAATCACTTGGATAGAGGAGCCTGGGATGCCCAATCCATGAGTCGCAAAGAGTTGGACATGACTGAGCGACTAACACTTTAACTTTTCATCCCAGGTACCTCTATAATGATTGAAATCTAACTTGAATTCTTTATTTTTTTTTAACTTGAATTCTTAATTCTGAGTTAGATCCAGACTTAAAGTGAGACCTCTTGCTTTGAAATAAGTCGATTAGTCTAAAGTAAGTCCTTTAACAGAAGGACCTCACCTTAAATTAAAGCATAATGAACCTTATTTATCCTTGCATGTCAAGAAGCTCTAGAGTTTGAGAGGAGAGTGTCTATTGATAGGGAAGTGTCTTTGAAAATTAGATTTTAAGTTATATATTTATAACAGCTCTACCATCAATGTGTGATTAGCTGACAGGCACATAAAATGCTGTTCAAATAATCTAAGTAGACATCTGCTGGATCTAGATGTTAGTCTACACACTAACTTTCTACCTTCTAAATTAATGCCATGGGGAATGCCGTCCATTTCTCCATCAGCCTAGAAGGACGCTGCGGTTGAGCCGCTGAGAAGGAGAACTACCATGTCCACTGCTCTGGCAAAACCTCAGATGCGTGGCCTCCTGGCCAAACGTCTGTGATTTCATATTGTTGGAGCGTTCATGGTCTCCCTGGGGTTTGCAACTTTCTATAAGTTTGCTGTGGCTGAACGAAGAAAGAAGGCATATGCAGATTTCTACAGGAATTATGATTCCATGAAAGATTTTGAGGAGATGAGGAAGGCTGGTATTTTTCAGAGTGCAAAGTGATTTGGAATATAAAGGATTTCTTGGGTTGAGTTCCATGGAAGTTTGTCACTTTCTTGTGTTCCTGAACTATGAAACTATGACTACTTGGGGTGAGAAAGTCTCTCAATAAATAAACAATTAACAAATAAAATAAATTAATTAATTAATGCCATGATCTTCCCTCAGCTTCTGATTGTTTGGATTTTTCTTTAGCAATGTGATATTTTAGGAGATATAAGATTTACAAACCATCAAATAGAATACATTGTATTTTTATAAGGCAACAGATTCGTATCTTTAAAAATATATTTTATTAAATAATCTACTTGGAGAATAATTACAAAAGCTTTAAACAGTAATTCCAAGTAGAGAAAGGCAGTTTTCTTTAAAAGAAAAAAAAGACCAAACAGTCTTTATTATGTTTTGCTGCTTTATACACAGGAATGATTTATTTTACAAACTAGTCAGTTGCAACATTAGCCTGAAAAATCAAAAACAGTTCTTAATATGTCTCAAAGGCAAGGTGAACTTTATAATGATATGCTTTCACATTAACCAGTATGACAAACCATAAGAAACTTAACACCATAACAGTTCAAAATAAAATGTACAGAACAGGCACTTTGAAGTCAACCATTTGTGTGTAACTCACAGTTAATGTTGTGTGTACATGTCTCATTATTTCATCAAAGGTTATCAACCAATGAAACAAATATTCCTTTGATGCAAAAGCACAAACACATTTAGGTTCCAAACACCATGTTCTGGTTGTAATACATGCAAGACACACCCTAAATTAGAAAAATCTTCTGAAAGAAAAACAAAAAGCCAGGAATGAAAGCATTTACAAGCACTTGAATAAGGCCTTTAAGTGTTAAATCAGTGTTTTTTAAACCCCTTCATTCTCAGGTAAGGGATTAAGAGGCCGAGAGAGAGATCGTCTGCGAGGGTGAGGATACTGGAGACTGGCAGTGTCAGCATCGCAAGAGTGCTCTACCAGAGGAGGAGGAGGAGGAGGAGGAAGGAGCTGGGCATAACTGGACCATCTCGATCCAGCCCGTGGGGAATCCAGAGGGGGAAAGAAATACCTGAAACAATGAAGACAGGAACAAAACACCAAAACAAAACAAAAACAACAGAGAAAAAAAAAAAACAGAAGAAAAAGAGAAAAGTAGTAAATACAAAGAGAACCAAAGAGGGGAAAACACATGCTAGAAAAAAAAGCTTTAGTATATTCATGCCAAAACTAACAGAACATAACAGCAAAATCAAGACCCTCACTCAAATCAGACTTGCTTAAGCAAGTATAGAAACTTGAAAAAAGAAATAGAATCTGTTTAACTTAAAAATGTTTAAAAAAAAGTCTTCAGTATGAATGTTACAAAAGAAGACATTAATTTTATAATTTAAAACATTTTCTAATCTCTCAGAAACATACTGATGCTGTCCTGAAATTTACATATCATGTAAGCTTTTCTTTAAGCAACACTTCCCCTGTAGCAACAGCAGTTTTAGTGCACACATGACACTCGGAACCAATTCAGAGAGACGTTCACAGAGTATGGCCAGCTACTGCAACATACTTTCCAAGAAACACAGTCTTAGAATACACTTAGATGTTTTTCTGCAAAAACCTTTGATTAGTACAAAATGTTGATAAATAAAAGGGCTCAAAAATATGTCCTACTGTTAGCCTACTATTTTATAACTTACCCGTAATACTTTAGCATTTTCTCAAAAAAAGATTTATAGCTCTGTCATCAGAGGGTATGAACTAAATGAAGCAGCCAACAAAATTAAGAAAATCCTGGGATATGGAACCTGGAGGTTTAACATGCATGCACAATTTTAGCAAAGCTTTATCTGCTTCTTATAGTATGTTTCCAAATTTTGACTTGACGGAACCTTAAGCCATGAAATCACACCATAAAAATATACAAGCACATATTAGAAATATTTACCTTTAGTGAATATAAACTGAAAACTTACAACAATGTTTTCATTTTACTACCAAATTATAAATGAAGCAATACCAAATGTCTGGCTACAAACTGTACAGTCAAGTTACTGTCACTACTATTTCTCTCACTTTTTCACTAATAATAGTTTAAACATTTCAAAGAAATAACAGAGTTATACTGAATAGTATCATGTATAAACCAATTCTACAAAAAGTAAACAAATTAGCACTCAAAACAATCTTTATGAAAAATAATTACTCAATCCTCAAATTGAAATTATAAAAATTCATTTTAACCTACTGTTTTAGAAAATAAAAGACAGAAGTCTATATACATTCTCCAGATGGAATAGTGATATTTTCCCTCCTCCCAACTACTGAGGATGGTAACAATCTTTTAATTTTAAAACCCGTGAGTTTCAGAAACATTTCAAAAAATTGTTTTGGTGACAGTGTCTCAACAAAAAGCCTCTCCATTTATATTTCAAAAATTTTAAATAAGTGTCAATAAACTGGCTAGTACAAAAAAAAATGATATACACTGTATTTTTAAAGGCCTTTTGGATTGCGTTTAGTAGTAAGCAGGCTGCTGGTGTATCTTGGGAGAGGTCAAACGGCGCTGGGGAAGGGGAAAAGGAGCTTGATTTCCATTCCTGTGTGCATGCAACAAGCAGCAAAACAGCAAAGTTACTCCAGTTAGCTGGTACTCAGCTGTGCTTTCTGTTAAAGGACATAATACAAATGGAGAAGGGAAAATGCATCACAGATCTAACACACATGGTTATTGACACAATAAGAACACAGATCAAAACTTCAAAGCTCTTTACAAAAGAAAACTGCAGTACAGGCAGCAACCAAACACTAGATTAAAAAAAACAAAACAAAACAAAACACTAGTATCCTTTGCTTCATGAAATAATCTTTATATTCTTTTATCTCCTATGGTACCTGAAGTTGTTTTTATACAAATACTTAAAAATCAAAAAGCAGGACTTCTTTATAAAAATACAACAATATAAAAATGGGAAATTTAAAATGCAATTCTCTTAAATTGACAAAAGAACCATTACAGTATAGTTTGTTAAAGCTGTGCTTTAAATTTTCCTTAATAGTATTCCAAATTATTCACAAAGGCATATTAAAATAATTTTACCTTACAAATTCATACTTGAAATTTGAACATGAAAACAAAGGATGACTCTAATGACATCAAACATGCTTTGCAAATCTAAAATATACTAAAAATTCTAAAAAAAATCAATTCAATTCACCATTTCCTCTTATAATCTCCATGAAAGTTTTAAACACACACACCAAAAACACTTAACTCACTCTTCTACAAAAGCCTTAGTTCATGTGCTTTATTTACAATTTCAGTTTAACCTGACTCAAAGGCTACCCTCCCAGCACTAGTGACACTGACTCCTCTGGATTACAAGCCCCAGCGCTGTCCCACGCTTCCTCTTCATCTCACTACTTCCCAGTTACATACATCTCTGGTAGACCACTAAGTATCACAATATCATAACCCACCTGTAAATATTATGACCAAGTAATAAATACAGAGATACTAAAGTGCTTTCTCTTCTAGTTTCACAATTATGTGCCAATTTCTTGATTCAATCTAAAAACCCACAAAATAACACACCTTCAGTACAGCTACCTGAATGATTTAAAAAGAAGATAATTGCTAGTTTTCTCACAAAACAGCCTACCTGCCAGAAGATCCATTTAGTGAATTCTGAAGACTTGGGATATTTGAACCTATGGACGGATTTGAGTTTCCCTGCTGAGAACTCCCATTGACAGGGCTCCCATTACCTTTCAGAATGCCAGTACACTTCCAGTTGTCCATATAGTTAGCTGGAAGGAAAGTGGTCAACACATCAACATGACTAATAACTATGTTCCAGTGCACAAATCTACAATTAAAGAAATAAGAGAGACCTACAGGCTATGCATCTCTTAGGATTAACAGCAGAGACATTTTTTAAATGAAATTATATATCTCAATTTTAGCAATTGTTTTTTTGAAGTTTTAAAGAATTACTAATTTAAAAAATAAAACTTTCACCACTCCTTAAAAGATACATATTGACAGATGTAAGCTACCACATTATCACATTAATATCAAAATAAATTGTCTTCATTACAATGAATTTCAGGTATGATGTGTGGGTAACAGAGTCACATTCTCCCTTAAGCAGGCATATGTCATGTGGGTAGCTAATGTCCCCGTGGACGTAGGTAACAGAACCTCTGGGGTCTGCGTGGCTTATCCAGCTCGGCCTAATGATTTGGACGCAACCCTGGTGACTGAAGACACAGAGCCCAGGAAATCCAAGTAGGGAGGCTGCGGGGTGGGGCGGGGCTGTCCTGACTGACGCCCAGAGGGACAGGGCAGCAGAGCCTGAGGCCCGGCTGGTTCTACCACAGCCAAACGCTGACCCCAGGAGACTCTGTCACACCGCATTTTGGGAACAGCCACTTCTCAGGGGGAGTGAACTGGGCTGTAATCCCATCCTCAGAAAGGGATGCTGCCAACTAGAGTGGAGCACAGACCATGGCACCCCTGCCCACTGGATAAACATCCATGGAGAAGAGCAGACCACAACACCCACAGTCAGTGTCAAACGTCCACACCACCCTCTGCTTGGCATTCGTAAAACTTTTAGCATCAGTGGCCTCAAGATTCTCTAACTTTTGGGAGTTGTAGAGAAGTAAGGAAGGCTAGTCCACTTAGCCCTTCTAAGGGCTAGTTGGCTAAAGCAGTTGTTGAATCAAGAGGTGACTGTATCCTGAGTCTGTAGAGAACTCATACAAGTTACACCCATAGCAAATGGTATCTTTGGAGGTAGTGTATATTCTGTCACAATTAGTTCTACTTTATTCCACATGGAAATATAATTTAATTAGCCAATCACTGCTATGAACTAGGTAAAATGATAGATTCAAAACAATATGAGACATTAATTTAAAAGTAACCATAGACATTTTTTTCAAAATATTTCAGAGTTTACATTTCTAAGGGAAAATTCTAAAGTAGCAACATACAGCAACAATTCTTCCACTGAAATATTACCTTTCCACAACCTCACACAGCCATCGTCTCCTGAAGATGCCAGCACTGTTCCTGTTATATTCCAACTCACTCGCCAGACCTGAGAATTATGATTATCAAACTGAGCCACAATATGGATTTCAAATTTTGTTGGCCCACCAGAGGAAGTAAGTTCTTTCCTGTTAATTAAAAAAAAAAAAAATTCCTAAGGAATTCTGAGTATGGACACACTCATACACTCTCGTTCTAAATAATAACAATGGTCTCACATACATGCCACCAGAAGGTCATATCCAAATCCACCCCCGACCTCTGTTAACAGCTTACTGAGAGTTGGGCCAAGTCACTTTCATTTGATTCCCCAGTACCTGGCATGATCCTACCACATAAAAGATACTCAGAGACTAAAGAGGATTTTATTCCCCACGAAATACTGAAGAATGAGAGAGATGAAAATGATTACTTTTTAAAAAGAAAAGTAGTAGGAAGAATAAGAAAAGGGAAGAAAGAAGAGAAAAAAAGAAAAACCAAGGTTCCGAATTCCAAAAATTAAAGCTAGATTATTCTCAAGAATGTCTCAGCACTAATTTTCCCTAAGTAGACTGCCACCTCTCATTCCTTCAAACATGTAAAGCGTCCAATTATATTCAGAGGATCTATTTTTAGTATCTGCCTAAATAAAACACAACTAAGAAAACATGTATCTTTCTTTACTCAATTCCCCATTCCCTAAAATCATATATTTATAGATAAAATGTTCATTAAGAATCTATTCTTCAGATCATTCTTGCCTCTACACTCTCCTCCACAAATGAAAACAAGCAAAAGGTAAGAGAATTTTCAAATTAGTTGTTTCAAAAACTCACCTCACAGGCTTTAATGTAAAAATTCTCACGTCTTTGGTTGCTATGGCGAGAATGTGGAAAGATCGTCCCAAGTTCGGAGCAAAGGCAATATCGTGGACAGGGTCTGTGACGGTCAGGAGAGTTTCAGCTTTCGCATATTTCCTAATGAAAAAACAATTTACCTCAAAATTATCATAAATGAAAATTTTAAAAAGCCACGTCTAGGTATCTCCATTATTCCATCTTGCTCATATGTAGTAGTGTTCACCTCTGCTGTGTGTAGTACGTTCCAGCACCACCTCCAGGGACTGAGACTGTGACCTAAGGAAAGGGGCTTTTGCAGATATAATTAAGGATCTCAGGATGACAGAGAACAGACATTAGAGGAGAAGCCATGGCAGAGACTGTAGTTATGCTGCCCAGCCGAGGAACTCCTGGAGCCTCCAAAAGCTGGAAGAGACAAGGAAAGAGTATGAAGGCAGCAAGCCCTGACAATTCCTTGATCTCAGATTTCCAGCCTCCAGAGGTATGAGAATGAACTTCTGATTTAAGCCACCAGTTTGCAGTAATTTGTTTCGGCAGCCCTAGGAAAGTAATATAACCTCCCAGGTTTCTTCCTTCAATTCTCTTAAGTTTAGCTTAAAACAAAGTTAATGAAAAATTAGAAGGAGATCTTGCTTTGTTAGCTATTACTATCTTTTTTAAGAAAAAGGGTACCTGAGTTTCCTAAGATTTGAGTGTAAAGAAAAAAGTTGAGCTAATAACAGCAAGAATTGAATTTTTTTAAGTGATGATAAATGAAGCTATACCAGAGCTACCCTGATGGCTAAGTCTTAAAGAATCCGCATGCCAATGCAGGATACAGGGGTTCAATCTCTGATCCAGGAAAAGTCTCACATGCCACAGAACAACTGAGGCCCATGCATCACAACTACTGAGCCTGAGAGCCACCACTGCTGAAGCCTGCTTACCCTACAGCTCGGGACTCCGCAAAAAAAGAAAAGCCACTGCACTGAGAAGTCTACGCACTGCAACTAGACAGTAGCCCTGACTTGTTGCAACTAGAGAAAAGCTTGAGCAGCAACAAAGACCCAGCATTACCAAAAACAATAAATAAATAAAATTAAGGAAAAAAATCTCTAAAAAAAGGGAAGCTATACCAAAGTCTATTTCCACATCTCGGAAAGAGTTAAACAACCATCTGATCCTGTTACCCTTCAATTTGGAAGTCTTTTAAAGGCTTCAGAATACCTTTAAGATAAAGACTGGACACTAAGCAGGAGGTCTTGAATACATAAGCCCTGTGGGTTTCCCACCACATGGTCTCCCTTTGACCCATTATGTTCCAACCACAGTGAGATTACACTGGCTCACTCTCTCCACATGTAAAGTTGCACTCTCTCTGTCTGGCCAACTTCTTCTCATTCTACAGTCTTCTCTTGAATGAATCTTCCAGTTTATAAAATCCATCACCATTTTGCTTTGTTTGTTTTCCCTGCATGATGGTACATACTGGGAGACCAATTACCTTTTCCTTTACATCACTCTAGAGAAGGAAATGGCAACCCACTCCACTACTCTGACCTGGAAAATCCCATTGGCAGAGGAGCCTGGTAGGCTACCTACAGTCCAAGGGGTAGCTAAGAGTAGGACACAACTGAGCGACTTCACTTTCACTTTTCACTTTCCCGCACTGGAGAAAGAAATGGCAACCCACTCCAGTATTCTTGCCTGGAGAATCCCACAGACAGAGGAGCCTGGTGGGCTGCCATCTATGGGGTCGCACAGAGGCGGACACTACTGTCGGTATGAAGTCGGCACTAAGTTGGACTTAGCAACAGCAGCAGCAACAGCAGCTACATCACTCAATTTAGTTATTACCAGAACAGAGAACTTAGCATATCATAGGAAATCAGGAAATATGGCAAACAGTGCATAATTGAATTAACAAATAAAGAAATAACATTTTAAAAAATTAAATGCAATTCAGAACAGTAACAACGAAAGCAGTACTGACCTGGTGTTTTCATTATATTCAAAAATCTGAACCTTGGCCATTGCATTTGGACTACTGTCATCACTTCCTACAGCAATCATGGGAGCATGAGCACGAGAGCTGGAAAAGAAGAGAAAAACATGTTTTCCCAATTATAACAATCTGATCACATGGACCACAGCCTTGTCTAACTCAATGAAACTAAACCATGCCGTGTGGGGCCACCGAAGACAGAGAGGTCATGGTGGAGAGGTCTGACAGAATGTGGTCCACTGGAGAAGGGAATGGCAAACCACTTCAGTACTCTTGCCTTGAGAACCCCATGAACAGTATGAAAAGGCAAAAAAGACAATGAAAGATGAACTTCCCATGTCGGTAGGTGCCCAATATGCTATTGGAGATCAGTGGAGAAATAACTCCAGAAAGAATGAAGGGATGAAGCCAAAGCAAAAACAACACCCAGTTGGGGATGGGACTGGTGATGGAAGTAAAGTCCGATGCTTTAAAGAGCAACACTGTAATGGTCTTTATCTTTCTGGCTTACTTCACTCTGTATAATGGGCTCCAGTTTCATCCATCTCATTAGAGCTGATTCAAATGAATTCTTTTTAATGGCTGAGTAATATTCCATGGTGTATATGTACCACAGCTTCCTCATCCATTCATCTGCTGATGGGCATCTAGGTTGCTTCCATGTCCTGGCTATTATAAACAGTGCTGCGATGAACATTGGGGTACACGTGTCTCTTTCAGATCTGGTTTCCTCGGTGTGTATGCCCAGAAGTGGGATTGCTGGGTCATATGGCAGTTCTATTTCCAGCTTTTTAAGAAATCTCCACACTGTTTTCCATAGTGGCTGTACTAATTTGCATTCCCACCAACAGTGTAAGAGGGTTCCCTTTTCTCCACACCCTCTCCAGCATTTATTGCTTGTAGACTTTTGGATAGCAGCCATCCTGACTGGTGTGTAATGGTACCTCATTGTGGTTTTGATTTGCATTTCTCTGATAATGAGTGATGTTGAGCATCTTTTCATGTGTTTGTTAGCCATCTGTATGTCTTCCTTGGAGAAATGTCTGTTCAGTTCTTTGGCCCATTTTTTGATTGGGTCATTTATTTTTCTGGAGTTGAGCTGGAGGAGTTGCTTGTATATTTTTGAGATATATATGGAATTTAGAAAGATGGTAACGATAACCCTATGTGCAAAACAGAAAAAGAGACTCCTATGTATAGAACAGACTTGTGGACTCTGGGAGAAGGCGAGGGTGGGATGTTTCAAGAGAACAGCATTGAAACACGTATATTATCTAGGGTGAAACAGTTCACCAGCCCAGGCTGGGTGCATGAGACAAGTGCTCGGGCCTGGTGCACTGGGAAGACCCAGAGGGATTGGGTGGAGAGGGAGGTGGGAGGGGGGACCGGGATGGGGAATACATGTAAAAAAAAAAAAAAAAAGATACACTATGGTTGTGATAAAAAATAAATAAATAAATAAATTTAAAAAAAAATAAAATAAAATAAAGAGCAACACTGCATAGGAACCTGGAATGTTAGGTCCATGAATCAAAGCAAATTGGAGGTGGTCAAACAGGAGATGACTAGAGTGAACATTGACATTCTAGGAACCAGCGAACTAAGATGGACTGGAATGGGTGAATTTAACTCAGATGACCATTATATCTACTACTGTGGGCAGGAATCCCTTAGCAGAAATGGAGTAGACATCACAATCAACAAAAGAGTCCGAAATGTAGTACTTGGATGCAATCTCAAAAATGACAGAATGATCTCTGTTCGTTTCCAAAGCAAACCATTCATATCACAGTAATCCAAGTCTATGCCCCAACCAGTAATGCTGAAGAAGCTGAAGTTGAACACTTCTATGAAGATCTACAAGACCTTCTAGAACTAACACCCAAAAAAGATGTCCTTTTCATTATAGGGGACTGGAATGCAAAAGAAAGAAGTCAAGAAACACCTCGAGTAACAGGCAAATTTGGCCTTGGAGTACAGAATGAAGCAGGGCAAAGGCTAATAGAGTTCTGCCAAGAGAATGCACTGGTCATAGCAAACACCCTCTTCCAACAACACAAAAGACGACTCTACACATGGACATCACCAGATGGTTGACACCAAAATCAGATTGATTATATTCTTTACAGCCAAAGATGTTGAAGCTTATACAGTCAGCAAAAACAAGACCAGGAGCTGACTGTGGCTCAGTTCATGAACTCCTTACTGCCAAATTCAGACTGAAATTGATGAAAGTAGAGAAAACCATTAGACCATTCAGGTATGACCTAAATCAAAACCCTTAAGACTATACAGTGGAAGTAAGAAATAGACTTAAGGGACTAGATCTGATAAGACAGAGTGCCTGATGAACTATGGATGGAGGTTCGTGACATTGTACAGGAGACAGGAATCAAGACCATCCCCAAGAAAAAGAAATGCAAAAAAGCAAAAATGGCTGTCTGAGGAGGCCTTACAAATAGCTGTGAACAGAAGGGAAGCGAAAAGCAAAGGAGAAAAGGAAAAATAGACCCATTTGAATGTAGAGTTCCAAAGAATAGCAAGGAGAGGTAAGAAAGCCTTCCTCAGCGATCAATGCAAAGAAAAAGAGGAAAACAACAGAATGGGAAAGACTAGAGATCTCTTCAAGAAAATCAGAAATACCAAGGGAACATTTCATGCAAAGATGGGTTCAATAAAGGACAGAAATGGTAGGGACCTAACATAAGCAGAAGATATTAAGAGGTGGCAAGAATACACAGAAGAACTGCACAAAAAAGATCTTCACCACCCAGGTTATCACGATGGTGTGATCACTCACCTAGAGCCAGACACACTGGAATGTGAAGTCAGGTGGGCCTTAGGAAGGATCACTACGAACAAAGCTAGTGGAGGTGATGGAATTCCAGTTGAGTTATTTGAAATCCTGAAAGATGACACTGTGAAAGTGCTGCACTCAATATGCCAGCAAATTTTGAAAACTCAACAGTGGTCACAGGACTGGAAAAGGTCAGTTTTCACTCCAGTCCCAAAGAAAAGCAATGCCAAAGAATGCTCAAACTACCACACAATTGCACTCATCTCACACACTAGTAAAGTGATGCTTAAAATTCTCCAAGCCAGGCTTCAGCAATATGTAAACCGTGAATATCCAGATGTTCAAGCTGGTTTTAGAAAAGGCAGAGGAACCGGAGATCAAACTGACAGCATCCGTGGATCATCAAAAAAGCAAGAGAGTTCCAGAAAAACATCTATATCTGCTTTACTGACTACATCGAAGTCTTTGACTGTGTGGATCACAATAAACTGTGGAAAATTCTGAAAGAGATGGGAATACCAGATCACCTGACTTGCCTCTTGAGAAATCTGTATGCACGTCAGGAAGCAGCAGTTAGAACTGAACATGGAACAACGGACTGGTTCCAAATAGGAAAAGGAGTACGTCAAGGCTATATATTGTCACCCTGCTTATTTAACTTATATGCGGAGTACGTCATGAGAAACGCTGGGCTGGAGAAAGCACAAGCTGGAATCAAGATTGCTGGGAGAAATATCAATAACTTCAGATATGCAGATGACACCACCCTGATGGCAGAAAGTGAAGAACTAAAGAGCCTCTTGATGAAAGTGAAAGAGGAGAGTGAAAAAGTTGGCTTAAAGCTCAACATTCAGAAAACTAAGATCATGGCATCTGGTCCCATCACTTCATGGCAAATAGATGGGGAAACAGTGGCTGACTTTATTTTTCTGGGCTCCAAAATCACTGCAGATGGTGCTGCAGCCATGAAATTAAAAGACACTTACTCCTTGGAAGGAAAGTTATGACCAACATAGACAGCATATTAAAATGCAGAGACATTACTTTGTCAACAAAGGTCCGTCTAGCCAAGGCTATGGTTTTCCAGTAGTCATGTATGGATGTGAGAGTTCGACTATAAAGAAAGCTGACTGCCGAAGAATTAATGCTTTTGAACTGTGGTGCTGGTGAAGACTCTTGAGAGTCCCTTGGATTGCAAGGAAATCGAACCAGTCGATCCTAAAGGAGATCAGTCCTGGGTGTTCATTGGTAGGACTGATGTTGAAGCTGAAACTCCAATACTTTGGCCACCTGATGCAAAGAGCTGACTCATTTGAAAAGACCCTGATGCTGGGAAAGATTGAGAGCAGGAAGAGAAGGGGTAACAGAGGATGAGATGGTTGGATGGCAACACCGACTCGATGGACATGGATTTGGGTGGACTCCAGGTGTTGGTGATGGACAGGGAGGCCTGGCATGCTGCGGTTCATGGGGTCTCAAAGAGTTGGACACAACTGAGTGACTGAACTGAACTGAATTATAACATCAATACACATTTAGTTCAGAGAATTAAAAACTCATCCAGCAGCTGTGCAACCCACCAGTCAGCTGTGGACTAGACCCCCGCCACGCCCAGGAAGGGTACCCCAGATGTCTCACCTGGGGACCAAGGACATCAGCCTTTCACCATATTTCTACATTTTCTTATGGCTGAAATAAAAAGTAGTCCTTGTCCCCAAAGAAAAGCCTTCAAGCATTCAACTGATTAAAAAAACAAAACAAAACACACCTAACAGATCTTAGAATTTTTCTTCCTAAGAAAATCTGGTCATTAACTATTACATGAAAAGTAACTTTATGGTGACCAAATCCGTGGCAAAAAAACTTTTTTACATGCTTTGCACAAAAAGAATCCCATCCCAATGGAGGAGGAAAGTAGAAAAGACCACCCTTAGGAAGGCATGCCTGTCATTCTTTAAGTCTCCATACTCATTCGTAGCCAACTACATTTTTAAAAAGGCAAAAGATAAGCAACAAGAGAATGAACTCCGAGGTGAACTCTAGGTTAATTTTTTTTTTCCATTTCTATGTCTAATTACTTAGATACTAATTTCCCTTGCCTCCCACATTCAGATTAACTAATACCTCTATGAAAGTGACATAGAGGTACTGTTTAACCTTTGGTCTCGATGTTGTGATCTGCCAATCTCATAAAGCTGAAAACAAAATGTAATTGAAAAAAAACCATTTAGGTCTTTATTACTAAAGCTTCTGATAACAAGATCAAATCACCTAATATAAGAAAAACACCAAGTAAACTGTGAAGTGCTATAGTGACAAAATAAAATTACAAGTTATATAATTCTTGGCTATTTGAAGGATTGTAAATTAGAGAAGTTTCTATATCTCATAAGATTTCTTCTTTCGGTGTCCCACTGATTATTCTTTAACAACGTTAAATATCTGAGCAAGGACAAGTACATTTATGATAATATATTCTAAAATCACTGAAAATATAGTTTGTTAAATATTCTAAAAAATAAATTATCCAGATAACAACCTGAATTGAGGATTACCTCATTTGTATTTTCAGAAAAAAAAAGATCACACTTAAACCATCTTCCAAATATGGCTCATAACTAAACAGTGAGCAAAGCCATCCAACTCTCTGAATACGGGAGACTGATCACCTGCAACTCCTTTCTATACCTCTATGAAATGATGATAGAATATACTGTTAAGAGTGCAGAAATCAGAATATGCCATCAGAAATCAAGAAATCTGGAAGAATCCCAGGAAGCAGAAGGACATAAGACAGCAAAAAAGCTAAGTGAAAAAGAGCTCAACCACTACCACTAAAGAGGAAATTCTAGAAGCTACAACATCTAATCAATAAATAAATAAATAGCAAATCAACCAACCAACCAATTATAATGAGTCATGGGGCACTCATGAACAAAAACAAGAGTGGCTTTGTATTATTGTAGCAGGGTGATAGATATATAAGGGTCTATTGTATTATTACTATATTTGAAATCTTTCCTAAAAAAGAAAAAATATCTTGAAACATCCTGGTTAAATTTTAGAATTCCATTATCTTAAATCATACAAAGTAATTCCAGGAGGTTTAATGATCTAAGAGTGAAAGTACAAGTGGCTCAGCTGTGTCCGACTCTCTGCGACCCCCATGGGCTATACAGTCCATGGAATTCTCCAGGCCAGAGTACTAGAGTGGGTAGCCTTTCCCTTCTCCAGGGGATCTTCCCAACCCAGGGCTCGAACCCAGGTCTCCAGCACTGTAACGCAGATTTTTTACCAGATGAGCCAGAAGGGAAGGCAAAACCAAAAACCTTTCAGAATACACTTGATAACATCAAGGTGAGGAAGAATTTCTCAAATAAAAAAAAAAGCACAGCAACATAAAAGACTTAAATGTGGCCATATTAAAATTCAGAACTTTCTGCAATCAAAAGTCATCATACTGTCAAAATGGACAAACCACAACTCACAGAATATACTTGCATCTCAAAGAAGTAGTAAGATAAAATCCTAAAACTTTCCAGAAATAGGCTGTCTACAAAAGAGCCAGTATCAGACTGACCGTACACTTCTCACCAACTAAGATTCAAGAATCCTTTAAAACCTCTGAAAGTCTTACATTTTGAACTTAGCCAAAGTTCTAGAGCTAGCCAAACTACAATTAAGCATGGAGTAAAACTAAGACATTTTCAGGTATTCTAGAATTTCTAGTTTGCCATCAACCCCCTATGGAGGAAAAAAAAAAAGTTACTTTAAGAGTTACATAACCAAAGGAAAACAAAAAAACCCAAAGACAACTCATGATGTGAAAGCTTGGACACCTAAATATAACCCAAAGTAATCAATAATGAGAAAAGAGCACCTGTCAAAGTCAATGCCACATTAATCTGTGAACTACAGCTATGAAAATAGATTAATTTGTGTCTAGAATGAATACTATCTAGTCTTACAAATTCAGTTGCTACTTAGTATTTTGAATCAACTTACAATCAAAAGATAAAAGTACTTTTATGTGTACTACGTGTTTACAAAACATAAAGACAAATATTATAAATCTTGTCACTACATAGTCAAGCAAAGTAACAAAACATTAGGAAATGAGAGCGTTGAATGTGTGACAGAAGCAAAAAAGAGCTAATTTCTTCTTTCTTAAAAAGAGAGGTGAGTCAACATACAGCCTGAAAATTGGTAAATCACTAAGCAGAGAAGTATTTGAATTAGGACGATTACATACAACTGAAGAACAACAAATAAAATATCTTGTCACACTTTCACAAGTAGAAAGCTTTCTTAATGTGCTAAAGTCATCTTTCACAGAGTATAAATTCTGTTTAAAGATAACACAGCCAAGAACCAGAGGCATAAGGAAACCACTTAAAATAAAACAGTGACAGTCTTAGAATCACACTCTGCACAGCAAGGAAAGGAGTAAGATAGGACTAGATGCACTAGGACACAGGAAAACACCCACAATGGGGGGACCTCCTTGCTGGTCCAGTAGTTAATAATCTACTGTCAAGAGCAGGTGACGTGGGTTTGATCCTCAGTCGGGAAACTAAGATCTCACATGCCACATGGCAACTAAGCCTGGGCACTACAAGTACTGAGCGCACACACCTCAACTACAGAGCCCCTGTGCTCTGGAGCCTACACATCACAACCAGAAAGAAGCCCCCACACTGCAATGAAAGATCTCTCGTGCTGCAACTAAGATCTGACACAATCAAAAAAAATTTTAAACTAGAAATTAGAAAAAAAAAGAAGCCCACAATGTATTTGTAAGTGTAAGAAACAAACTGCAAAAAAGGAAAATGTTAGGTCTATATATGTCTGTGTTTTAGGTCCACATGTACATGATAGCATATACCTATGTGTGCCTGTGTGTGTGTGTGTGTGTGTGTGTGTGTGTGTGTGTGTGTTTATAAAGGCAGTAAATATTTACTTGTATATGCATGGGAAAAGTTCAGAAAGTGTACCAGAATGTTTATAGTGGCTAGTTTCTGTGGAGTAGAAACAGAGGGATAAGAGACGGGACAGGGTGAAGAAGAGACAATTTAAATATAGATAAACAAGACCACTTAAGAAAGGCATTTTCAAAAAATAAAGCATCTGATGCTAAGTGTAATGATAACTAGGCTTATATCACCTACCTTGAAGGGTTCCAAGAAATACAACTACAGCTGAGCTTGCATGAGATCTCATGCTGCAGAGACCACTGGCTGAGATTCATGACATCTGGAGCTTCATAGATTCTAACTATCCCATCTGCTGAACATGTTGCTAACATGAGACCCATATGCTTAGGAGCAAATTTCACATCAGTAACGGACGTTCTGCTGTCCACCAGCGTTGTCCTCTTGACCTGAAAATAAGAAAAAATGTAAATTACACACAAAAGAAAGGACGTCAGGGTGAAAAGGCACAGGCTCTGAATCACAGAGATCCGCTACCACTTCCTCAGAAAACTGTACAACCTTGAAAAGACACTCAAAAATTGGGGAGGCCTCGATTTCCTCCAAAGGACTTGGAAAAACACCATGTACACAAGCTCACAATCAGTGACCTATAATCAGCTGCTCCTTTAATGCAGAAGAAAGAAGACCTTGTGAAGCCTAACTTTATTAGATAAAGTCTTTCTTCTTAAGCAGCGTGTACATGCTAAATCAGTTGTGTCTGACTCTTTGCAATCCTATGACTTGTAGCCCGCCAGGCTCCTCTGTCCATGGGATTCTCTAGGCAAGAATACTGGAATGGGTTTGCCATGTCCTCTTCCAAGGGATCTTCCCAATTTTGGATTGAATGCAAGTCTCTTACATCTCCTGCACTGGCAGGTGGGTTCTTTACTACTAGCGCCACCTGGGAAGTCCTTAGGCAGATAGGAGAAAAGCAGAAAATGTTAGAATTTTCATATGGGCAGTTTTGTCATGCAAAGCAGCCTGGAAACAGCCTTAAGATCCTTTAACAGCAAAAGGGAGGGAGTACAACTTCTCCTGTCAAGTGTTAAGTGCTGGTTAACCCTGCTTGGACCACTAATATCCACTTCTAAAAGAAGGCATGCAGCAGAGCCAAGAGAATGGTAGGAAGCTGGTGTTCTGGAAATTAGGGAACCCCAGCACGGCAGATACCAGCTACTGCCTGACTCCTACATGAGCTGACTTTTGATGGAAACTGTCAACAAAATTTAGAAATCAACAGCTTACTGTCTATAGTTTTGGGACCCAACTCCTATAAATTGGGTTTAGGAGTGGTAGCAATTACAGGATTATAATATAAATAATTAATATAACACAAATGCTGAAACACTAAATACAAATCATTAAGTTTGAAGAAAAAAATCCTTCATACTGCCACCACTCTCCAAATATGGTCACTTGATTTTCGACAAGGATGCCAAAGACCATTCTATGGGGAAAAGATAATCTTCTCAATGAAAGGTGCTCAGAGAACTGGACACTGAAGTGTAAAAGAATTACGATAGATACCTGCCTTATGTCACATACAAACATTAACTCTATGAGTCAAAGGCCTAAATATAAGCACTGAACTATAAAACTCTTAAAAGAAAATTCTGGCCAAAGTCTCCATGACAATGGATTTGGCAATGACTTATGATACTACAAACACAAGGAAACAGAAGAAAAAATAAACTATACTTCATGAAATCCTTGCATACAACCCTTGCACACTCTATCAAGAGACAAGAGGCAACTTAACAGAATGAGAAAGAAGATTTAGAAATCACGTATCAGTTAAGGAAATAAAGTACATAAAGAATTCCTACCTACAACTCAACAACAACAACAAATGGACAAAGGACTTGATTAGACATTTCCCTAAAGAAGTAAAAGGGTTCTGGTAACAATTTCAATTCCAGAGAGTGGGGTTGGGGGCTAATCCTCACACCCACAGACAATTCTGACACCAGAAGGGTGTCCAAGGAGAATTCAACTCAGTTTTGACACTAACTACCTGGAGATAGCATCAGATTCTGGAGTTCAGAGTTCAGTCCCACAAGACTGTCATTCTTCAGGTACCAGTCCAAAACCCGGGTGTTACCTGTGCTTCTCACTGCCTGCTGTAACTCACGAACAGTCACATGGAAGAGACCCATGGGGTACGGTCAAGGACAGGTGTGGAGCCCCCACGCTCCTGCCAGCACCAGGTCCCTGTATCTCCACCAGCCCAGGAGCCTCCAAATGCCATCCTTTAGGGGTTTTATGGAGGCCTCATTACATAGGCATGAATGACTAACTCACTGGCTATTGGTGATCAGTCAATCCACAGCCATCTCCCCTCCCCGTAGGTCAGAGGGGTGGGACTGAAAGTCTCACTTCCTCAAAGTGTCCTTAAAAAGATCACAGCTTTTCGGGTGCTCTTGCCTCCACCCACCCACCCACCGCTAACAAACATCTCACCCAGTGGCTCTGTCCGCGCAGTTTATCATTTGATTCTCCTACTATTTCTTCCCAGACAGCAGCTGTTCGGTCAAAAGAACAGGAAGCCAAGACCTGACCAAACTCAGGATGGGCCCATGTCACACGCCACACAGATCCACTATGTGTCTGAGGAATCAAAAAAAGAAAAAAACGGAAAAAGACGAGTTTACTCATTTTGCACACAAATAAGATGTCACTTGAAGAAATAGAATACAGATATTTTTACCTCAAAAAGTGGAAAAAGCAAAAAAAGAAAAAAAGTGGAAAAAGCTACTCAATTTAACATTTAAAAATTTAACTTCTAGGGTATTTCCTGGTGGTCCAGTGGTTAGAACACCACACTTCCACCACAGGGGGCACAGGTTCAATCCCTGGTTGGGAAACTAAGACCCTGCATGCCATGCAGCATGGCCAAAATAAAACAAGCTAAATTCTAGAACTTTTAACTTTTAGAAGATACGTCATATTTAGGATTACAGCTCTTCTGGAGTCAAGTTCTTCTAACATTTTACAAATTAAAAAAAAAAAAAACCCTTCTGGATAAAGTTGACCTTTTTCAGTGCTACTAACAGAGACCTAGTTCAGAGTTTAACCTAACAAAGCTTTTAAACAGAGATTCTATCAGTCCATTATTTTTTTTCACTTGCAAATTGCTTCTACAGGGAATATCCACCTAATAAAATAAGCAAGATTAATCAAAATTATATGCTTCAAAAGCATGACAGTATAAGAAACTGTAGCAACAAAATACTTAAAGTGATTCTGATGTCTGGCTAGGAAAAGAGGCAATGAGAGGACAAATACAGAGAAGCCCAAATCTCTGTATTCTGAGGGAATACTTTAAAGCTTGATGGCACTATCTTTATATATGAAAAACATCAAATTACTGTTATTCAACTCTTTGTGTTGACCAAGAAAAAAAAGGCAGAAAACTCTTAAAGCATTTCGTATCAATAAAATTGTCTGTGCTTTCCAATAAAAATACTGTATGACCACAAGCAAAAGTCCACCCATGATGCTGACAAAATCTGTTTCAGGCTTCCATGTATCTAGCACGTTTTGGACACTCAATCGCAGAACACTTTCATAATTCAGTAATTTCTACATGGTAACAATGTCATCATCCAATGGTAAACTCTGCATCCTTTTTTTTGGCTGCTGGCATGTGGGATTTTCATTCCCTGACCAGGGATTGAAACTGTGCCCCCTGCAGTGGAACCAGAGTCTTAACCACTGGACCGCCAGGGAAGTCCCTGCATCCTTATTTTTATTCTCTGTTCTGTCCCAATCTTTTTATTTCACTTTTCTTACTTATATAGGCTATTAAGTCAAAGATGCACTAGCACAGCGAGATCCTGCTAAATGTTAGCTTCCTGGTAAAGCATGATCTAACTAAATAAGGACTGCACAAAGGATTCATCACAATAAAAGCAAACAAATATCAATTAGTAAGCAAAATAGGGTATATCTGTTGTCATATTTGTTTTGTTGCTGTATTTATGTTTAAAAACATACCAAAGTACTAATGAAACCTGTTAATTATAAAGCAAAAATACGAGCCTCCTTTTGAAGTGATAAAAATAAGTTTTAGAACTAGAGGAAGCAATTGTACAATACTGTGGATGCAATAAATGCATTAACATTTATTTGTTTACTTGAAATGGTTAACTTTATGTTGACTCTCACCACAATTTAAAAAATGGGAGGGGAGGACAAAAGATTTCAATAGACACTTCACCAGAGAAAGTAAATAAATGACAAACATGCACATGAAGATGCTGTCAACACCAGTAGCTATTAAAGGCAAACAAATCAAGATCCAATGAGACACACTTTACAACCACCAAGATGGCTACTAATATAATCAAAAAGACAGACTGGAACCCTCATACATTGCTGGTGGGAACATACAATGGTTTAGGCACTTTGGAAAATGGTCTGGCAGTTTTCAAAAAAGTTAAAACTATACACAGTCCAGCAATTCTACTCCTAGATATCTAAAAGAATAAAAAATGCCCACACAAAGACTTGTATGGCACGTTCATAACACCATTCATAATCATCAAAAATTAAAAACAAATGTCCATCAAATAGTGAATGAGTAAGTAAATGTGGCTTTATTTATACAATGGACTACTACTCAGTTTTACAAAGGATCAAACCACTGATACATACCGCAACAAGGATGAACCTCAAAAACAAGCTAAGGAAATCAAGTAAAAACAAATAACTACATACTGTAGAATTCCATTTATATGAAATGTCTAGAGAAAGTAAAACTTTATAAACAGAAAACAGTTCAGTGGTTACCTGGGGCATAAGAAGGGAAAGACAATTAACTCCCAAGCTGGCACAAGGGAAATTTCACGGTTGATGGTAAGTGTCCCAAAACTAGATTGTGGCAGAGCTGCACAACTGTGTAAACTTACTAACACTCATTGAACTGTACAGTTAAAATTGGTGATTCTCAAGATATGTAAAACTCTACTTGAGTAAAGCTACTTTTTAAAGCAAAAAATAAAGCTACGTACAACACATCACAAGTATTAAAAAATATGTAAAGGAAAAAGGTTAAGAAAGACATACTGAGATGCTAAAAACAATTAGGTTAAAATGCTACAGAATTTCAAACTCTTACTTTCAAATTTTCTGAAGTGCACTCGCTACTTTAATAGTGAAAAAAAGTAAAAGGTATAAATTTTATAATTCTCAAAACTGAACAGAAAGTCACTAATGCTACCCAATAGTAAATGTTTCAATTTTTTAAAATCACCGTAAAAATAAATACTAACCTTCCAGCTAGCAGTGCAGTGCCATTCCCCACTTTCACTTTTATCCCAGACCTGTAAGAAAAAAGATATTTTACACCAAGAATTACTACAAATTAATTGAGTCAGTGAGGACAAAGGAGGGAAATATAAATTCACAAAAGATAAAATCAGTAAACAAACATTCATTCATTCAACCAAATATTTACTGAGGACTGAGGACATGTCAGTCAAGGAACCTTCGCTCCAACAGTTAATGGAGATGATAACAGTGCCACTCAGGTTGGGCACTTACAGTGCTGCTGCCCTAGAAAGTCACTGGACCAATACTTGGCCACTCCTGCCCAGGGGAAACAGATGCAATTCACAGGAGCCTCTGGTCACAATGTCTTTATCAACCAACCTATAAATAACCTTGTTTTACCTGTGTATGTTTGCATACACCTTGTTTTGTATACATTATTGATTCACTAACACTGAACACTGTAAAAGACCCTGATGCTGGGAAAAGACTGAAGGCAGGAGAAGGGGATGACGGGACGAGACAGTTGGATGGCATCACCGACTCAATGGACATGAGTTTGAGCAAGCCCCAGGAGTTGGTGAAGGACAGGGAAGCCCGGCACACTGCATTTCATGGGGTCACAGAGTCAGATGCAACTGAGTGACTGAACTGAACTGAACTCACACCAACACTGTAACTCACGTCTGAATGAAGCTCCCCTAACACACACTTTCTCGAGAAGGCACTCACAGCCTTCTTGCTGTGGGACATTATGCAGCACTACACTTGAGGACCACTTCAGCCAGTGAAATTCACCAACAAAAAGAATGAAAATGTGAATAATGTGGCACCAAACAGACACTCAGAAGGACACTTCCAGAGCGTCACCTGTCCAACCTCAGTTGGGAACACAACCTGGGCAACTCCAATTTTTCTGCCACCTAGTCATGTCAACAAATAACCATGAGCGTTGCTTTGGGGGTTACAGATAAACTTTATAAAATAAGCAAATTCACAAATACAAAACTTGAAAATAACAAAACAACTTATATATAACAACCAAGACAAAACGCTGAACCTTCAATAGACATTACAATAACAGGACAGTTTAACCAGTTTTTTTTAAAATGTAATATGTCCCCCAAATAAGTCAATTTATAAAAATGTAATGATAAAACAGTATTGTGGCTCCTCAAAAAACTTCAAAGAGGACTTCCCCGGTGGATAGAATTCGCCTACCAACGCCAAGCCCACTTCCTAGAGCTATTGACCCGCAGCTACTGAAGCCTGCGTGACCTAGAGCCCATCCTCCGCATGGAGAAGCGCCGCTAATGAGAAGCCTCGAGCAACGCAACGAAGAGTAGCCCCCGCTCTCCTCAACTAGAGAAAGCCCAAGAACAGCAACACATATATAAAAATTATTAAAATTTTTTCAAATAAAAGTAGAATTGCCATGTGATTCAGCAATTCCACTTCTGGGTTTGCACCCAAAAGAGTTGAAAGCAGGGTCCCAAAGCTATATTTGTTCACCCACATTCACAGCAGCATTGTTCGCAACTAAAATGTAGAAGGAACCAAACTCCACCAACAGATAAGTGATTATGTAAAATGTGGTATATGCAGATACATATACTTAGCCTCTTTAAAAGTTTTTAGACTATTTAAACGCTTCCTTTCTCGGGAAGGAAATTATGACAAATGAGACAATACGTATGAACTTCAAAACATTAAGCTAAGTGAAATCAGCCAGTCACAAAAAAAGACAACTCCTGTATGATCCCACTTGTATGAGGCCGCTGGAGTAGCCAAATTCAGAGACATAAAATACAAGGGCGGGGACCAGGGGTGGACGCTTCAGGGATAGGTGAGTCATGCTTAATGCGGACAGTGCAAAGTGAGGATGGCGGTGACCGATACAAAGATACAAACATACTTAATAAAAACGGTTAAGGTGGTAAATTTTGTTACCTGCAGTTCACTGCAATAACGAAAACACTAAAGAAAAACCTGCAATGATAATGCCCGACACGGACAACTATCACACTGATACTCTTCACCGGCAGCTGTAAAACAGGACAACCTTCAAAAAGACAATCTACCCAGTACTCTCAAGAGCTTTTAAAATATTCATTAATTTCTCTACCGGAATGAGCCTAAGAAAAAACTTCCAAAAAACATAAAAAGCTGGATTAACGAAGATCTTTTCACTGCAACACCCCGACAGACAAAAACTCCGCACACGGGACAATCCTCTAGAACACAGCTCTAAGCGGATAAGGAAACCTACACGATTGACGAACGCCAATTATCGCTACGGTCGCGCGGCCGCGGCGGGCAGAGGGGCGGGGAGAAAACCCAGGCCTCGCCACAGACCCGTCAGCGAGGGGGCTCGGCTGTGAGAACATGGAGGGAGAGAGCCCAATCCGACGGGCGCCCGCGGAGAGCGGGGGGCCGGCGCCCCCGGTCCTGGGTCCCGCCGATCGGGACCCCACCCCCCAGGCGCTCAGGACCGAGCCTGGAGCCCAGGGCAAGCCGGGCTGACCGGCGCGCCCTGCTTCCCCCTCAGCGGGAGCGCGCCCGCCGCCGTGACGCACGCACGCACTCAGACAACCGCGGAGAGGCGGCCCGGGCGGCAGTGACCCCACAATACCCGGAAGGAGGGCGCCCGCCTGCCAGGCCGCCGGGCCTCGTACCCAGCAAGGCGCCTCAAGTCTGAAGCAGTCCCCTCTCCACGCGCCCCCTGCTCGGACAGCGGGCCGCGCAAGTTCCCGCCCGCTTCCGGGCTTGGCCCGCACCTTGACGCTCTGGTCGCTGGAGCAGGTGGCCATCCGCCGCCCGTGGAAGTCGAAAGACACATCATGGATGAGATCCTTGTGGTCCGCCGCGATACTGCGCGCCACAAACATGGCTGCGCCGGGCCCCTCCCGCCTCCAACACGGCGGCACGGCGGCGCGGCGGCGCGCGGACCGCAGCCCACCCGGACCCGGCGCCGGGGCGCGCACGGCGGTGCTTCCCGCGTGCTGCTCGCGCGCCCCGGGCTGCGCCCGTCCCGCCCCCTGGCCCGTCATACCCCGCGGGGCCCCACCCCCTGGCCCGTCATACCCCGCGGGACCCCGCCCCCGGCCCGTCACACCCGGCAAGTCCCCGCCCCCGGTCCGTCGTACCCCGGGAGGCCCGGCCGCCGGTCAAATACCGCAGGCGGGGACCGTGGTACTCTGTCGCCTGGCTGCGGCGCAGTCTGTGCCCTGAAGTGAAGTGAAAGTCGCTCAGTCGTGTCCGACTCTTTGCGACCCCATACAGTTCATGGAATTCTCCAGGCGAGAATACTGGAGTGGGTAGCCTTTCTCTTTTTCTTTTTCTTTTTTTTTTGGGGGGGGGGATTGTCCCAATCCAGGGATCGAACCCAGGTTTCCCCGCATTGTGGGCGGATTCTTTACCAGCTGAGCCACAAGGGAAGCCGTCTGTGTCCTAAAGGACTTAAAGAGCTCTCTGTCGAAGTGTGGAGATTAGAGGAATGTGAAGGTTAAGACTACCGTCTGCAAGCCTCGGCCCCGAGTCAGTTTCATCGCGTTGGGGCGTGTGACCCCGGGAGACGCGCCGGGCCGGGAGTGGGCGCAGAGAGTGGCGGTGCGTACGCAGAGTGTGTCCAGGGCTGTGCGGTGTGGCGGGGGCGTGGCCCCGGCAGTCCCGGTTCCCCCCAGGATCTGCAGAAATGGCCTGGCCTTGCTGGAAACGCCTTCACTTGCCTTTCCCCTCCCACTAAAAATGGTAAGATTTTATTGGTACTTTAAGAGGACACACACATGTGACAGTGTGGACTGTAGCCCGGAACGTCGAGGGCAAACCCCCAAATCCGTGAGTTACAGATACGATGACTAAGAACTACTGTAACTGCTCTAAGGTCAAAGACACTCATTGCCAGAGAAAGGACTCACAAAACTCATAAAAGCAGAGTGACAGCCTTACAATCAACGTCACACTTGACCCAGTTTACAGACCCAAAAACCCTTTAATAAAGAGGAGGCCAGATCACCTTGAGGAAAGACCCTACTGTGCTGCCAAAAATACACACTGAATCTTCCAGCCTTCCCTCGGGGGACCTGGGGCCTTTTACCACTGTGATTATGCTTTGGGGAAAAGGAAATAATTAGACTTTTCAAGAATTCTGAACACGCAGCTCCAAACTGACCCTGATTTCAAGAGACCCAAAACATCACTGTGATCCACCAGTCAGAGCAGGCCTTGAGGAGGTCAGCTGACCAGAGGATTTCTGGCTCAGGTGTGTCCCACAGTGGGTCCTCAAAGCCATTCTGTGGTTATTTCCCTGGTTCTGGAATGTGGTTGGGGTAGGCATACTCAGCAACAGGGAGAATCCTTGAACTGGTTCCCTGACCTGTGGAAGGAGGCTATATGCTGGGAAAGGTCAAGTGGATGCCACCGGAGCTGCCCCTGCCGAGGGTAGGGAGCCGGAAACAATACTGCAGAGCCTAGAGCTACCAACAACGGCTTGAAGGATGCAGGTCTGGTGGCACCCACCACATCCCAGTGCTGCTTACCTCCGGCCTGTGCAGAAGGCAGGTGGGTCTTGGAGAATAATGGTGGGTTATTGTATACTTATGCAGGCATTCACTGCAACTGCCCTTGTTATTACAGATATCATTTCATTGCTCAAGCTGATTAACACATCCCATGGGAGCTGGTTCACAGCTGTTGGGTCTGACAGATGCATTTCCCTCAATACTTGCTAATTAAGATTTCCACCAGAAACAGTTTGCTTTTAGCAGGCTTGGCCAGCAATGCACTTTCACCGTTGTCCTGGTCTGCTTGTGTACCACAGTAAGATACCGCAGACTGGGGGTCTTAAAAAACAGATACGTGTTCTGTCACAGGCCTGGAGTCTGGAAGTCCCGGATCGAGGTGCCAGCAGACTTCATTTCAAGGTGAGCATGCTCTTCCTGACTGGCAGACATCCACCTTCTTGCTGTGTCCTCACATGGCCTTTCTCTGTTTGTAGGGAGAGCTCTCGGATGTTTCACTGATGTCTGATGTGGCTCCAATGCTTGAGAACTTACACATCCCCTGGCACCTGGTTTGCGGATGTTGATCTGATAGATGCCGTTCTCTCCCTCCCCTGTTAGTAAAGACCCCCCAGGAGCAGTTGGCTTTCATCTGGAAAGGCCAGCCCCACACCGTCACTGACCTATCTCAGGCATGTGTCACTCTTCAGTCCTGTGCCATAATTTAGTCCACAGGGGTCTCAATTGCTGTTCTTTTCTATGAGCTATCACACTCACCTGTTCATGACACTGTAGTGATTGGATCTAAGGGAGAACTGCACAGGACAGTTGTATCATGCTAGGCAGATGCAGAGCATTGGATTGGTCTCATCCATTCCATTTAAAGCCTCAAGAGCAAAGACAGAGGTTTCCCACAGAAGAAGGAAGTCTGCCTCAAGACTGTAGCAGAGAAATCCTGCCCGAGCCTTCAGCCGGACAGCTGGTCCTATAGACCTCAGCTTGCCAGCATCCACAGTCACATGAGCTGATTCCTCAAAATAAAGCTCTTTAAATATAAACCATATATAAATATATATTGACATTCTCTGTGCATTTACATAGGGACTTATTCTATATAAATTACTCTATATTATTATTTTACATGAAAGGGATTTATTTTAAGGGATTTAAAGAATATACTACGGGTTCTGTTTCTCTGCAACACCCTGATACACCTAGTTTCACCTGTTTTTGTGCTTTCATAAATTGTACAATATGTACTTTTTCCTTTTAGCTAGTTGAGCTCTGCATTCCATTTGCTGAGCTTCACCCGTGCATGGTCCCCACCCCACTGGGTGGGCTGTGGGGTACATCACCTGTTCACAGCGCCTCCAGAGACAGCCACCTATAGGTGGCACTAAAACATCTCACACAGAACTTTGAAATGCGCAGCAACTGTGCAGATTCCTAGCTGTGGGCAAGGCAACATCTGAAAATTTCCATGATTTCTAACAGAGCAGACAGCATATCATCAAATTGGAAATGAAATCTTCACGTTTCTAAATTCAGTGCTTGTTGGCTCAGTACACTTGAGCTCAGAACTCCAAGACTGAGCCTGCAGCTGCCCTGAATCCAGACCCTGGGAGGGGACCCGACTGGGAAGGGTTGTGCAGGCTCTTGGGTTCTGTGGGGCTTGGGCTGGCAGGAACCTGTTATTAGCCACAACAATCGCAGCAGTCAGAGAACCTGCAACTTCCTGCATCACTCCCAGAGCCCAGACACCGCTGGGGACAACACCACACAGGGAGTCCTAGTTCAGAAGGATCTCTGAGTTGGGGCACCCCGAATATCTGATGATGAGCAGTTCACTTTTTCTCTACCTTCTAAAGGTGTGGGCACACTGTCTTCTCTGAAGAAAGGCTGCTTGTTGGACAGATGTTCTTGAAACGATTAAGCAGAATAAAGAGAAGCCAGTGCCTTGTATGCAAGACACACAGAAGAGTGAGATCCAAGAGGAAGAGTGTGGGGGTGAGAGGGCCCCTCCAGAGAGAGAAAGAGGGGGTACCTCCAGACTGACAGGTGACCACCTGGGAAGAGAGGGGCTGGCTGGGCAAGGCGTCTGTGACCCCTTCCTGAGCATCCGAGAGGCAGCCTTCTCCCTCCCTGTCCCCGTAGCAGCTTAGGGAGAAAGCAGTCCTGCAGACAGGTGCCCTCTGCTCCTCTGTGCATCTAATCCAGGTGCAGAGAGCCCAGGGCAAGTCTTCCTTTGGGTTTGGGCAGAAGAAGCCATGCTGGGAAGGGAAGAGGAAGCTGGCAAGGAGGGCACTATCCACAGGGGCCCAGCTGAGGCCTGGTGAGAGGGGAGGCTGCCTCTGGAACACCAGTTAGGATTCACCTTGCCATTCGAGCCTCCCTCCTGGTGTAGAAGCAAGAGCTGGCACTAGGATGAAGGGCTCGGCCTCTCTCTTGCACAGGTTCAGAGGACAGCTGTGAACTGAACTGCCAGGAAGGCTCTGTTTCAGGACTAGCGTGGCTGTGGCTACTGGGCCTAAGGAAAGCACAGCCTCGGATCTGTTTTCCCCACTCTCACTTGAATTACATGTTAAAAGCGCAGGGTAAGGCTTCCCTGGTGGCTCAGTGCCAAAGACTGCCTGCCGATGCAGGAGGCAGAGGTTCGATCCCTGATCCGGGAAGATCTCAAATGCCTATATGCCACAACTATTGAGCCTATACTCTAGAGCCCACGTGCCACAACTACTGAGGCCCACATGCCCCAGAGCCCGTGCTCTGTAATGAGAGAAGTCATTGCACTGAGAAGCCTGCACACTGCCACTAGAGTAGCCCCTGCTTGCTGCAACTGGAGTAAAGCCTGCGCAGCAATGATGACCCAGCACGGTCATAAATAAATATTTTTTTCTTAAAAAAAAGTGGGGGGGGCGCTGTTTTCCCCATCTACGTTGCTCTGGCTCCCGGCTGCTCTAAATGGAGCGTGCCCTGCATTGCGTGCGGTTCCAGCTTTCGGGTCCTCCACAAAAGCGCGGACTCGGTTGCGCCTGCGTTTTGTGCCTTCCCTGCCCGAGCAGCTCAGGCAGCCGGGAGCTTGACGGGCGCACTCTCCCTGGGTGCGGTGCGCCTTCTCCCCTCCGCGGCCCCAGCCTTAGTTTCCGCCTGCGCTGGTTGGGTGCCTGCACCCTGTGTTTAGCCGCGACCCTCCCAGCGGATGTCGACCATCCAGAATCTCAGGAAGTCTTTGGTTAGAAACTGGAGGCCTGTTTGCAGTGTGGTAGGGGATGCTGTCTTTGGGGCCGAGTTTGCCCCTTTCCCCTCCCCCCTGCCTCCTGCCTCCGGCGGAGCTGGGCCGGTCCGCAGCCGGCTAGCTCCTCTGGACTTGCTCAGACCCTTTGTACTGC